AGATTCGTAACAAAATCTGTGGTACTATCAAAGTGACAACAAGTAAAATCAAAATTACAAAAATACCTCAACAGTGCCGTCGGGTAACTATGCGTCCAAAACGTTCTCGGGTGCAAACACATACTATACGGTAAAAACTGGTTGAACAAATACAACTGTTAAATACCTGACGGTCAGTAAGAATATTCCCGACGAAAGGGACCAACACTCTGTGTACCAAGATCAAATCAACAAGTAAATGCTTCTAGTAGACAGTCAAAAGACAAACAGTCAAATCACAGCACAACCGTAAGTTGAACCAAAACAAAATGTCGGGCGCAGTAAAACAACATCACCTTGTCAACAGTCCAGCGTCACATAATAGGAGAGTGGAACATTCTTGATAAGTCCCAATCATACAGAGGTAAATACTGAGTGAAGGATCAAAGAAGACAGTCAAACAACCAAATAACATTGCACCGGCTAGGATCAAAGGTACATCACTCACAACGAGGGTGAAAATATTGAAATAAATGTCAATACAATCAAATAGGGTGATCGGGAGGGATTGTCAGATCAAATTTCCGTCACAACCACCTTTTCATTTCTTTGACCCACACGCTGTTGAAAGTTGCCGAATAACGTAGACGGATATCTAACGGAGGCGGCGGAAAGTTTTTAAAGAGGCTCCCCAATTAGTTCGTCAACTGGATTCCAGGTCAAGGCCAGAATGGAAACTGCTAGGTTCACCAGAAGGTTTCAAACGGTAGGTAACAAGTACTGAGGTAAAGAACACAAAATGGTGAAAAGTAGAACAAATAACAAGCACACAAAGAAAAGCTTGAATGGTTTATCACAAAAACTGAAGCTTTGTTTGTGCAGTGTCCACTGCTCATCACAGAGGCCATAAATAAACGCTAACAAAATCCTCGAGGATGTTTCTGTTCTCATCACCCAAGCCTTCTGTTAGCGGATCAAGATCGCCTAGTGTGGTCGAAAGGAACAGGCGAACAGCAGAGAGTGAAGTGATAACATGAAACTACAGCTTGGGTAAAATCAGTTTTGCCAAAACAGATGGTTGAACGGGAGTCCCTTGCGCCTTGAATGGACGGCGGTGATAGACACAAACTGATACATATGACGTGGGTGAGTGTGACCTCTGTTCGACCAGCATATTATGGGTTTTCTCCTGACTGGCAGGCACCAACAAAACACATTTCGAGGGGTAAGGCAAAAGATACACACCATGGGATCTTCAAAAGATGTGATTCATTGGGTCATTCGACATACGGTGGAGGTAAACAAAGCCGGCTTCAAAACTGTTGTGATATTGGTGAGTAGAATATTTACGGAGATATGCGAATAAAGTTATCTAGAGTAGACAACAAGTCTTATCTTTGCACACGTTTGGTTTTTTGTCCTTTCGAGTCATTCGTGATGATTTTCAGGTGGCGCAACCCTCGTAGCTCTTATCATCATACTCCTCGAAAGCATAACGTACGCCTTTACAAACTTAAGTCAATCTTCATCGGCTAAATTGCTATCAAGAGTTGACTATCTTGGAAGATTGGGGTCTTTGTATAGGAACCTACAATATCTTGAAGATCCTTCAAGACTTAGAGGCCCAAGCAAATTTCGGGGTGAACGACTCGAGGTGGTAAGACGCATTTCGTTATTGCATGAATTCAAAGAGTTACTTTTCCGCTGTGAAGTAGTAGACACACAGATAATGTTCCCATCGTCGGATAATAATTTCTAACAGGGTAATAGGGTTTAGCGAGGATATGTTGGAATTTTCAGGTACCTTGAATGAAAACTTCTCGAAGCCTAGCACGGCTTTTAGGGTGGAACCCACAGGGAACTAGTTATCTGCCATCTGAGTGACTACGTGAAGGTCTTATATGCTCACGCACCGCAATCTTCTGTATAACAACTGGCTTTTAGGCATCGTGAGTTGGCTTACGGAGCTTGGGAACTGTGAGGGGTATAAGAATACTTCTGTGATTTTGGGTGTCATCATTCAGTCGTATGAAGGTATGAATTTATATCCTGTCATCCGGAGTCGACGCGGATGACCTCTGCTGCCACTGTAGTGGATCCTTCTTAGGACCGTTAGAGACTGGCCATGAACTGCGGGCGTTGATTCTAACTGTCGGTGAGGTTCTGTGAGTTGGCTTTGTGCCTGGTGTATTAAGGTGCAGCCACTCTACACAGTCCGCCCATATTTCAGGTGTAGTCTCAGTCACTACAACGTTTCAGTTACATTCTCCCCTTTTTGGTCGTTTCGCAGTGCCTAGGGGAGTTGGAACCTGCGTTTTCGGTTGCTGGGGTCTGCTGCAAGTCATAACTAACGGGGGAATAAATCGCTACTGTCAAGCTGTAAGGTACAGTTCTACACGGGACCTGCGGTAAATTAAACAAAGGAGTGATGGTTTTCAAAATCTTCAGTGTAACAAACTTTCGTGTAGGTCACTACAGCCACTATTTAACCCATAGCGCTTTTTCACCGACATAAAACTCCCGAAGGAGTAGTCAAACAATAGGCCTCCCCCTCTGAATGGTTTGGTCAGTAGAACTGAAGCCAAAAAATTGGAGGCTTAAGCGCGTAAGAAACAAATACGCATTATCAACAGCCCCTTAGAGTGCAAAACTGGTTATGTACATGATTCACTCAAAACAGCAAGACACACTGCATTGCCATATCTTTGTGGCTAACCGGAGAAAATTAATGAACATCTGCCTGAAAAAGAATGATTACGTCCGACATTTCATCGGAAGCTGCCCATAAAGCGTATCATCAGCTACAAATTCGCCCACGGAAATCAGCGAACAAATCATACTGCAGCATACAAAGAGCTGATTAAGACCGCGTCGAGATTACCGGGACAATTTGGAATCGGCTTGGCTCATAGGACGAAAAATTCTCTTCAAACTGTATTCGAAAGACCAAAGGGCGCAATACCCAAATAAGTCAGACCAGTCATTATTTACAAATTCAGATGTAGCAATTACTATCAACATTGTATACAACAAACTGATCTTTTTCTTTGCTTTCTTCTACACGAACACCAGTTGGTTATGAAGTGTCACGACATTTCGTCACTCAAACCAGTGCATGTTAACCTTGAAAACTCAGAGATCCTAGGCGGAGGAAACACAAAGAATATCGAGGGCTTCCTAGAATTTTGGCATTCGGGTCCATCGTCAATCAACGGATGTGTGAACGTAGACAAAATATACCAGCCAGTAAGAAGAGTTGTAAATAGCTACGGGGTTAGAGGGTCGCACCGATTCTCATCATGAAGTTGCCATGAGGTGAATTTAGAACCTAAGTCCTTCTAAGCCCAGTGGTAGTAACGGGCTCGGTGTGTGAATATTGTTAGGAGTGGCGAACATCACTGCCATCCAGTACGTAACTAAGACAATAAAAGTCATTGAAGGAGTGGGAGACCCCATCATCTACTCAGTTTTTGAAACTCGTCTAGGCCGATCACGCGTCGACCACATTCGAGCTAGCGGAGTTGGCGGGAAAATTTACTCGAAAACCTTTTATGGAGCAATTGCGGTTTCAGAACTGAGCGTTTTTCTTAGCCCTCTTTTTGGCGCGAAAGAAGCCAGTGCAGCGTTTGATAATGACGTTCACACTGATGTTGCTTTTCTGGTTTCACTAAAGTATGCGACAACATCCTACACCTGCAACCATTGGTAAAACAGATTTTCTCTGGATGGACTTTGGGGAACGTGACTAAATTAAGGAAGTGCTAACAGACAAGAAATGGTGTGAGAGTTAATGGGACGTCACTGCCTTACTATTTATTGAACAGGGATGCTCCTGTTATTACTATCCCGGTCTTTCCGCCTTAATAACTATATGGCGACGAAAAACCACTTGAAGTCTAGTTATCTTTCTCAATTTCGCAAATAATTCATCCTGTGAAAACAGCGTGCAGCTATATCGACAGGTTTGCTTATTTAAAAAAATCAAACGCCTGGTTGGAACAGTCTAGAAAATAGTCGATGACGATTAGCATAAATAAGATAACATCTGTGCATATAGGTCACTACGACTGGTCAAACCTGAAGGCTAACGAATGCTCAATCTTCAGGTTTGTGAGTTTTAAGATTTAAGAGCTACGGTGATTCGCGACCTTGAGACATTAACAAGCTGCAGGAGAGCAGATACCAAAGAACCCCTAGGATGATAGCCCCTTTGCAAGGCATTCGAAAGCTTTTGCGAGGAAATATTACAAATATAATGAATGCATTCATCGGACCTCACTTAGAACATTTGATGTAAACGTCACGTTCATGCTTGAACTGTGAAGTAGATGATAGAGCGGGATCGAGGGGTAGAGACCAAGACCGCCTTTCTTATAAAAGGCACCTAAATTGACTAGATCGGTTCCGTTTTTCATCGACGAGACTGAAGTGGGTTTCATGTAAGTATCCCAAATCGGAAGTAGTGAATACTTTGATGGTTAGTTTCAGTTTTTTCCTCTCTGAAAGTGATCAGTGAGGAGGACATTACCTCATTATTAAAAATCGAAGTCGGGTTATTTTCCTGTGGGAGCTAATTTCCTGCATTACTTCATGAATTACTACAGTTTTCTGCAGCAGGATGTGGCACCAACACGAATATCAACTGATTGTAAGAAATGAAGAACTTCTTGTTATAATTATTCCTGAAACCGGACTAAAGCTAGAACCTGATCAACAGTCTTTCCCCATGGTGGTTGAGACACTAAGGGAGCATGCATTTCACTATCATAAGCAAGTTTATATTGATCTGGTTCAGTCATTATGCTAATGGATGACTGCATCTTCAGTGGAAAGAAGAGACTTATTCGATGGACAAAAAGCATAAAATACATTGAAAACTGCCGAGATCGTGTGAATTTTTCATGGCAATCATGGCGATTTTGAAATTTCAGAAGTAAAGTAGCATCGATAGTAACGCGATAATTCCAAGGATGTCGAGCTTACAGCGGCGCTGTATTTAGTTGTAAACAAGACCGCAGGATATGAATGTTGACGTTGCTTTTGAATTGGAAAAGAGTCGGATCGATTATCGCAATTACAGGTTTGTTTTACGTCACAATTTGATTATTAATAAGGTATATTGAACTTGAAAATGGTCTGAGGGCCATACTGGTCTCAAACCTGAAGCCTGGTGAAGAATTGCCCGAAGACAGTCTGTCTGACTCTGAACTTGAAAGTAATAACTCAGGTAGTGTCGATGATGTGAGCAGTGCTACTGAGGATGATCCTATTGGTGACCAAGAGGCAAAAGTAAGTTCGTTGTTTGCCCTACGCTTTCTGTCTCCTTGAGTTACGCCACATAACATAGCTTTATCTCCCTTGTACTTTAGAAATTCATGGATGCATGGTTATAAGGTGTTGGTAAAACTAGGCTTTGGTGGTGGCCAATCACTTATCTGTTTGAACTGACTGGCCAGTATGAAACATTTGAAGGACAACGTAGTTATTAAAGGAAATGGTATTTTGTGTATAATTACTAGTCGATTTTGCCTTTTAAAGAAATAATTCTTAGTTTTAATGGGTTAATCGTTTCTGAAGATATACCATTGTTTGTATTGCCACTCATCCATAGGTACCTATAGTGTATCTTCTCGTGATCTTGGTAAAGATCTTAGGAAATTTCCGAGACGACCCCACATACTTTCAACGTTGTTTTCATGCACTCTAGTTGTCGGATCAATGAGGTGCCTTCTGTTAACAGTTACTCGATGAAGGTAACCCATTCCAGATGACGGTATGTATAACTTCTTAGCATCTGTGTATAATGTAGTACTCGGTTCCATCCATTTTTCTATAAGTAGTTAAATTCTCCTGAACTATCTCCTATCCACTGAAAATGTCATTTCTTCGTATTTCGGTGGTAAAAGTCAAAAATTGACACTTTTCAAGACATGTGTGTAATTTACCCACTCCTGTTTAAGTCCTCGGTTATGTTTACGTTCCAAACAAGACATTCATCTGCTTCAATTACACTACCTACTCCACCATCCATCACATCTAATCCGTATGTTATTTTGGACCAAATACCTCTGCACTGCTGATACCGCTGCACTGAAGAACCCTCAAAAGCATCTATCCACAACTCAGTGGAGTACTGAAATCATTATTTGTTGGAGAGTTAGATGAAATCCTCTTAAAAACAACCCTGTTCCTCAGATTTCTTGTAACATGCGGGGAACCAAAGATGAAAGTACATCTTTTCTCGTTGCTAGGTACACAACTCATTAGAAAACCACATCAATTTAGATTTCTCGCAAGCATTCCAACTCTCTACAAATAATCCGCAACATAATCTTCACAATTCATGAAAAGTTTGTTCAGCATCAGCTACACGATAAAAAGACGTAACAAATAATCTTGAATACAGCATCTCCAACGTGATTAACCGTCTTCAAGGTTTCCCTCACTAAATTTTAGTTCTCCTAGATGTTTTAGGTATTTATAGGTCATCCGGACAGGAAATTGCAACAGCTTGTGTATTTTCAAAAGTGTTTAATAACCGTCTATGAATGTTTATCCTGATAAATATTCCTTTTCACGTACGGAATCCTCCTACTATGTACCTTTAGTTTGGAGCATTTAGATTTTTGTCTTTTGTTTTGTTTATTTAATTCAGCGCTGACCATATTATAAGTTGTAGTATTTGTCAATCGGGAGGTACATATGCTGGTTATGTCATATATAGCTGCTAAAACTTAGTTTTGTGGGCAAATTTCATTAGACATTAGAACTATAGAACTTCACCTATTGGAAGCAAAATGGCTACTCACTAATTTTTGGCAAACAAAAGCGCAATAAATGCTTTCTCTTCCATTGCAAGTAAAATAATACAAAATTCATTCTAGGTTTAAAGCACACGAGCATAAAAAGTGAGAATTACCGTAATAACATAAGAGTTACGGAAATTCGCCACGGTTTACAAATTAGAGTGCGTGAAGTCGAATTCGTACTCGTGGTCACCAAGTCGAATGTTTAGTAGAAGTACATAGGTAGGTAATCAAGGTGTAAGATTTGAAAGTTAAGTTGTTAAGCCGAAAACAAAGAGCCCCAGTGCTGAGAAAACGAAATCACTGTTTGTTTGCTAAATGATAGATACTGCTGACTTATTTGAGATACATTATTAGGTTTGTAGCGAGTTGGAATTAAGGTTATAACTGCGTTAGGGTTTCAAAGTTGGTCATAAAACACGGGTTATCCAGATGGCCTGTCACGGTTGACAGTGAGATGATCCCTATCATCCTGTTCTAAAGCTCTTAAATGGCCTTGGCTTATAACCTTTTCCAGAGAAGTCCTACTCACTAATTTCACTCAGCAGTGGGTGTTTCCACAAAGTGGGTGGACGAAAGCGAATTTTAAACGCTATAACTGTATTGGTGTATCTGAATATACACCTAGAGAAGTTGGAAACCCTAATTTTATTGGTTCCCCATCATGGTTCAGGAATAAACACATACTTAGGTTTCGACGTCGGGGAAATATCACAACACAATTTGTGAATCAGCTTTAACAGTGAATTCTGTTCAATGTTCAATGAGTTTGCTCACACGGAAAAAATTCATTGCCTAACTAAATTTTTGTTCATTCATTTCATTAATTTTTATGCCGTTACTTTTTACATTTGGATTATACTATCTTTTGGTCATCAGTTTCAACTTTATCTTTTTCACTCAGTTGCTCGTCACAATAAAATTCATTTTTTGTATCGTATTGAATCTCTAGACAGCGGCTTCCAAAAAGCCATCCAGTGCGATATCTGATATCTCTTCTGAAATTGTGCACCTTTAACTTCCGAACTTTGATGCAGGCTAAACAACAGACATGTTTGCCTAGGACTGGAAAGTCTGTCTCAGAGAGCTACATACAGGACCCCAGTGAAGTGCTTTGAATAACTTCCTCATCTATAAGCACATAAAGTGTATTCACTGTGCTTACCTTTGGACCCTATCTCCTCAGCAACTGTTGGTGTCATACTAGGCTCCAGAGATAAAGCTACACTCGACGGCATCTTCATTAACAGTAGTCCATGTGCTAGTAGACTAGAAGGTCATCTATGCCTAGATTGAATGCAGCCCAAATGCAATTAAAGATAAGTTCTATCATTAACTGAGTGATATTCTCTACCAAGTGAGCTGGACAGATATCGTAAGCCAAGCTACGAACTTGAATGCACAAGTTGGCGTTTATGCCCAGAGGAGAGTCTTTTAGGTGGCCTAGGGAGTTCACTTGGTTTTAAGTCAAATAGTAGAGAAAGTCTTATGAAGCTTAAGGCAAATCATAACCTATTTCTAGCCACCACCAACTTTTGGCACAGTTGTCGTTATTGTGCTATTTGGCGTCCTTTCACTACTAAAACCTGGAATAAAACAAATTATATTGTAATGAGCTACCGATATCGTGAGTATATTTAGGACTATCACTTCTAGAGCACCTGTCTGGACTCCGGTCACGCTTTAGAGTGTGCTAAGTGCATCCAGCATTTCAGTGGTCATCAAAAACACTGTCGTGTATAGATAAACGTAAGCAAACTGGTTGCTCCTAGTATTGCAGCGAAATGCCAAACGGAGCTGCTGAATGTATTCTATCACTCCGACATGAAGCTACTGTTGTACCTATCTTTCAAAAGAGTGTACTAAATGTACGTGGTAATCGTCGAGGTATCAGTCTGATACTGGTAGCTCCTAAAGTGTTGGCTGCTATCATATTTCACTGGCTGTACAGAAGGCGTAAGAATTTGATCCATGGGGAGGAGGCCATGTTTCATTCACGTCATGAGTGTGTTGAGAATCCGTTCAATCTCAGCAAGATGCTTAAATATCAACACATGTAATTCAGGTTAATGCTCGTTGTATTCCTCAATATTAGGGCACCTCTGATTTGTTATGTAGGGTTGTAATCTGGAATTTTTTGTTGAACAGGGATGTCCCTGAGGTTTTTTACATCTTTGCTCAACAGGACTATTGTCTGCGTACTTTAAGTCAACCAGGTGACCGGTGATGAAGTCAGAAGTACTTAGTGTTGCATCCAGCAGCATATATATAATAAAGTTAATTAGGAATAGTGACAGTTAACATCCTTGTTGGACATCTTTGGTTGTCATCGCATCAAACAACGATTCTTCATAAGCCTTTATAAGATTGCAGGAGTTCGGGTGTTTCGACCACATGTAGCAGAACATACGGACTTTATACTCTATTTACAGTCGGATAATACAGCAACAACACTCAGTTGACGGATCCGAATATGGTTTTTCACATCCGGAAATATGGTAAGTTCCAGGTAGTGTCTGAACCCTGTGCCACCTACTCAGGTCTGGGCAGCTAGATAGTATTATTAGCCGTCGCACAATACATGTAACTCGTTCCCTACTACAGTAGCATGCATGTGTTTGCGAAGTGCATGTCGATTGTATTTCATTAGTGTATCATTTCAAATGTCAGTAAGGTTTGGTAGCCGCATGTTCAGAAGTTGTTCTCGGCATCTGTCTTTCACCAGTTAAGCTTACAGCCGTTTCTTTTCTTGGTTATTTTATGACGACTCACGAACGAAGCAAGGATATACATAAAATAAAGCTTAGTGATACTTAGTATATTTTCACCATTCTGTCGCAGGCATTGTGCACATTATTGATACTTGTTAAAGGCTTTTTCAGTAGTGTGGTAACTCCTGAACATTGCAATATAAACGAGCGGTGTCGTGATGCATTGCATCTTTTTATCGTTATCCTGAGACTTCTGCATCAAAATATGAGTTTCAGTGATGCACAAATAGCATAAACTGTCGGACAGTACGTAGCTACGATCTTAGCTGATATGAAAAAGAAAGAGATTATCTTCCGTCTCCTGAATGGCTCATAGCATTGCCGGATATGGAGTGCAAAAACGTTGATGACATCTTTTTTCTGATTTAATCGCTTTACTGTCAGGTGTTTCATTATGACAGATATCATGTTTTAGTGTATTATACGATATTGTGACTATTATTGTTACAGTGCAGACATTTAGTATTTTTCCTGAGACTGCCGTTTTCAAATATAAAAGTTGCTTGAATTTTTGTGTAACAATAATAATACTAATAAACATTTTATTTATCCACAGAACATTAAATATATCTTTGTACTAACTTGGTCATTTATGTGTAACTTTAGGCTTTCCTTAAGGTTTTTCATAATCTATAGATAATTTCTCTTGTTTATTTTTAATCCTCTAGTCAGCTGCTTCGTTGTGCATTAAAGGGGCAGTTTTTCTGACCCACCAGAAGCTCAGGGTCTATCACATTTTTTGGAACATAGTGAGTGGTAACAATGATAATGCCGATTGCATGCTAATAAATTTGATATCAAGCTATATCCACTTTTAACAGTAGATCAAGATTTTCATAACTACCAACCTAGTATGGAAAAAAACTTTGTAAAACATTCACTTATAGTAATCAACAAGGTAGTAGATATCTAAGAAAGTTCGAATGTCATGTTACTTTACTTATTCTTACTCATGATATTTAACAATTAAGTAGGCGTTCGAAGATGCGGCCCGTTGGCTTAACCATTCAACTTTCAGCCAATTGGTCCTTGAATCACATCCCTTTCTACACTTCGACTTGGATAACTGGGTTCTGTCATAAACCCTCGTGCGACAATTGTGGCTCATAGTCCAGTACATGAACTTCTAACTGGCTGATTTGCAGTAATACTAAGACTTGTTTTTCAATTTTATCTAATGACTTTCACTTTCTTTAGCTATCAGCGTTGCCATTATTCAGGTTACTTAAGGTAAAGTGGTGATGGAGACAAGTTCATTATATTACTGCCTGTTGTAGATCGTTTGTTGGGTGACTCTATCGATGTAATTTTTAGATTGATAATCGATGGCAAAGGTGATGCCTATCACTGACACGGAACTTAACCAGCTGTTTCTGTTCTAATGTCGTTGTTGTTTGCCAGGAAAATGATGGCCAATCGGAAGACTGAATGTGTATGCGATATAACGTGAAATGGCACAATGTGGCATGGGATGACTGAGTGATATATCCTTACAACAACAACGTAGTTGATTAACTGATAACACTGGATTCATGACTTTCCTCAAAAACAGAAAAAGTAGTGACCAAGAAGACTGATAAATGCATCGTACCGCAAATTGAATTGTCTAATGAGATGAAATTGTTGCTTATATACAGTAACGGAAACTCAAAATAGTAGGAATAGAAGCCATGCTATTAACAACTGTACAGTGATCAAGAGTAAGGGTGAAGGTCACAACACAGCTAGAGATATTTTACAGATATATGTAAGGCTGCCTCACTGTTTATCATGTTGGTTTCATCACCTAAAATTACTGAATGTCTCGTTAACACCAGCTCATTGCTTAAATAATTAGTTTGTAGGTGATTAATAAGTAACTAATTTAAAAAAACAAGTGGAGTCACACTCACAAGTTCATAAAACCATTAGCAAAACTACTGAAACATTCATTATTTTTATGTGGAGCCACCTCGAAGTGCAATGCTGGAAGTTGGATTAGGTTGGAGGAGAGGGTTCAGGGTAACCAAACTAAGAGGTGGAGCCAATCGATTGTGTGAAAAGACATCGACTACCTCCTGGGGTCTCCAAGATGATAGGAATTAGTGGCTGAGGATTCTCTATGAAGTAGCTACAAATCGGTCACAATGGCGCAGATTTATTGATTCTTTGACATCTAAACCTTGTATGCTTTGATTAACCTTTATCTCCAATTTTTTCCCCATATATTTTTGTCTATCTTAATATGTCTTTCTACCCACTTTTTATTTGTACGCTACTGTGAAGTGTGGTAACTTGAACCGACGCACTTGTGTGCGAGGTCCTGCGTTGGTTTTTATATGTGTCAACCAGCGGTGTATGTGTTCGGGTTTCACTCTACCTACTGAGGTTTCGGCAGCCAGGTATAACAATCAGGTCTCATAAAAAGTAGGTGTGACCGATTGCTTGTTGCACAAATCTGCATTTTTGTTTTTCAATGTTAACCTCCATTTTATTTGTTTTCGTTCAAGCACTTTTTAAATAAATGGGCCCAAATAAACTTAATTTCATCCTTACGCTAATGAGGGAAAATTTTGCTGACATACAGTCCAGAGCTTCATTATGACTGGTCTGTGCATGAAGCTTTATGAAAATTTGGTTAGTTATGTATGAAGCTCAGGTGTGGACTATATTCGTATCATCATGACATTTAATGTAATTGTCATATATATACACGCCTTACAACTTATTGATTTATTCTTTTTTCTTCAAACAGTGGTGTTTATGGGAAGCTCAAAATATCCAACAGAGAATGATTTCGACGCTTATTTAAGTCAACGGGGTGGTAGTAATAATGCATGGACTGGGAATGAGCACACTTTATTCATTTCGATGTGAAACGTAAATATTTTGCTAGTTGTTTAGACAAATTTGCCAACTTCTTTATTTCACCGCTATTGAGCAAGGATAGCACTGATCGAGAGATCAATGCAGTTCATAGTGGTAAGTGACCTATTTTATACATTCTTCTTCTTACGGGATATGTGAATAGATACTCCATCTTTTTGAACAGTTGTGTGTATACTAGTCTTTTATGTATACTTCTACGCGTAGAACACAAGTCTTCTGAGCGTTGTGAGTATCTGGCAAAGCCACAGATTGAACAGTACTGATGTTAGGTGTAGTGTGTATTGCATGACAAAAAGGTGATAAGTCAGCTGACAATGTTGTGAGTCTTTATCGACCTTGGTGGTCGGAACTCGTGCTATACCCAATTCAAAACTCATTTCTGGTTAAAGTTAGTCTTCGGATGGTCAAACGGTGTTGATCCTGTTTGTGAACTCAGACTATTTTTTGGAGCCTCATGGGAAACTAGGTTTTTGTTTGAGCTTCTGCACCAACTGAAGGCTTTAACTGACCTGATTCAAAATCAGTCTCCATGGTCCAAACACCTCCATGCTTTATAAATTCATCTCTTGTAATCTCATGTTTTGTTTTGTAATTCTAGTTTACTAATCACTAGTCACAGTATAACCTCCGTTTCTTCTACTTTTGCTTTGTTTATCTTCCTTCTTTATGTTAATGTAAAGTGCGATAGCTTGGACTGACACAGACTTGCTCTATATTCTAAGCCGCTTGTCTTTCAGTCTACATAGCACAGAAAAATAATTTCATTAATGGAAAATCATGAAATTAGTCCAGCAGTACTCACCAACTGCGGTTTAAGTTCATTTGACAATTGAATCTGAGTTTAGTTAACTTAATGTATTACTGAGTAAAGAAAGTGATGTTTAGCAACAGATAAAGCTATGGTTTTTTCACTCAGATATAGTTTCCAACCTCGTTCCACCCACTGAGATTTCGGCAGTTAGAGAGTAATATTAGCCCCTACAAAAGGTGATCTGAACGGTTTTTCCAAGCCATGTTGTTTGACAGAGTTACTTCTTACGTCATTCAGGAATATAAAGTTTATTTCGAATATCCTGTTGTAATACTATAAATTCAATTGGTTTTTTAATATTCTTGTAGAGTTCGAACTTGCATATGCTAAGGATTCTTCACGATTACATCATTTGATTGGTCATCTGTCTTGTAAAGACTCACCTTACCAACTTTTTGGTTATGGTATGTTCATTTTACCTGGTTAATTTTCGTGTGATGTTTATATTTTAAGTTCCTCTAGAAGTCGACAACTTACCCTCACTTTTTGTTCTTCCCCTGTTTTGCGAATTGACTTCATTAATCCAGTTTCATGGTACATGAAAAAGTAATTTACTCCTATATAATTTGGCCTAACTTGGACCACGACAAGAAGTGGGTTGACGGTTTGTTTTGATGTTATCCATGAATGCTTGATAATTTACTGCTCACTAGCGATTTGTTGCATAGGTGTCTCGAAGCCTTAGTTTGAAAATATGACCTTTAGGATCAACTACTTTGAAAATTAGCATAAATGTCCACCTATGGTATCGCATGATGTTTGTGTTGTGAAATGGAGTTGGAAAGTGCCAACTCTGTGATATCAACACAGGTTGGCTGTTAGACTTATAAATTCCTCATTCAATCCTGTATTCATATGAGAGTTCCTACTAACATAACCAAAACACAGTCATCCAGTGTTTCATGATCATAAATAGTTCTCTAGTTAACACCAGTCTAGGATGAAAAATGTCATTGGTTAGTTTCATGTTTGTACAGTATTCGAAAGACATTCAGTCGGATGGTAAGATCACTATGTGTATTTGCAATGAGATGTCCTTTTGATAGATATTAGCTGGATGGAAGCAATCTGTAGGGAGCCCGGGACCTAGGTTTCGTGATTCTTGGTACTATTCAGGAAGACGTGTCTGGAAACACAACGCCTAAATTTAGGGCTTTCTACTGATTTCCTTCATCCAACTAATGTCTATCAAAGTGCACTGCGACCGTAGGTCTCTTAGCTTGGTGGCCACATCGCAAAATGATTGATGGAATTCAATCAGCACTCAGGAGTAAACAACATGATTTTTCTAGTGATCAGTCGATGTAGTCACTGCTTTGGTAGATAGAATTAAGAAGTTTTGGAGTTACTACATACTTTTGACAAGTTTTAGTGGTTGATGATTAAGACTTTTTATAATTACAGAAAATAACGAATCTGTGTGATCGTACTCAGCAGCTGAAAACGTTTAGTTAGTTGGATGGAAGTTTGCATATGGGTAATAGTTTATTCATTGAAACCGTGTAGTTCTAACTCAAATTTAAACGGAGTGGTATCTAATCTGACGCAGTAAAGTAGCCGTGGAAGTTCTTATCCCTCTTACCACCAGTCCAAGACAGAGAAAATCGACCAATTAATAAAGATACTCAATCTAAGTGGAGGGACGATTTGCTTACAAAGTAATGTGTTGTTGAAGACTTGAAGCATGATATAAAAAAGGAAGTGAGATCACACCACCTGGAAGCTTGGATCAATAGTCTCTAGCGTATTGTATATCCCAGTCATGTTGCCCACACTTCCCCATAGGATACAGATAAACATTCAATGTAGGTGGGAATGTTATTTTTTTCTCTCAAGTTATGAAAGAAGTGTGCTTACTTATATAAGTAAATTTTTTCAAATGACTTATTCAGCTGTAATTGTTGGTATTCAAACAAAGCGTATTATATGATGACTGGATTATTGAGCTTAAATAACAGAATTATATTTTACTTACTGCAGCAGAACACTAAGTACCGATGTAAGTCATCTAGTGAACTGAATATTTTGTATAAGTTCTCTCAACTTTTGGGCCGGTATACATCAAAAACATTCCTAGGGGGGAAAGAATAGAGGAAAAGTTAATGAAATTTTATGATCTTCAGTTCATTCTTTTGATAATAAGTTCAACTGTAAAACGAACGCTTTCGCCTACTGATACGATATAAGGAGTGATCACACAAAGATGTAGTTACGATTTGTCAAGATTTATTAATTAACCCTATACATCTATGATTTGCTACAGCTCATTCCTATCATCTATGCATGACTAACTTCTCGTTCTGTCGATATCAAATCACGAGGCTGTTTACGCATACTTTTATCAACTAGTTTGTATAATTGTAAGTGAAATACTGGAAATGAAATTTTGATTTCCATATTAATCGAATAAAAATTTATTGATTTAAAAAAAAAGCTGTTTTCTTCTTCTTAAAAGGTAATCGAAAATCATTGCATGATATTCCAGAACAAAATGGCACAGATATTTACTCACTTTTAAGTAAGCATAGGAAAACTATTTATTCTGCGGATCGTATGACGCTTGCTGTACAATCTAAACGTAAGTTCTTAGTAGGTGTATATTCGGGAGTTAATTGTTCACATGACTTGCACTTTCTGGGTTAGCGGAGATATTTTTGTGTTTATACTAAATCGATTTTAAATAAGTTGGTTAATCATTTTCTAGAGCATGTCTAGTGTAGATTATCTGAATTAATAGCCCAGAGTGTTTTGAATATTGTCTAATACCTCTTTAAATGTTCTCCATTGAGAATATATGGAAATGATAATGATGTATGGGTTTATTTTCAAGCCAAGGAGTTCTCTTCAGAAGTTATTTTAGGCTTTTTCAGTCTCATCTTCAGTGTTTAGCTCTTTGTAGTTATACTTTTTGTCTTTAGGTTGCGATTTTGTCTGGTAGTTGTCCACCATAGGAGGAGGAAGTGTATAATACAACCTGACTAACAGAGCAGGTCTTCTGTCATTCTGATCATCAATGGATAGTCATCCTAGAACCATAAAATATGTGGTATAGATGAACAATAGTATTCTATTGATGTCGACCAGGTCTTCTATAGGTACAAATGCTTATCGCCTATTGTATCTTCATGTTATATTATGCCACGAAAGATACTGATAAACATTTATACCTCAACTCTCTGCTTCATGAAAAGCGTTTACATAATTCAAACTAAAGGATGTTGTTCATTCATTTCTTCGCTATCTGACTAAGTTATTTAAATAACCTTTTTATACTCATCGGACTAATGTGATGAATAAATTCCTCTTACTTTAGTGACTAGGAACTTAAATAGAGGGATTTGTAGTTAAAAAGAGTTGAAATATAGCAGGGGTATGAATATATCATACCGCTTTGCTGAATACTAACTAGGATATGGGTTATATGAAGTGTTTAAGAGTTTACAAAACTGTTGGATTGAAGCAATCAAAATTTATAGGGGTTGTACTTACATGTTTGATCTAGTGTTTGGTAGTTGGATATCTGGATCACTGAAGCAGCAGATGTACTTGGACTAGTGTTTTATCCCATTACAACCGGTCACAATAGTGTAGTTGTAATAGAGTACAGCTTGTGAAATGGTGGAGAATATTTGTAACTCAGGTGGATGGTCCTGGTTGTATTGTGTTTTGCAGTACAGACTACAGTTTGTTGTTGTTTACTTATCTTCTTCGCTTTTTTGCTATTTAAAAAAGGAGCTATCGACCATTCATTCTTTGTTTTTCGATCTTAAAACCTTCAACTTTTGTAATCGTCGAGAAGTTAAAGATAGGAGGCCTTTTTGAATAAGAATTATCTGGAAGTGATGAATTTTTTAAAATGGGGTTACATCTTCCATTGAAGGATATCATGACTCAATATACACTGTTTCAACAGGAATGCTCTAATGTCGGCCGGCTCAAATATCTGGGCTAGTAAATTCTCCATCTCACATAATGCATCAAAATTTTCTACGCTTTTGTTCGTTTTGATCATTTTATTATATCCTCTGATCACACTATATATTCATGCATATTTTTTTAGAAAGTTTACAACCTACTGCGATGCTCAGATTAAATAAGATAAGGAAAAAGCATCACGGTGGATGACAACTTGCCTTGAAGCGAATAACTCCGTCTCAAATGACTTGCTTAATTCTTCAAAATGTCAGACTACGAAATTTAGTCTCAGATGCGAACTCAACTTATGTAAACTGCTTAGGTCTCATGATTCTTGTTCTCCCGATGGTTGTGTATTAGAGAATTTTACAAGTGTGATTTATCTCGGGGTATGTTTTTCTTCGGACCTTTCACGGTCCTCCCATATCTTACTAATTTCCAAACGAATTTTCTACATTAGGAAACTGTGAGCACCTGCTATAACTCAACCTCTTCTCCCTTATGTTTTATGAACTGCATCTTGCCTACTCTGCCCTGCTTTTCCACTTTATTCTTTACTGGGTTGCTGTATTGTGTAGAACTTTGATGACTGTCAGCAGAACTAGTGGTGTACCTCTAAATCTTTTAATTGAAACTGTTGTGGACAAAAATCTTAACTCATGTAAACTCTTGGCAGGAGTTATTTTATCAGATGACTAGCATCCTCTTCACTGAAAGCTCTCTGCGTGTCGGTCATCTGGAAAGACAGGGAGCGAGTGCAGAAGACTTTATGCACATACTACCAAATATAACAACTCTACAAAACCGTATTTAGCTCGTCTCTTGTAAGATGAAGAAAGTATTAGAAATGAATTAAGTAATCAGCTTCTGTTTCATAAAACAAACTAATTGATGAGTGACACAGTATGTTACTATCTATGTATTATGAATCCACTTACTACTAATGTGACTGTCTACCTAAATTAACTGCACATTTTCAAGAAAGTTGTAGATGGAGTGAATATTTTTGTCTTTTTTATGTGTAATTTATACTTAGACTTCATTTTGGTATGTATACATATACACTATCTCTGTCCAATTGGTGCTATATGTGCTGAAAATTCTATAGAGTATTCCCGAAATAGCTTTCAGAATGAAGCCATTATTACCATTATATTATATATTATTATTATTATTATTATTATTATTATTATTATTATTATTATTATTATTATTATTAGGCTACGTAGAAGTGTACGATTATACATGAAATAGAATGATAAGCGTAAAATGTTTCACTGTAGTAAATCGGTTCATTCGGTCATAGGTAAGATTCATACTGGGGATGGAATATTCAAATGTGTAAAGCAAATGAATGGAAAACAAACCAGTTTAAGATTTAAAGAAAAATGGAATACGTTCATCATAGCTATGGACACCAGTTTTGAACCATGTATCCTAATACTTTAAACAAATAGTTTCTAATATTTAGCTGGGCTAATCTAGGATGTTTTATAGTGCTCAAAGCTATTAGTGACTATGGATTGACGTTGTGTCAGTTTCCGTCATCTTAATACTGTTTAAATGATATGCTATGTGACTCGAGAGATTCAAGACGTTCTTTTCCCCCTTCTCATCTAAGATAAAGGGTAGATTTAAGATTATTTATTCGGAGGTAGCATTACGAGTAAAAAGTGCTTTAAACAAATATGTATGACGTAACAATCATAGTTTCTTGGTTTTATCTGTCCTTTGTGGCGACTTCTCATATGTACGTGGTGCAACATCGCAAGTTTTGTACTTCGTTCTCAGTGGTTGATAAGCATTCTAGTTCTCTTTTACTGTAACAAATCGAAAAATCGAAATCCACTCGGTAACCATGTTAACATTCGTTTAGTAGCCAATATACCACACCTATCGTGTGACGGCTAATGATACTACCTGACTGCCTATACCTCGTAAGAGGAGCTGGGTTCGAACTCGTGGCCGATCGACTACAAATCGGATGCTAGACCAATGGACCACAGTTTCACTATCACAAATTGTGTAAATTAATGAAATTTCAAATGAGCATCGAGTATTTATGCTGAGATTCTATCACCTAAAAGCCCACTGAATAAAACCATCTAGGTTTACGTGTCAGTGTTTGTGGTAACCACTCACTGTCTTCAAACTCTGTTCAACGACACCATAGAAAACTTGCTTAAATTTTAAGGTGTGGCTATCGTCATGTAACTTGAATATGTATTAACTTTTTTGGATTTGCATTGTTTCTATATGTCTGCTATCCGGGCTGAGTGATAATGCTATAACAAAAGCTACATTATGCTAGGTCAGTAAGCATGTGTGCTAATCAAAGAGGAAAAGGGAAGTTAGGCAATTCGTTAATAAGTTGAAGTAAAACTGTATTACTGTCTTATCTGTTTACATCACGTCACTTATCATGTTACAGAACACAAAGTAAAGACTTTTTTCAAAAGTTGGAACTATGTTGTTTGTTGAAAGAGATGGAAATGGTTTGGTCAAAATTCCAGATTTATTGATATAAAGGTTATTCGTTAGTGCCTATTAATGATTGATGTGACAAACACCGTGTTGAAATACTAACGAGAGGTTGCTAGATCATCAAATGACCATCTTTTTTGCAATAACAACAAATTGGGTCATATCATTTTATAAATATTGCTATAAGTCGTAAGTTGGTTGAAATTGAAAATGATTGCATACAGGCGAGGGTAGCATGTAAAACTAGAGTGGGTGTTATGTATTGCTTAGAATTCACCAACTGCATTTATCTGCATATGTTTCTATGTCCTCATCTGAACTCGAACTTGCTACCCATAAACTCGTGTTTTACAGCCTTACCTATTCGATTGTTGAACTGTGAAAGCCATTTTTTATGTGAGTATTAGTTATTATAAAAGCTTAGACTTATTCATTGTTGATTTATAAGAGTGAACTGAATGACTAATGTCATCAAAATGGGCTCTCGGGTTTCAATAGTAGTCATCACAAAAATATAATTAAGATATGATTACACGTAAAGCCAAAACATCTATTAATAGGATTATAAGGTAAAATTTAGTGGTTAATCAACTGAATTCTATTACTTTCCAGTAAGGTTGATAATTTTAACGATTGGAAATCAAGTTAACTCCTTCCAAAGCCTATCTCTCATTCTACCTAAAGACTGAGTATTTTGATTTTTCATGGAGGGAAGGTTGTAGATATGAGTTTCAGAGAAATAATTGTCTAATATTCATTATTATTTTGTCTACCTGTTTACCTGATATCAACTTGTAATGACGATAACCGTAAATCCATTGAAATTTATTTGTTTAGTCCTTATTATTATTATTTTTCCTACAGACTGTTTGGATGATTTGGAGGCATTAGTACGTAAAATTTTCTGTGATATACCAAAGAGGTAATTCATCTAACAATGTAATATCTGTCTGCTCTTTGAATAATCTTTTTGTGTGTGTTACATCTACCCGGTTAGATAACTTTAGTCGAAATAAGTTTTAGTTGGGAGAAGGTGAAAGGTATCCAGCTTTCAGTGTATCATCAGTCCATGAAGTACTTGTCTATTGGTTTGAACTGTATGAGGAAATTGAGGTCTACATGACAACGGAAATTGATGATTCAGGACCCTACTTGATATGGTTCATACTCAGTCCTAGTGGTGCAAATATATCCACGCATTATCTTCATCATAATCATCATATGAAATTTCGTTATTTGATCTACTTCTTCTGCCTCTCTTCATATGACTTCCTACGGCTTCTGATTACATTCTCTTCCCTTAATTATCTCTTGCATCTTGCTGCTGTGTATCTTGACTTACTGATAGGAGGTGAGGCAGGTTGAACTGTTACCCAATAATGTAGAGTCCCATGTTCATATTGACTGACTTGATAATATTTTGCATATTATTTCTATCTACACTTTAGTTAGTTGAGGTTTCTAGGCGTCTAATCGGTCCTATTAGTCTTATCAATGATTGCATGTGAGAAACGAATACGAGGAATACATCGAAGAATTGTCTTAAACTTTGAGCCAACACGTAGTCATCGTGTCGTTGTAGTCTCTGGACTAAGTGGTCTAATCGTGAATCTTTCACTTTCGTTCTAGAAAACATTAACACTAAATTTGATTCGAAGTGATCTATCAGGGTTGCTCCATAAGGGACTCATTGACCTACCCTAAGTTGGATATGATTGGTAAGGACGATTGACACTTCCTGGCCGTCCACGTCATGAAAAGTTACTAATTCCTAAAGCACCTGAAAGAGGAAAACAGTTGTTTGACCATGGAACCCATGAGAAATGTGCTTGAGGTCTGTCACACACAGCTTTTTGCAGATTGTTGTTTTCAGATTTGGTCATTCTAACGGACAGTGAGAACCCATACCACCTGCACTGGAAGATCGTGAGGCAGGGGGAATGTGCTGTTCTTAAGACTAACATTTTCTAGCCTACACCCTTTCTGTTCGGTAGGCAGCATCAGCATGACACTGCTGGACATCCAAGGGAAACACCTGTCACACCGCATCCAGTCAACAGTGCCACTTCACCCTCGAACGCTCATTATAGTATAACAATTTACGCTACAACTGTAAGTGCTTTTTGTGTAACCACCATCCAACAGATCCTTCTGGTATTGTAGAATCTCGAGGAAACAAGCGTTACAGCTGGTTCAGCTTGTTAGTTCATTGTGATATACAAGGTCGACCACCGCGTCAAAGTAGCAGCTATCGGCCTGGACAACATAAACACCAGTATGAAGTTATTGACTAGTTGTATCCATTATATAGATTAGCTATGCCTTCCTCGTTGGAGTCATTCAATGGTTAAAGTTTAAAGCGACATGGTTCTAGACGACTAGACTGAAAGAGACGTACTTATTCTATGGCTGATATACATAACCTTAAATCAATTAGTTCACCTTTTTGAAACTTGTCGCGCTTAATGAGGCTTAGACATCAAGATTGTAGCAGAAGCCCATCATACAGCATATGTGTTTCAAAGTCTGATGTACAAGCGTGTAAGAAGTTATATTCCTTTTTGTCGCACACAGTATACTGAACATCATATTACTCCTAGTTAATTTTTTTCCTCGTCTCTGTTCATGCCCATATTACTGATTTTGATATTTCTGCCTCTACTGTTTTTCTTCTTTTGTATCATTGAGAATTGTGGCGAATTGAATCAACATATGAGAGGTTAGGAGGTTTTCGCCTCTATCTGACAGTTATGAAGATATTCAGCGTTTTTTTTTGATAATGCTTAATATTAAGTCTCAAATTATATTGTAATTACAACTTTCACTTTGTATTTTTGTAACAATTTACTTTTCTTTGTTTACTTGGTTATTTCTAGTGGAGTACCTGCTCCGAATTTCCGGTCAACAAAAAGCTTTGACGTTGATTCTTTTGCCAGACTGTATAAAGGTAGACAATGTTATTAGTATAAGTTATCATTGGTAATAATTATCATCATCAAAGCCCATGTGATTTGGGGGTTGTTTAGTTAGTTTATGTCGGTCTTCTTACATTTCTATCGATTTCAAATGATAATTATACGAAAAGCAGTATTTATGTAAACTTTTGAAGTTTTCAGAAATATTTTTAGCATCATATGTATGTTTTTAGTATTGTATTTTTGAGATCATTCTTTCTCAGAATCAAACAGTTGTGTTCAAGTAACTTGTGAATGACAGGGATTTAACAATAATAATAATAATAGTAATAATAATAATAGTTTTATTCCAAATTGCAATTTGGAATTCTCAGTATGATATATTGCAGCAATAGCAATTTATATGTATGCATATATACTCCTTTACAACATTTCGAATTGTGTTGTTATAAAAATTTAAGTAATGTAAAGAATATTAATAACAAGAACATTTAGCATACTTAATTCAGTTATTGAAATGAGGTTGTTAACTGCTAAAAAGTTGATATATGAGTTATGTTCTAACACTTTTCCTGACATAATTTACGCGCTAGGTAAGGTACAGTCGAATTCTTGTACTTGGCTGTACGAGCTTACAGTCTGATGTAATTTCTTCATGTCCTCCCTGAAGGGAGATACATGGAAAGAGCTGTGTTTAAAGTGGATGCTCAGTGTTAGTTAAAACAACTGTAGCTAGTTGTTTGCTAGAATTTAAATATCTGTCAACTACTGTGTTAATCAGTCGATCCGGAGCCACAGCAGTCACCCTACTGACAGCTTTCAAAGCCCTACGCATTATAACATAGTCCTTTTTCAGTAGACCGGGAAAGATCAACGATGAACAATAGAGAAGAATAGGTAAAATACAGGGATTATTTAACTGCAAAAGCAAAAGTTGAGTGATATCAGAGAGTCTTAGTTTCTCTATGAAATGCGTTAAGTGAAAGATTTTCTTAAAAGTCAACACGAAATGAAACGGCCAACGAAGATTAGAAGTAAAACTTAATCTAAGATAGTTAACACTCGATTTACCTTCTACAGCAATACCATCAATACAACAGGAGTCATGAAATCTAAGCAGCTCACACAAGTCCTTTTTACGCCTGAGAAGGGAAACAGAAACCCAAAAAGTACTACACCTTGAGACACACCAACTTCAGTCAGCAATGAAGTGGAGATCTTCCCATTATACACAATATACTGTTTCGTTTCAGAAAAACAAGAATACAGGCACTTTGCAACCCACGACTCAGTACAAGCTATGGTAAGCTTATTTAACAGCAGAATCAAATGCTGGTGAGTAATCTAAGAATGCACAGTGAACATACTTAACACCTTTGTCTCGCCTCGAAACAATATTATGATGCAAAACAGTGACAGCATCTAAAGTATTTCTCCTGTGTTTGTGAGCAAACTGTTTTGGATCTGAAAACTTTCAAGGAAGATTCAAGCACAAGGAGGAGTAATTTCTCTATAGTCTTTAAAAAGGGGAAGTTATATCGATGGGTTGAAACTTAACATCTGATTCAGATGATGACTTGGCCATGATCTCCTATGATCTCCTTCTAAACAGCGAGTATTGTGTTGACTAATATGAGGTGATTATGCACACAAATGAGCTCGATAGATAAGTTTACTTTATCTCCGTGCGACTGTGAATCGAGCACAACTGAAGTCAGCTGGCATTTGGTCCCAACCGCTTAAGAAAGTGAGGGTGGATATTTATAAAATACGGATCTGATTGCGAATTTCACCACTAACTAGCCATACTTTCATACTTATGCGGGGAGATAAGAAAAAAGCTTCTATAACAGTGAAGTTGTAACACTTCTCCATAGGGTTTATGGTTGTGATCATTAGATTCCTAATTTGTTGTAGTGATTTTATCCTTTGTCAAGTTTGCCTTTTAGTCATCGCCGTCACCTTATTCCTATAGTTCAATCAGATGTTTTTTAGTCGCAGTGAAAATTGTCCCCCAGTAGTGAGCTTCAGGTTTTTTGTTCTGGACTTAACTAGATTTTGATGCATTTGGGGCAACTGGACTACCCGGAACAGCATAAAGACGTCTATAAAAGACATGATTTTTAGCCACCATACTATACAACGCAGTGGAAGGTAGACTCCTAACATCATAATTCTTAGACCAAAAAAGAGCATGAGTGCAAAATCACCACGTTAACTGATTCTCAACCACTTTAGTCCAAGCCTTCTACTCACTAACTTTTAGAAAAATGACTGTGATCAGCATATCGTTGATTCACCTCACGATTGGTAACAGCAATCAGTGTCCTCTTCGGTTAGCGCTATTTCTTGGTCTCGGTGTCACTATACTTCAATTTCACTAAGGTCTGTGCTTCCTCACTCTCTAACTGGGGTATACGCAACACACTTAATAAATATCTAAGTCGGGGTGGGCTAAAAAAATTATCTGATGGTTCACCTCCAATTATTTTGCACCTAACCCCAGCATAACTCATTCAGTGATTTCGATTCTTTAGGGTGATACTTTAAAGGCATGAACAATCGAGTCTTTATAACCGCCTTTCATCTCACAATTGTATAGGAGATAAAAGTATAGTTCATCAGTTTTGCAAGCGATGCAAATTTATTTCATCAGTAATTTAATTACTTCTGCAACTGGTTCATCGTATCTGGGTAAACAAGTCAATGAAAGGGTCCAAATACTGTACTTTGACAATTGTCAAACCCGACGTAAAGGCATCTTCTTGCATTTGAAACATACAAATCTCCTATCACATACTTTAGTTTTCTTGTAATATAGTGGGAACAGCAGCCGTGCTTCATTGGCAGTTGACTTCCAATCATCGGGTCAGTAGTTCGAATTCTACTCTATCAACCGAGGTTTTGATAGTCAGGTAGTGTCAATTATCCTCATACAATGGGTATAACCCGTTCGCTGTTATTGATGTGTCAGAGGGTAAGACAAGCTTACATCAATTGGTGGAACATCATTGGCTGTTACTCTTAATCAACTGTACACTCGTTAATGGCATGGCTTCTGTTCTTACTATTTTGAGTTTCTGTTGTTGTATGCAAGCAACAATTTTATTTGATTAGACAGTACACTTTGTGGTATGATGCATTTATCAGTCTTCTTGATTACTACTTTTTCTAAGATTTTGAGCAAAGTCATGAATCGAGTGTAATCAGTTAATCGATGACATCGTTGTTGTAGGGACATATCGCCCAGCCACACCAAGCCATTTGACGTTATATCGTATAAATATTCAGCCTTTCAACTGGCCATCATTTCCCTATACAATCAACCAACTGTGATTACTTCATAGAAATTCCATGAAGTTGTCTGTGGTTGTAGAGTTAAATTATTATCTAAATTTATTTAGTTACTTCAACTAATGTTTTCCTCACACTATTTTTACGAAGTTTATTTCTTTCTCGTTTATCCTGTATTTTTATCCACCAGTTTGTCCTTTGGGTATAAAAGAAAAACTGCGTATTATTTGGATTCTACCGTCTCAACTTGATCACTATGAGTAAGTGATAGATTTATTTATTTTCACACAAGCTAAGTTTTTCTGTAATTCATGTCATATTGACTTTACATAGTTTTTTAATTTTTAGTTAATGAAAACCTTTTTCTTCACTGTTAATTACACATAAAAGTCCAGTTTCATGTTTTGCTTTGCCGATTGGATTTTGTTTTATGAGTTCTGGGTTCTGAGTTCTGGGAGTTGACTTTCAACCAAACTCCGCTCTACCTACCGAGGTTTGGCCGGTCAATTAGTATCATTAGCCCTCATACGATAGGTGTAATTGATTGTCTACTGCATAAATGTGCACAAAGTTGTTGAGTGCATTTCGATTCGATTCGATTCGCTTCTATTCTATTCCTTTCATTCTCTTCCCCATCATTTTTCAGTCTGTCGATCCTGTTCATCTATTTTTTAAAGAAACAGTAGCATTTACTGGATAAGGGTAGTTGAATTATCCATATATCTGGGACAGGTGCAGAATCATTTCGGTTGCATGTATTTGGTGTTGATTCGACAAACAAAGATTTGGTTTCAAGTTGTTATTCATCGAAGACTGACATCAGTTGGAGGAACAAAGGAAACCTGGGAGCACTGGACAGCTTTTCGTCTAGTATGGGACTCCTCAGCAGTGCGCACCCACGACCCCACCAGCATGGATCGAACCCGCGACCTTCAGGTTCCGCGGACGAAACAGCTGTCCAGTGCTCCCAGGTTTCCTTTGTTCCTCTAACTGATGTCAGTCTTCGATGAAACAACTTGAAATATTTCCAAATCTCCACAACCCCTCAAAAATTTAAAAGATTGGTTATAAATTTCTCCCTCCACCCGACTAAGTTAGTTTTCAACACTGTCACCCTATCCCACCCTAGTGTGTGATCGTGTGTAATTGTGTACAGAGCTATAGCTGAGCCTTTCTCTAAATTTCTTATCTTATTAGGATCTAGTAATCTTGATTTAACTAAGTTTTTGTGCTCTGTTATTCTAATCGACCCTGGTCGACCACTTTGACCTATGTATTTCACGTAGCAGTCATTGCAAGGGATTTGGTAAACCAGATTATTTTGCTTAATTGCATCAATAGGGCCTTTTAACCTATTATTATTATTATTATTGCTATTATTATTGGTGGCTTTATAGTCCAGCAAGTAAAGGTGTATGCAAGTACTGAATTGCAATGTTTTGTTCTATATATTTATATTGGATTATTGTCATTCGTGAAATAAGATCGCAACTATACTACTTAAATCAACATCTTATAGATCCACTATGGATATTGTTAATCACATGTTCCTTTTGGAATGTTATTGTGCTTTGAATAAGCACATTGAAACCTATTTATTTGACTGCATATTATTATATATGAATTAGAAATATATAGGGCTTTATTAGTACCATTCATTTTTAGATTAATATGAACTTATTTCAACCTACTTAGATAGATAACTTCTCTTAATGTACATTATTTGAAAAGTTTTTGATCTCAGATATGTGATCTTTTTTCATGATCACAATTTTTAAAAACACTATTGGTGTAATGTATACATATATTGCTTTCGAAAAAATAATTTCTTTAGATCATCACCAATGGAGGTGTTATCTTCTCTTATTGGTCATGAGGGTAGAGGAAGTATATTGGCTCTACTTAAAGAAGAGTAAGTATTGTTCGCATTGATGATGTTATAATTTGTGTCATACACTTACATTTTCATCATTTTCAATGTATATTGTAAATTATTCTACCTGTCGGCTTAATACACTAAAATACAAACGCTAACGACCTACGGAATGTGCAACACTATCACGTCAAGTTAGTAGTCCACTGAAATCATTTATCACAATTTTCACCTCATCTACACAGTATTCATTAAATCTACTGTCACTGGTTCAACTCTGTACCACGTCTCTTTCTGCAATGCATTATGCTGGGAACTTTGAAGTTGTCAAGTAGAGATGACAATAGAACTATAGAGTTACTTTATTCAGTAAGATGTTTTACTTGAAATTCGTGAACATTAGATTGTTTTTACGCTTGTTATGAACCAATAATTCCGAACGCAAATTCTACCTTGAGTTACTGGTTCAATTTGCCTGTCGAAATGATTCATTCAAGGTATGTTAGTCAGAATGCTCGTGCTTTGAGGAACTACTATATCATGGAGGTTATTTGCATATTAGTGAGACCGAAATGGTACGACGTAGTTTCAACTCAAAGGACCAACTCATGCTACTGGCTATATCGGGTAGCAATAACACTCAGGTGTTTCTCAAGGACAACTGGCATCCCTAACTCTTGTTGCCTTCTTTTTGGCAGAACGAAGGAACTAGAAAGGATTGGTTCTAAGAATCTTTCAGTCTACGAATTTATGGTACTAACATTAGGGTTTTTTGACAGTATGGAGTCAACACAATTAAATTTAAATTAACCTTTCCATGCAGAAAATGAACAGCGTAGAGTATCAGTTTCTGAAGCTTTCCATTGAGCAAACCATTTATTTATAGTAATTTGGTTGGTTATGGCTAGTAGAGGAATCCAGGACAACACGTTTCGTTCTATTCGGGATTCGTCAGCTGAATGTACCTGGATCCCAGTGATGTTGTTCCCACTGAGACTTGAACCTCGTACTCATCGCTTCAAATGCCAAGGCTTTATCCATTATGTCACGGGGGAACGATAGCCACTTCTTGTACAACTGGTAGTAGTTATTACGATTTATTGATATACTTGTAATTCTCCGTTGTTTTATTTGGTCGAATACGCCAGTAGAGATCGAACAATTCGATCCGATAAAAACAACGGAGAATTACCTTTATGTTTATTCATCCATTTCACGAAGCAGTAGTCTTCCATAGTGTGAGCGCCTGGGAAGAGTCAGTGATGTGACTCAAAGTCGATCTAAGTGACCCAGATGCATCAACGAATCTTCATATCAATCATTATACCGAATTTCCTTATTGCCTTTATCCCTTCTCTTTTTATGACTTTCTGCTACTTTTGGTTATTTCTTTATCCTTAATCTAAGCGCTATCTGCCTTGATATTCTGAAATGAAGTGAGATAAGCTAGATTGTTACGCAGGAGTGCCACGTCTCGTGTTGATATTGACTAATTTACTGTTTTTATTTCGTATACACTACAGCTACATTGTACAAATATCATGTCATAACGTTGAGTTGTTGAGTAGGTGCAACACAAAGTTAAATATTTCAAATCATTTGTCCATCATAGTGTAGTCTTCGTCTGGTAGATTCAGAATCACGAAGCATAGTAATCAAATTTAGAAAACACAGATTTGTATTATGCAAAAATATGATTCACATTGACATATCAGTATAAATCATTTTATTAGACATTTCTCTGTTTATTATTATTTAGGGAATCTACTTCTTTCCAAAAACTACTCTAAAGTTACAGTAGTGGAATGTGTTGACTATTTCACTTACTTGGGGAGTTACATCATCTCGAACAAATCGCTGATTAAATCTCAGCTCTGATATAGAAGACTAGTCAGGCATTTGCCGATTTGCATCACCTATGTTGTCGGTGATATATCCATCCGGCTATCTATCAAAGGACGAGTATATTGCTCTGCAGTCTGTTCTGTTCTGTTGTATGACTGTGAGAAATGACCGTTAAAAGTAGAGGACATGAAGCGGTGACACGTGTTTGATCATAAGTGTCTTCATAGCATTGTTCGCGTTTGGTGGAATCTCTATGTGAGCAATGTTGAAATTAGTCGAAGGACACTAGGCAAGAGAGGCATGTCGGTTGACGAAGTTGTGAACCCTCAACGACTGAGGTGGCTTGGACATGTACTGCACATGTCAAGCCATCGCCTACCTCGACGTGCCATGCTAAAGGAAGTTGAATTAGGTTGAAAAAGGGTTCAGGGTGGTCGAACCAAGACGTGACACCATTCGATGAAATCTCTTTCTATTGATCTGACCCATATGGGAAGACGTAGATTGCTTGGTTGGGGACCCCAAGACGAAAGAAATCAGTGGTTGAAGACTCTTGGTGACATGGTTGAAAATCGGTCACAATGCTGCAGATGTATTCACTCCTTGACATCTCCTAAAGCTTGAATATTTACACTAACCATTGCCTTCAAATTGTTTATTCTCTCCCGCAAATCTGTCTCTTTTGATATCACTTTTCTATCCACCTGTTCTTTGTATACTGCTGTATGAAGTGTGGAAACTTGAGCCGATACACTTGTGTGCGAGGTTCTATGTTGATTTTGTCAGCGTCAGTCAGTCAGTCAAAGATTGCAGCGAACAAACTAATTAATTTTTAAAATTGGTATTCATCATGGATTGACATAAGTTGAAGGAATATTGGAAACTTGTGAGCACTTGACAGCTGTTTCTTCTTAGTATGGGACTCCAGCAGTGCGCACCCGTAACCTTCAGGTTCCGTGGCCAGCACGTTACCATTAAGTCACTGGGTTGGAATGCAACGGTCCATATTTCCAACTTCTGTCAGTTCACGGCGTAGCGCGACCATCACCCAATGTCATCTTTAAGTATTTGTCTTCATGGTCACCAGGTTTGCCCCACCAGTCATGACTTCTCGTCGGAACTTCAGGAATCACTTCTCGAAGCTAGTCACCAATGAACACTAGACCAATTGAATTCGGGAGTTTGCAGGGATTTAGTTATTTTTCAAGTTGGCATTTATCATCATTCATTTTTTGTCTGTCTTATTTAGAAAACTGATATTCCATTGATTAGTCACAGAAGAGCAACGAACTTCATGTTATGTAATCCTGAGTGCTGACCGAATCCTATCGATCATCTTTGCAATGTGGCCACCAAACTAGGAGGCGTAGCATCACAGTGCACATTGATAGATGTTGGTTGGTTGGAGGTAGTCAGCGTGAAGCTTTAGACCTAGGTTTCGTGCTTGCTGGCTTTCATCAGAAAGGCGTATCTGCAGCTTCTACGAGGCTGATGTCCCGCCTGACATTGAAACCCGCATCACCCAGTGTTGTAGTAAGCCACGTTATCACTGAGCTATTCGGGGTGCGATCGACCTCCTGTAGGACTGAGTTACATACACTGATTAGTCACGGGAGAGCAACCAATTTCATTTTGTCAGTGGTAACGTCTCTGACTGCAACACTGGGTGATGCGGGTTCAAATCTTAGCGGGACGTCAGTGCCGTCAAGGTTGCAGATACACCTTGCTTCCTGCTGATCGCCTCCAACTAACTAACAAAACTGGTATTTTTTTTTTTACTTTTTGACGTATTAACCCATTTTGTGCGAAGACTACTCACAATTCAAGTTGACTTCTATATCTGTAGACGAATCATATATGGCATATGGGCACATCCCTAGATGAACTTCAGTCATCCGTACAAAATACAATCCATTTACTGGACTTTACTAACGCTTCATCATAATGTAGAATATCTTGTAAAATTCTTATGTTTACTTGTAACATATTTTTATATGCTTATACGTTAATCCACTTGTTACTCTGGAATTTCATACGGTAAAATTATCAAATATCACTGATATTTCGAACGAGAGAATGCTGTGATGATATATATATATATATATATATATATATATATTATATAATAATATATATTATATATATATATAATATATATAAACTGTGCTCATTTAACCTGAAATTCACTGATCAAGGAATGTATTTCAGTGTTCACTATTTGGGATGGGTGGATATCTGCAATAGTTTTAATATTCGAATTATACATAACGTGAGCCAATGAGACATTTTTCTATCTTTGCTTACATAATCTTTGGAGCTTACTAACACTGATTGGAAATCAATAGTCAATAAACTTATCAAAACTTATATGAGGTTTGCCATATGGTGTGCCAATTTATTGTTTGTATGAAGGTATCTAGTTGTATATATATATATATATATATATATATATATATATATATATATATATATATATGTGTGTGTGTGTGTGTTTCTGATGCACAAGCGAACCCGAGAGTGAAGACCATAAAATCTATCAATAATTTCATCATTTATAAATAGGACTGTGTTAGTAGATATTGAGTAAGCTTTTTAGTTTGAATCGTATGATTTATAGGGACAACTGCAAGTATAGACATCTGCACTGTCACGTGATAATGACTTCTATGCGCCTCACTCACTCACTAACCCATTCACTCAGTAAATATCAATATGAGAGTCAGCATTACTAAGTAGTGGTCGAAGGTGGGATGCCTCAAATCGACGTAAAAAGTAGCAAGATGAAAGATAGTGAAATATGGTAAGACTCAGTCAAACGTAGTAGAGAAAACTATAGGAAGGAGAAAAAAGGGGCAAAACAATGACCAAATGTGATATTGAGATTAGTGTGAAGATAATGTGTGAATGCATCTGCTCCAAGCAGATCGATTTTATCTCATACTACTTAGCATCCTAAACCGTCGTTTTCAGCTGTCACACGAATCTCAACCGGGAAAGCCTTCATTTATCTGCATGATTCAGAGCGACAGTTAAAGAATTTATGGACTAATCCCATGTTTTAAACAAGTAGTCTTTAGCCTTTTTCCAGACCAAACCGAATTCGGTTAACATTGCGCAACGGTTAGATGATGACTAGCTGCGTGAGTCAATGAAGAACTACAACCTTGTAAAGTGACTTATCAATTTTACTTAAAACTGTACTCCTAAGATGTACATTATTAAAATGGTGTTCTATGACAAATGGCTAGCGCTATTACGAAAATGATAATCCAACACCTGAAGCCTTTATATATTCTCTACTTTTAATCGCCATGCTTTATGCCATGTAGTAGAACAGAGCAAACTGCAGCGTGGCACACTTAGTAGGCAGTTAGATATCACGCCGGTCCCATAGATGGTGTAAGGAGGCAAAAGCCAATCAAACCTTTTTTATTCGTGCAGAAATTTCGTCGGCCAGGTAAGTAAAGTGATCAACGCACTCAACCACTTCATTCTCTATTGTTAGACTATGTATCAACATTAACCAATCTTGGGTCAACGCGCTGTTTGTTGGTCATGAGAAACTCATCCTAAACATGAAATTGGTTGCACTCCCGTGACCAATCAATACATGTAAGCCAGTCCTACAGGAGGTCAGTCGCGGCCCGAATAGCTCAGTGGTAAAGTGGCTGACTACAACACTGGGTGACGCGGGTTCGAATCCCGTCGAGGTTGCAGATACGCCTTGCTGACGAGTGCCAAAAAGCACGAAACCTAGGTCCAGGGCTTCCTGCCGATTGTCTCCCACCAACTAAGAGATGGCAAATCCGCAACGCAATAAACTACGAATACTCAACAGAGCCATCTCGGCGAGAAAATGAGTGAAACACTTTACCGCTAGATGCTTATTACTTTTAAACGTTGAAATATAGAACGATTACTAGATAGAAAGCAAGTCTGTGAAAATAAAATAATTTCTACATATACCGCCTGTGAGCCATAATATCTCAAAATTTACTCTCAGTATTGTTTCTGGTATAAGCGGTGACGATATACTAAACGGTTGCTTGTATTGATCTTAACGAAAAATGGGTTATACAACCTTCAATTCAGCAGATGTCCAATATATCTGTACTACTGAGCCTAGCCTTCTGTGATATCATGTAACTTTGTACCGTTTTAACTTTTTTAATTTATTTTAGGAATCTTGCTGTTTCTCTAGGAGCGGGTGTTAGCTGTACATCAGATTTTGATAACTCTAGCCTATGTGCAATTTTTATGGTGAACATTCAGCTCACTGATTTTGGTCGTGATCACGTTTTCCGGGTAGGTTATGCTTATTAAAAAACAACAACTGTTGAAGTAGAATACGATAGGTATGATTTTCGCTTTGCAGAATTAACTTCTGTTTATTTTTTTATCATCAGGTTCACATTTCTATCGAATTCTGATACTTCTGTAATCAATCACTACTGTCTTATGATGATGTTCAGCAATTCAGCGACTTTGATCCGTTTGGAATTGAAAAAAATGACTAGGATATAGCGTTAAAGTTTGAACCGATACATATCTCTTCTGTTGAATAGTAATAGAACTTTAACTGTGACGTTAAGCTGGTTATCAACTGGATCCTGAAGATCAGCCGATAAAGCCTTGGATCCCTCAACTAAAACCACAGAGTCTATTGACCAGAAGTGGTGGGATGCGTCGACCGCTTCACTTACTTGAGTAGTTGCATCAGCCCGAACAGGCTAGTTACTGACGAAATCTCTGCTCGGATAAAGAAGGTGAGGTTAGCATTTGCCAACTTGCGTCATCTGTGGCACTGGAAAGATATCTGACTATTTGTTAAAGGACTATTTTACTGTGCTGCAGTCCATTTTGTCCTGTTATACGGCTGTGGCATAGCCGTTGAAAGTAAAAGATATGAAGCGCCTACAAGTTTTTGACCGCAGGTGTCTTCGTGGCACTACTGGCTCATGGTGGAATGACCATGTGAGCAATGTTGAGGTCAGGAGAAGGGTTCTAGGCGAAGAATGACAGTCAATTGGTGAGGCTGTGAATTTTTGTCGGCTGAGGCGGCTTATACATACTTTGGGCATGCTGAGCCACCATCTACCTTGTCTTGGCATCCTAGGAGAAGCTGAATTAAGTTGGATGAGGGTTCATTTCGGTCAGATGTGGTACCAGCCCATAAAATTCCCGACTGTTTGTCTGCGCCGTGTGGAGGAGATGTAGACTATTTGGTTGGGGTCACCGATGCACTTGTATGCGAGGTTCCAAATATTAGTTGACAAAGACGAACCTAATGTATCTATCATTATTTGTGTTTTCCAAGCATCTCCAAGTATATGCAATCTTTCTAGATTTTCTGAAAATAAGGTCTTAACATTTTACTTTTTTATCACTACCATTAGTTGCAACCATTGTTTATCACATTCATATTCATAGGCTAGGTTGTTGATTTGGGAGTTATGTTAGTATGTCCAGGTGAAGCAAAGCTTTGGACTAAGCTTGACACATTCTGCCCATAATTCATCAGGCTTATAAGCTGTAAAAATTTTCAAAGCTGATCGACATTTTAAAGTGACAGTTAATGCCTTAGATCATTTGCCATCCCCTGGAAACTTTATCACTTTTCGTTGTTAAGTTACTTTCAAAACAAGTATAGAGGAAGAGTTCTTCTTTTACCTTAACTTCCTAAACTTCCGGCAAGGTATTGTTCATGAACTATTTTGTGAATAATTTGATATTCAATAGTCAGAAGTGATTGGTTTTATTGTCATGGGAATTACAGAGCTGTAACTAGTTCACTAGTTACTTACTGGTCCTAAGCCCGGATAAAGAGGGGAGGTTGGGCGTAGGGCTAGCGACCCTACCCAGTAAAGCCAGTCCAATCGCTAAAGAAACTTGAAAGCACAAAAAAACATAAAATTGAACTTATTCCTCGCTGGAATCGGAGAGATAAAATGACGCCAGTTAGTGAAAGCCTTCAGGAAGCCAGTCAGCCAATGCGTCTTCTCTCTCTCGATGAAACTGAAAGTAGACATGGGGACATGGAATGACTGAGCAATGTTTGAACCTACCAAGGCTGCCAGATTGCAAAAAAGATGAGAAGGTATAGCACAGAAGTGCTGGGAATCTGCTGAAGTAGATGAAATGGAAGTGGACTCTCCAAACTGTCAACTGGAGAATAAATAATCTACTCCGATATTGTCACCCAGACAACAACCACGAGCACAATGAGTTTTCCAGTGACTATCATGATGTCCCCAACAGCATCGAAGGCTCTCTCTCATGCAATGGGAACCAATCTCCTCCACGGTCAGGATCATGACAGCAAGGTTCAACTCAAAAGGAAGGAAAGTCACAATCATACAATGCTACGCTACGCTATGCACCTATAAATAATGCAGATGAAGAAAAGAAGCAGGAATTCTACAGACAACTGCAATCAGTACTGGATAAGACCCCACCCCAGATGACGACATCAAAATCCATTCTAATGGGTGGGGTGACATGAATGCCAAACTGGGAGTGGACAGACAACACAGGAAGAGAGCAGATCATGGGTCGGAAGCACTCGTTTGTGAAATGAACGAGAATGGAGAATTGTTTGCATATTTCTGTGCATCCAACGATTTGGTGATTGGAGTGTAGTAGTGTGTTCAAGCACAAGGATATTCACAAAGCGACATGGATTTGATTTCACCAGATGGACACACTACACTGAAAATCAGATCGACTTTATCTCAATGTGAAGAATGTGGAGAAGCAGCCTACTGGACACAAGGTGAAGAAGAGGAGCAGATGTAAGTTCAGACCACTCACTATCTAGTGCAAGGAACCTACCTTCAAATCAAGTTGAAAGCCTTCAAGGAAGTTGGTGATAGACCACAGTTCAAGTTCAACACCGATAACAGAAACTGAAGGACGAAACTACAAAGCACATATTCACGTCAGCCATGAGAATAAAATGGGGTACATTGAGCACATCTCTGAGGAAACCTATGTGGAAGAAGACTGGAACTCTTTGAAAGCTATGTGGAAAGAAACCTGCATAACTGTGTTAGGAAGGAAGAAGAAAGAAGGAAGATAAGGAATGGATCTCGATGAACACATGGAAGCTGATAGAGGAGGGGAGGATGGTGAGACAAGATATTACAGTGCAGTTTATGGATGCATAGCGAAAAGAAGATCTAAGTACAACGTATAAAACACTGGACAAAGAATTGACGAAGAGTGTGCGCAAAGACAAAAGACTTTACTCGACACGCTGGCAAGTGAAGCAGGAAAGGCTGTCGGTAGGAGAGACCTGACAACCCTATATCAAATTACCAGATTACTATTTGGGAGGGGAGAGATCAACAGAGACTAAACCAATGAAAGATGGTGAAGAAAAGCTAGTTAGCAAAGAGGAGAAACAAAGGAGACGATGGGCTGACCAGAAATACCACCAGCAGCCCAGCCCTAGAATTACCAGTGAACACATGCCTTCCGAAGTCCTGAACGCGATAAAATTGCTGAAGGCCGTGAAATCAGTCAACTCTCTACCTCAACTTCATCGACTTTGAAAAGGCCTTCGACCTCGTCGATCGAGAAGTAATTTGGCAGGCAGCTTCAACACTATGGAGTACCACAAACCTTTATCAACCTCATTCAGCAGCTGGCTATATGACGAAGCCACATGCCAACTGATTCACAATGGAAAGCTCAGTGACGCCTTTGAAGTGAAGACAGACAGGAGTAAGACAAGACTGCCGCCTGCTATCACCGATGATCTTCCTGATTGTGGTAGACTGGATCATGCAGCAAACCGTGAGGAGCGAGAAGAGGAGCATACGCTGTTTGGCCGATGAAAAGACCGTAGAAGATTTGGATTTCGCCGATGATGATTTATGTCTGGTGTCTCATAAACTTGAAGATCTACAGGCGAAAACTAACAAGTTGACAGAAGAGGTAAGGCAGCGAAGACGGGACTCCAGGTGATTATAGAGAAGACAGAGGTGATGAAGATACCCAACCAATAACAACATCAACAACAAGCACCAATGTTCATTAACGGGAGAAACCTAAAGGAAGTAGTCTCTTTCACCTACCTAGACAGCATCGTTTCAAATACTGGGAACACGGGAGAAGACGTCAAAGCCAGGATAGGAAAGACATTAAGTCAGGCCTTCATCAATCTGAAGTAGTCAGTTTGGAGATCTACTGCACTGCACTGCACTCAGCATTTGGCGTGAACAAGATCTGGATTTTCAACACTAATGTCAGTTAAGTAACCCAGTGCTTCTATGTGATGGTTGAGAGACTTGGCGAGTTACGAAAAGCACTTCTAACAAACTACAGACATACGTGATCAACAGCTGCCGCCTACGCTCACTCGATACTGAAGATAGAGATCAGATGGCCAGAATAAGAGGAATAAGCAACAAGGGACTCTGGCTGTCTGTCAACGAACCAACCAAGAATCTATTACCCAACAAATATGCAGAAGAAAGTGGAGATAGATTGGGCATACACTGAGAAGACCATTTGGAGACATCACGCGTCAGGCCAGGTCCTCGAGTGGAATCCAAATGGGAAACGACGAGTTGGGCGTGTCAGGGTGATATGGAGGAGATGATGCGAGTAAAAAGTGAAAGTTTCCGAGTAGTCGTGTTGCCAGGTTGAAAAGACTGCAGAGAAGATAGTGAAATGTCGGCGTGCTAGTGAAACCCTATGTTCCACTAAAAGCCAATGGGACAAATAATAATTATGGTAATTACCAAATTAGCTCAGACACTCAACTTTCACCGAATGAATTACAAGTTCTAACTTCGCTTCACCTACTACGGCCATGAAGCTATGATCATAAGTGGATCATTGCCTTATACACGAACCTGTACATGGTTATTGGCTGTATCGAGAGCAGACGCATTACCTTCTAAGTATTGATTTAAGCATTTCTTTTGTTCCTTCTTAGCTTTTTTAGTGATCTTCTTTATTGTTATGTTGATAATGGCTCGTTTGGGAGTAACAGTCAACTTTTCAGTACACTTTCATATACTAAGATATGATTGACATTCGATTTGTAAAATCTGTCGATAAAGAAAGGTTTGGATATCATTATTTATGATATAAATGTTGAAAGTTTTGAGTGATGAGTTGATTTTCTGAAACATCTTCATAGTAATCGACACGCCTTTATATAAACCCTACATCACCATTCTACTCAACACATTTTAGTGGTGATGAAGTTTTATATATTATATTCTTTTTCTCCCTCCCTATTTGCATTTCTTCCATCTACTTTAGGTTTGTGGAATATTATTTGATTATATAAAGATTCTTCTGCATTCCGCCATGTCTTCATCTGTGTTAAACGGTCCTCTGGAAAACAGTGCTGATTTGGTTAATGGACAATTTAATGATAATAATAATCTCTCTGATAAGCATACATTTTCCACCTATCTACCAGAATATCAGTTAACTAAAGAGGCGAATTTTCTATATACAGAACCTGATGAGGCTGAAGATACTGTTGTCAGTCTTGCCAATATGTTACATCTTGTTAAGCGTGAGCATATTTACTCTGGATATAGACTATTGAAAAAGCCTAATATGCAAGCAAGTTTGTTTTTGCTCGGGTTATTTTATTATTATTGTTTTATGCGACATATGATTACAAGTAAAGTGGGGAGATTGTATGGTATGGTTTCTTCTGTTCTTATTGTCCCTCTTGTGTTAGGTTTGCATAAATATAAAGGAAAACTAGAGTTTTTAAACAAAGTCATTCTAACTGCCTCTTTGGAACTTTACCAAGCTGTTCTACGAGATTTGATTGCTAATGCAAGTCACATTATCACTTCATTCACTGAGTGTCTTACTAAGGCTGTCATATGAATGTAGGATATACACGCGTTTTTATCTAGTCATTTCAGCTGTCCAGTTAGATATCGTCGTTGAAAAAGAACAAATTCACCTAAAGTTGATTTATCCCTACTAACAATGAAACTAATGATTTTTGTTTAATATACGACTGATGTTCAGCTCATCCATTAAACAATATCCTCAATGTATTCATCAGTGTTGCATTTACAAATAACGTTTATCCGGGTACTTATCTTTCCAATTCCTGGCACTAATAACAAGGGGGGCGAATTAAGCTACCATCTGCAAAATGAGTGATGTACATACTTGTAATTTCCCGTTGCTATACGGGACTGAAATGCCCTACCTCTGTTGGCAGATGGGCTCCAATGCGGATGCCTGGATACTGCCCAGATATTCATTATATTGTAGTCTACTGGGCGGTTTGCAGTGGGATCTAGTACGCGCTTTTCATCCTACTTGAGACTCGTCAGTTGAATGTGCTGCACTCTAGTGAGTAATGTTTTTCCCGCTGAAACTCACTGGGGTGCTGCTATATCCAGCTGACTAATCCTAAATCGGACAAAACGTGCGTACTTGATTCCACTGCTAGATACCAGTTAGTCTACAGTATATTGATATGCATAATTGTGCTCATCGTGTCGACCAAAGAAGTGTTAACCCTTTTTGTGCTCTACGCAAAGGTCAACTAATCGACAAACTAAACAATGCAATAAATACATATCGATGCATATGCATGTCCACTATTAGCATTTATTGTGGTCAGTCATCATTCAAATAGGGAATGTCATTTGTAATTAGCTTTCAGAGAGTGGGATTTGTCAACTTTGAAAAAATAATCAAACTATGGTAACGACTACTAAACTAAAACATGAAATCAGCCCATAAACTACTTGATTCTTGTTCTGAGCCGTATAAGGAAATGTAGACTTGTAAGTTGGGGTCCGCCTGACAGTTGAGATCGATGGTTTGAAATTCTACACAATATGACTTAAAGTTGATTTCGATACCCCAGATACCTTCATATATTATCTGCATCCCAGTCATCATATGTTTTTTTGTTATATGACCTACCCTTTCCTCTCCTCGCACGACTTTTTTTGACATTCGATTGCATTGTTTGTATTTAAAGCTTATATTTCATCTATATAGGTGTAAAACTTGGGCACTGCGGTAGAATTTAATTCCATATTAGATTTGTTTATTTGATTTATAACACACGGTGATCTAGTATTATTTGCTTGATGACGTTTCGAGCATAAATTATTGCTCATAATCATATCAATGTAATCACACTACTATCGAAATTTGATTTTTATAGTTACGTCACTTTATGAGTTGTTTTTATTGGTAGTAAAATTTTCCATATCTCTGGTAAAGGTGTTGCATCACTTCTGTTTTATGTATTGAGTGTTGATTCGATGAACAAAGATTCAGTAATCAATCTCTATCTCCACCTAATTTCATCATTCTACTTTCTATGTTGATATTCTGATTTGAAATACGACAAACGGAGCCGTTACAGAATGATGCTAGGTCTCATGTGGATAGTGACTGACTGCTATAGCAACTAATCATATTCTGTGTCTTTAGGGTCTTTGATGATGTTACTTGTGCAGAACTAGCAAGAGATGATTTCCGTTTGCAGAATTATATGTTGGCCCACATATACCGTTCATGGGGAGAACAATTTAACTAAACGAGATCCAAGTACCAATTTTTAGTATGATTTCATTTTGGAACTAGCATATACAAGTCACCATCCATGATCCATTTAATCACACTGGAATGATGTCAAACATGCGAACAAAGGAAATAGGCGATACATACACCTGACTTCTATAACCACTTACACTAATCAACATTACTTGCTTCTCTGCTAAGGCAGTTGAGTTAGCATTCAGAAACTTTGAGGATACTTTTATTTTAAAATATTAACACGGAGATATTTTATGCAGCAAATAATGTCTTTTCTTCTTGACCTTTAATTCAATATTCAGTAAGCAAAAGTTAATAACGATTCAATGTGTTCTTTAGAAAGCAGTAATCTTGAGATCACCTAGTGAAACTTGAAGATAAACACGCAATCAGTTAATAATTTTCTCTACGTGATGTTGCCTTAATGTTTACCGAAAGGTGATGGTGAAGTCTTTTACTGTGTACTATCACTAATCAAAGGTAATAATTATACAATTGTATCACCTGCGAATTTCGTTCTTAAAAGGTAAACATGATGATTGAAAGTAGGAGAAGTGAGTAGGCGAAATTTTTCTCGACCATAAGTCGCTTCATAACACTAATTACTTACCGTTGAATTACTGTGTGATAAATATTGAGATCAGATACGGAGTATAGTAGGCAAGGATGACAGTTCAGTGGATGAGGTTGTGAACCTTCATTTACTAAGGTTGTTCTGGTATTTTGCACAAACCGAACTACCAGCTACCTGCATACGTAATGTCAACCGAAGTAAGATTAAGTGAGAAGAAACCTAAGATTGGCTGTTGTTTTGATCTGTGTAGGGAAATGTAGACTGTTTGATCGAAGTTCTCGAGGCAGTTGGAATATAAGTGGTTGGAGTATATTTGTGTTATGGCTAAAAGCAGTCATACTGGCACATGTATGTACATAATTTATCTTCCTCGAGATCTTGAATGTTTCCTTTAACCTCTTTATTTTGTCACCTCGCATACACCGTTGTCCACTTTTGTTTTCATTCATTTTCCATCCACCTTTTCCTGACATGCCGCTCTAAAGTGTAACAAATTGAACTGATGTACTTTCACGCCAGGTTCCACATCGGTCTGTCTTCTTGTCTCTACTGATCAACCTGTTTATTCGCTTACTTTTGCTTCATCATGATTTATCCTCTTGACTTTTTAGCGTATGGTTAGCGATAATGCATCTCAGATGCAATAGATACAGTTTACATCGTACTATAATAGCTAGATAAATAAACTGATGAACAACTCGTTACAGGAAGAACATATGTCATTTAACACTCTTTTCTAAATCATTATTGTTATACATTACAGAGAATCGTATCATTAAATATCTTTTCTGTACATATTGTTCAATTGGTTTACTGTATTACTTTTATTGTCAATGTCTTGCTTTTTTTTAGTTGTACATTGACTTGCTTAAACTTATGACACCGGAGAGAGCTGCTATTTTCTATCTATCTTCTTCATTTGCATCATCAGTTGATGAGTCAAAATTAGATCATGAACCATGGTTCAATGTAGCCTATCAAAAAGAAGGTAAGCGTACAAGAATATGAGCATGATTCTCTTATAGATACAATCATTTTCGAATATTTATCTGAATGAATTTTAACTAAAGTTATGACCATTGAGTACTAAGTTGGACTGACTATAACATAATTCTTTGTATCTATGTTTTTATTTATCTGTATTTAAAGTTTTATCTGCCTAATCCTTAGCGAATTCTAAGGTATCCCCTTGATGAAATAAGCTTTCATAACCTTTATTGTGTTAGATTGATTATAGAATTTTTATTATTACCATTTCTCTTCATTTACTTTCCTAATCACAGTGACGAATTTTGTAGATCGTTGATAATACTCAGATGTTATCATGCTCATCCTAGAGCCTCGATATCATATAACGATATGCATAGTGCCCTGTTTACAGTTGTACACCTCACCCCTGCAAACACATAATTACTCAGTACTGTTGATAGGTTCTAGGATTTTTTTTATTCAATCTATGATACCAATGCTCTGACCAGTGAATTGAAGTTATTGTTGCTACTTTCGATATTTCGTTTGGGAACTCAAGGTTATCGGTCACCCATCCGGGTAATACCAAACACTAAATATTGAATTTAAAAGATTCATTTCTTGCTCCTGTTCTTTAGAACCGTAAATCGTGTCATCACTAGGCAATCTATTTGCTTTCTGATGACTATTCTCAATCATATCTCCAAGTGAATAGACGTGATATAAACGTGTTTTACTAATGATTTGTGTTCTTTACTTTCCATTGATAAAATATGCGGAGATGTGGCTCATCAGTTTCTGGAGATTACTTTCAACTGACGAGTCACCGGTTCGAACACCACTGCACCTACCGAAGTTTGGGCAACTAGGTAGTATTATCAATCCTCACAGAATAGGTGTGGGTCATTGCTTACTGCACGAATGTACACTAGGTAGCTGAGTGGATCTCGATTTCCATTCGATTCCAACAGTGAGTAATACTTTGCCCTCAGATACTCTGAATCTCACACACTGAGCATCCAGTTTCGAACAGACTGATAGGACAGATAGAATCAATGTAGAACCTGACGCACAAGTGCGTCGGTTCAAATTACCACACTTCATAAAAAACAAGTAAATAGAAAAAGTGATATCAAGGTAGAAGTTGCAGGAGAGAATAAATAATTTGAAGATAAAGGTTAGTGCTAACATTCAAACTTTAGATGACACCGAGGAGTGAATACATCTTCACCGCTATAACCGGTTTTCAGCCATGTCACCAAGCTTCTTCAACCACTGATTCCTTTCGTCTTGGGGTCCCAAACCAAGCAGTCTACATCTCGTCACATAGCTCAAGCCAACAGTTAGGGACTTCATCAGCTGGTGCCAGGTCTTAGTCTGACTATCGTAAACCCTCTTACAACCTAATCTGACTTCCCCTAGTATGGCATATCGAGGTAGGTGGTGGTTCAGCATGCGCAGTACATGTCCTGGCCATCTCAGTCGACTAAGTTTCACAACCCCACCAATTGATTTGCCTTTCTTGCATGGTCTCCTTTTCCTGGCCTAAACATTGCTCACACAGTGATTCTCGCTACGAGAGCACCTGTAGTCAAAAAAGTATATCTGCTGTTCTCAACTGTCAGGTGTAATTGCTGTATAACAGGACAAGACGGACTGCAACGCAGCATACTCGTCATCTGATAGATAGATATCTTGCCGGCGCCATCCAACTTCAACTAAATCTATTATATATTGCCAGCTGTGGTTAGCCGTTTAATTTATTTTGTTATTTACGGTGATTATACGCTCAAATAAAGAAAATGAAACCAGGTGGTTATAAATCCTACCATCTTAGATGGCTTTATTTGACAAATATATATATATATATATATATATATATATATATATTCGTTCCAGTTGAAACACTAAAGATAGAATACCACAGAATTTGAACTCATAGACCAACGATTATTTTCTTCAAGGGAGGTATGGTCTCCTTTCAACTCCACTCATACTCTTTATCGACAGTTGAGTAGTAGTGTGTAGAGAATTGCATATGCATGTATACGAATAGACTACATTGTTTACTCATATTTTTAAAATTTCTTATGTTCACGGCTCAATGGATGGATAATTAAGCTATCTTTCATTGAAAATATGAAACAGGGCTTTTATTTTAAACTTAAAGGGATTTTTTTTGCAATTTATTGAGTTTTTTTTGTACATTAAAACGTCCATCCTCTTTTTTAATATACGCTTTCCAATTTTTCTTTGTTCCATTTAAAGAGATTCCTGAAGCAATTATGAATGGTTGGAAAACTTCGAAACCTTGTGAAAAATTGCATCTTCCTTACAAAAATAATTTTCTCAGTAAGTTTTGCATGCTTTTTCTCTTCTTCTTCTTCAGATGTGATCTCGTTTCAAACTACATGGTGATATGACTTTGCTTTCGTTTTTCTTTTTCTTTTTTTTTTAAAAAAGAGATATACTTCGGTGACCTTCACAGATTCTAGGACAGTGAGTAGTTTATGAAAATATGTAAAGGATATGTATGAAATTGGCCACAAAATAACTATCTTTAGGAAGTATATATATATATATATATCCCATAGGTTAGATATAATCCAATGAAATATTGAGGTTAGTGGAGGTTTCAGGCTGATATTTATCATGGATAGACATTAGTTCGAACCCAGGGCCTTAAGGTTCCGCCGTCAGCATATCACCACTGGGTTATATCGTCAACTGACAGGCTTAGAAAATATGAAACACTGGATTCTGAACCAATGCCTCGGAACCTGAAGGTCCTGGGTTCCACCTCTTGCGAGTTCACTGGTGCTCATAGCTAAGGAGTCTCATACTAGGAAGAAACTACTGTCTAGTGCTCCAAGATTTTCACCGATTTTCCAACTGATGTCAGTTCGTGATGAATGCTGCCTTTAATATTGATTTGTTGAACCTCCGTATCTTCTTTCTTGTCACTTCTCTTCTTGAAGCAGATAATTTATCCCTTCGGTTGAAGTTATTAACTATCAGATAGTAACTAAAGCTGTAGGAATTAATATCAGGTGGCTACTCAATATTCGATTTTCAAATGTAATCGTATCCAGAAATCCTGAAGCTACCGTTCACGCTTTTTGTTGATCTCTGTTTTCAAATTCTAGTGTCACATACAAGGTTTTTGCATTAGCAAAGCCTCATCTTTTAGTTCAGGATAACCACCTATCAGCAACCGTCATAGAACTTATTGATGTTATAGTTTGAGCTGACTTCTCTGTTGAGAAAAGATGGTTATCATAGTTCTTGTCAATGGTTTTGTTTTGTTCTGCTCCACATATATGAACTACATAAATGCTCCGATGCGTTATGATTAACAATAGGACAATGGCTTCTCAACTCGATACCCAGCTGATACTAAAAGAAGAAGATAATGGGATTAAAAGTATATTTTTTTCAACTGACTAGCGGGATTATAGCTAAAAATACGGTTCTTTATATACTTTTTGAACGCCCTTGACCAGGGAAAACAAAAGAGCGTATTACAACGCCTACTGTCTTAAACCACGGTAAAAATAAGTGCCATTGCATGGAGCGAAAAAGAAGCGAAAAAATGAAAATATATACATCAGTTAGTTTTTTAGGGATCAGACATCTCTAAATAGGTTTGAATATGAACTCGTCGGTGAATATTCATCTTACAAGAGAGAAGTAACTGCTATCCAGTTATTGTTTCTTCTGGTATAAAATTCTGGTGGTTAAACAGTGGAGTACTTTTTGTATGATTCGTTGACTATTCATGCCATTTATGCTAACTTTATGTTTAGCAAATTAATTGTGTACACAAACACGTATGACCTTTTATTTGCAGTCTCTATACCATAAATGACTGGCACTGTGTATTTTTTGTTGTCTATTGTTGTTATTTAGTGTAATCATCTCCCTGGTTCAGTCTACTGTATCAGTTTATATTGTTTGTCATATATTGCGTAATATAGGGATCTTGTTATAAAAGTGGATTTCTAATATGTCACAACTTCTTAGAAGGCGCCCACTTCTTCAGAGAGAAAAAAAATTGTACAAGTTATCGCATGTTTTTAGCAGTTAATAGAAGCAAGTTAGATCATGCTGTCCATTCATGATAATAATACGGGAATACATGTTATTATTATCATCAATTGTTAGTCTGTGAGCCTTCATTTTTGTTAGACAAGTTCTGAGCAACCTATAAGTTGATGGATTGGTCTACACATATGATATGAAAGTTCCTTCTTCTCCTTTCTTGCTTTCATTCTCTAACACTTTTTGATTTGTCTCCATCTGCATATGTTCCAATAATGATTTTCTCTTTGGTTAAATGTAAGAAAAACTGCATTGTAGGTGTCCAATTATGTCATCGAAATTCTCTAAGCACTTACAATATGTTTATTAGTTAACGGTACCTTTAGGTATACGTTCTATGAGACAGATGTATTATCTTACGTTATCGTTAATCTATGAAGTTGGAGATTACTAGTTTGATTCCAGTCGTAACCGGAATTTTCATTTCTGACTTAAATTAATAAATCATTTTTCAACTCATCCTATCTAATATTTGTGAAGATCGATCTTAACGACTCACTGCTTATCTTGAACACTGATATCCTCCTTTCACCTTAGATTGATTTCTTATAATCCTTAATAGACCCACATCTTTTGTTGAGGTTTGTTCAGTAATCCAATCTTCTACAATCACTGATGATATCAACCCAATCTGTATTAAACACCTATGCTTCATCTATAATATTGTATTTGCATTATTTGAACTTTTTAGCTGTTAGCACATAACTGTCTAGTCAGTATTCCAGAGAATCTCTCATATGCATGGATTATATTCAAAGTGGATTGTTTTTGTGATTTTGACTAAAAAGAATTCTGAAATTATGTGTAAGGATATTGTTGAATAAAGTTGGACAGCTGAACAAAATTGAACACTTTTTTACACATTTCCCTTTCATGGATTAATGATCGTACATGTGTATAATATTTCAGATTATTACACGTTTTTGTACTGGGATAAAGTAAAGCCTAATGTTTCACAGCATAAACCGAAACACATGAAGTAGTTCAAGCCTTTATGTTCCTTGTGTTGATGTGTGTAGATGTAAGAACACCTATATGTAGTAAATCGCTGGAGTTAACGTTAGGTATATTTATAAATTACTGTGATAATATCATTTGTATTGCTTTATTATTATTCTTATTATTATCTCTTATACTCATCCTACTTTTATTCCCCTCTTGTTTATAGCTACAGATTTTAGTCTGTTGGACTCGACAAATGATATGAAGGTAGGTTGTAATTCCTTGAAATCAACTGCTTATTTTTTATGCATAGTAAGACAGTATAGTTTAACTTGGCATTCTGGTACGGAGTGTTTATAAACTGGCCTGTTCGCCACAGTTATTGTTAAAGAACTTATGCTAGTACCTGGTTGTATAAGCCTGAGTTTCAGGAATCCCAAATACACTTTCTCTATATCTATATATATATATATATATATATATATATATATATATATATATATATATATATACCGCATATTGGTCCAAGTTGCCATACCTCATATCAGCAGAGAAAGAAGGATTAAAACGATCGCGAAACGCGATTAGGATGGAGGTAATATGTAGAGGTATCTGCACGACTGAGACTGATTATCAGTCAAATCACCACCAACAATTTCGGTTATCGCTTTCAGTTGACCGGTGTAACTCATTGACTAGAATGCCAGGCCGATAACTAAGAGACTGATGGTTCATATCCTGCAATCCATGAGGTTTTTGCGGGCACTGAATAAACATTATGAAGGTTACTTTCCGAATTTTTTGTTGACCGCAAGTCACCTGACGATGATATTGTAAAAAGGTGTCTTCATAATTGGTTCAAGCATTTTTACACACCTTGAGTTAGAAATTGCTTCAATGTGAAATGAAATAGTACTGGGTTGAAAATGACGCTGACATGGTTGAATCGAAACACGACTATTAACCATAACATCTGTCAACGGTTGTTTTCAAGTCGTCTGATAATACGAGCTTTTCGACTGAATTGAGTGTGATAACAACATTATCGTTGGTTGGCTACTTCCGACCACCTAACATCAATCGAAGGGCATAGTAACTGTCTTTTAAGGCATAACCATATTTCAGACATGCCTAGTACTCGATCAGCACTAAGGATTAGATGATGATGATGATGATGATGATGATAATAATAATAATAATAATAATAATAATAATAATAATAATAATAATAATAATAATAATAATAATAATAGCTTTATTCCAAACAAAGACTTGTGGTACAATATGGAATTCTCAGCATGTAATAGTTCATCAAATTCACTCCCTGTATAATAATCACTGCATTTGAATAATCTTATTAATAACAGTAATAGAGGTCACAATGTGAAACAGGCACCTGGTATTACATTAGCGTCTGCTTTGGGGTTAGTGAATGAATAGAATATCGAGCGTAATTTTGATGGTGATAGTTTATTGAACCAGTACCAAAATCTACTATTCGACATGGTTATCCAACGAATAGTATACTGTATTTGCGTGCATTTTTAAGCCCATCTCTTACCGGAGTGAGTACCTTTTATTCTTTGCTTTGTTGTTAGCTGGAAAAATGGGAGGTTGAACCCATTTGAAAAGTTTGCTAGAGTACTTGATGAGTTTAAAAGACATATGTGATTTAAACTTAAGCTGCTCTTCAGTGAGCAGTCGATGCAGATGCATGTGTAGTTGCTATTCTTTTAAGCACCAAGTATCTTGTCATTATTCATCTAACTAGTTACCTTCTCAGCACTTTCATTTAGAAAGTCATTTTGATTATTTCTACTTCTTTAGTTGATATTTTACTTTCAAAGTAGTATTCATCATGCACCGACCATCATTTGGAGAACTATTGAAAAACTAGGAAGACTGAACAGCTGTTTCGTCCTAGTATGAAAATCTTCAACAGTGCGCATCCATTAACCCACCAAGAGTCAAACCCAGGACCGTCAGATCTCACAATGGGCATGTCTTATTTCAGAGATTGAGTCGGAATCCAGTGGTTCATATTTTCCTATTTTTGTCAGTTCGCTGCATAGCACGACCGTCATCCAATATCTTCGGTGAATATTTCTTCTCACACTCGATTTGCTTAAATCCACTAGTCATGGCTTTTCGAAATCATATCATTCTGTGATGAATACTGCTTTGTAACCAGTCAATCACTACAAACATCCAGATTGAATTTCTTTTATATTTCTAATCTGTTAGGAAGGATGGTAACTTGAGTGCCTTGAACACTTCATTTACCTGAAAAGTCGGATCAACTGTTGTGGGTCAGTGGCCTACGGAATCTCTGCACGAAATAAAAAGAGCTCGATTGGCTTTCGCTAACTCACTCCACTTATGGCACCGCCGCGATATCCAGTTGCCTACTAAAAGTCGAGTGTACTATACTGAAGTTCGCTCTGTCCTGCTCTATGGTTGTGAAACATGGGCATTAATGGTAGAGGACAAGAGAAAACTCCTGGTGTTTGATCACCATTGCCTTCATAGCACAGACCGCGTCTTAGTGTCACCATGTGAGTAACGCAGTGGTTAGGTGTAGAGTTCTAGGGAAGAAGAGGAAGTTAGTTGATAGTGTGAACTTTCATCAACTGAGATGTCTGGGACACGTGTTACCTATGCCTTGTCACTGCCTGTGTCGTTGCAAAATGTTAGCTGAAGTAGATTCCAGCCATAAAAAAGCAGGGGGCGAACAGACTGAAACATGATATCACTACATGAAGTCCTTAACTGTTGGACTGAGCCATGTAGAAAGATGAGAACTAACCGGTTGAGGTCCACGTAACAACGGAAACCAGTGGTTGGAGACTCTAGGTGATATGGCTCAAAATCGACATTGGTGTATTCGCACTTAATCCTAATCACCAAACTGAATTCAGAATTTTCTTATTCCTCCTTCCTTTCTGTAACTGCATTCCACTGCTGTTGACTGATTTTTCTTTCTTCCTTCACCCTCCATATCATTGCTTTCTTACTTGATGTGCTGATACGACGTGTGGCTACTACATTGAAGTGGTGTTTAGACTTGCATATCACAATGACCTAACAACCTACACTCACTGGGACACGTGTTCTCTCGAGGTCCTGACATGCCGGAAAAGTTTGTTGAACTGTGGTAAGGCAATAAACAGTTACCTTAATAGCGTAAATTGCTATATTATAGTGGGGGATCAGAGTGCGAAGTCGTACTGCTGGCTGAATGGAGTGCGACATCAGTAAAGTGTTTCTCTTAGATGATCAACAGTGCTACACTGGTGCCTTCAGAATAAATAGTTGCACGGTGTGGGCAGTCGAGAAACGTCAGTCACCCGCACACTCCCAGTAATATACAAGATCTAATTAAACACAATCTCAACCCTGTCTTCCTTCCTATGTCCACCTCCTGACACTGATATTAAGCCTCTCACAACATCCCTAATCTCTCACTCTGCAACCATTGTCAGCGATCAAAGCCATCGAAACCTCATTCCTAGTCTCCTAAGATTCCACCATCGATTTCATGTGAGAGCTGTTAACGTCCAGACTCTATGTCAAATCGGACAGCAGGCGTCGCTCGTCAGAACTCTGGAATCTCTAGCCACGGATGAATGGTGGGTCTCTGAGACACGTGTGCAGGACCCGAGTGTGGTTATTAAATTGACCTCACCTGGTCATTGTAGTGAATGTTCAAAGTTAGTCTCACGATTATCCGGAGACTTAATGGCTAGCTCTCGTGGACTCTCCGGTGTACTGATAGCATTGAGTTGTATAGCTGAAAGTGCGTTTCTCGACTGTGTAAAGATCAGGAATTGTCTATATGCTGTTCGACTGAATGGATCTGTAAGGACTAGGAAGGATTGTGAGACTAGCCGATGCCTACTCGTAATCTCCACCTACGCACCCACCGACTGCAGTTCGGATGATGCAGAGGATGAAATTTATGAGAAGCTGTTAATTTGTCTACGGAAAGCAGTCATTATGGCAGGTAACTTTAACGTTCAAGTTGGAAATCTGACGCAATCGGAAAGCTACTATTGGGGTATTTATGGAGTCCTATGCCAACGAACCGCCAACATTGTTGGTTTTTTTAGTAATTTTATTGTAACAATCCCTTGTTTCTGACTAGCACTAACTTTATAAATAAAGAGAGACATTGTCTCATGGCGTCTGCCGACATCAAACCAACCATGGACCACGATGAAGGGTAAAATCAACTTCAACGTAAGTCTTCACAATTTTCGCGAGGACTAGTGGTTGGCGAAAGCAAGAGAGATGGAGAAGGTATCAGCGTTGGGTTACACTTGGTATTTTAGCTTATTTGATACATTTCCAAGAAGATGATGGTTAGTGAAATCATCCCTAAAGCAGATGGGACACTGATAGCCTGCCAGGATAGAAGGCCACAACGTTGGGTGGAACAATTTGATGCACAGTTTACCTGGCCTACAGCAATACAATATCCTGCAAAAATCTAGATGGCAGACTGATGTTTCTCCCTCGACTCTCCCTGAAGTTGAGATGGCTATATCTGTATTGAAACGATGTGAAGCAGCAGGACCTGGTAGTTTGCTACCCGAAGTTTTAGAGGACAGAGTTGGGAAATTGGTGCATAAATTGACAGAGGTACTAGGTGGTGTACGGCAATCAGAGATAGTTATGTCAGTCTGGTCTACTTTATTGATCATTTCAGTTTATAAGAAGGGAGAAGTTTTCCTCTGGCAAGCATGGGGAAATTATTTTGAATAAGTGTCCAAGATCCTAGGGTCCATAGGTATCCGACCCGTATCTGGAGCTCGAGAATAGCAGATTCGAGAGAATCGGGCAGGTTTCAGACGTTAACGAGGCTGCATCAATCATATTTTTATCTTTGACGGGTTCTCGAACATGGGTATACTTATCGCAGGCCATCATTTGCGATATTCCTTGACCTGAAGACGGCTCATTTGACTCTGTCAACCGTTAAGTATTGTGGCAGTGTCTGACTGGGAAGTTAGTACCAAGAGACTACATAACACTAATCAAAGCTTTCTACTCGAACTCACGTAACCGTGTTAGGACTTATAGTGTCCGACAGGGATGCCCACTGTCACCGTTACTATTTAATTTCGTTATAGACCTACTAATGACCATGGCGTTAGAGCCTTCCGATTCCACTGGAATCGATATACTCCCTGAATGGTATCTGATTGACTTGGAGTATGCAGAAGGTATTATCCTGCTGGGTGAACATAGTACTAGAATGCAGAGTCTTCTTATCGCGTTGATCAAAAATCTAAAGATGTTTGGCGTACGTCCTGCACTTGTCAAATGTAAGATGATGCTCCAGGACTGGTCTACTGCAAGTACTCCTAGTATGGTGATAGGGGGTGGGTTGGCTGAAGGCGTTGACCACTTCACTTACTTGAGGAGTTGCATCAGCGCGGACGGGTTAGCTGCTGACGAAATCTCAACTCGGATACAGAAGGCCCGTTTGACATTTGTCAACTTGCATTATCTCTGGCCCCGGTGAGGTAACCAACTACCTATTAAAGGATGAGTATACTGCGCTGAAGTACCTCGTTTCCTGTCGTACGGCTGTGAGACATGGCCGTTGACAGTAGAAGGTACGAAGACACAACAGGTTTTCGATCATTGGTGTCTTCGTTGCTTTGGTCACGTTTGCACGAATCACCATGTGAGCAATGTTGAGGTCAGGCGAATGGTATTAGGCAAGAGGGGCAAATCGATTGGTGAGTTTGGGAACCTTAGTCGACTGCGATGGCTAGGACATGTACTGCTCATACCGAGCCATCACCTACCTTGACGTGCCATGAATTACGTCGAAAGAGGGTTCAGGGTGGTCAGACTAAGATGTGAGACCATTCGATGAAATCTCTTTCTGTTGGTCTGAACCATTTGGGGAAGATATAGACTGCTTGGTTGGGGACCCCAAGACGAAAGAAATCAGTGGTTGAATACACTTGATGACATGGATGGAAATCGGTCACAATGCTGCAGATGTATTCACTCCTTGACATCTTCTAAAGCTTGAATATTTGCATCAACTGTTATCTCCTGGTTGTTTATTCTTCCCCTCAACTTTGTCTACTCTGATATCACTTTTTTATCCACCTGTTCTTTGTATACTGCTGTGTGAAGTGTGACAACTTGAGGCGATGCACTTGTATAAGAAGTTCTGCGTTTATTTTGTCTGTCTGTCATGTGGTGTGGCAACCTGGATCGTTATGCAGTAATGCCTTGTCCTATTTCGATTTTGATGATGATAATGATAATAATAAGGATGACAATGAGAAGTCAAGTGTATCAAGTTGCGAGCTATAGTGTAAAGTTAACCCACCTCGTCTAGTGTACAGTTAACCTGAGATTTCTTCAGTATATCTAGACAGTTGGTCTAGGCACTGGTCTTCCAACCTTATACTTTACAGGTTCAAACCTTTCTCAACTTACTGAGGTCTTATTGGCATCATTTGCCTTCACACAATAAATGTGGCTCATTACTTACCCCACAAACGGGCACGTGGTTGCTGAGTGCCTTTCGATTTGTGTGCTAATCTAGCTGTTGCACTTTCTTCTAATTTAATCACTGCTTCACATGATGCGTTTATCTGCAATGGCTCTTTTTTAGCCGCGGTGATTGGTGTTTATTTGTAAAACATATTTCTCCGAAGTTGTCAACGCTTTTTGATTGTTGACTTTCTTTACTAAAAGCCTACACGTTTTACACTAAATGTTATTTCTGTCATTAATTCTTAGTATTGAATCATGTATTCAACTGTTCTTTCCCTTTATCTATTTGTGTATTCTCCACAGCAACCGAAAGATTTAAACTTGGAACCCGGTGCTGAATCACGTTTGCAGTATGGTCATTTATGGTTTCAACAGAGCACACGCTTCAAATGTCCTAAAGGTAAGTCTATGTTGTAGAATTTTCTTTCTTGTCGATTTTTTGTGTTACTTAACAACTAATAGGGATTTTCAGCTAAATTTCCGATCAAGAACTGTATATTTCACTTTCACACAGACATCGTACTTTCTTGGTTGTATTGTGTTCTCTGAGCTGGGTTGTTTAGTCGTGAACTTTTCATCGTCTCTGTAGACGACATAATAACCACTAACTTGAGTATAAACTTAGCTGTCAGTATCTCTCCATGAACGATTCAGTAGCTTGCTCTGACTAATTAGTTTGTGATTGGTCGTTTCTTTTGATCGTTATGTCATTAACTGCATAGATTTTCTTGTTGGCTGTTTCTCTGCCTCACCTTTGACCTTTCCGTTATTGATCATTTCTCTTATTGTTTGGTAGATTAGGTCTGTGTCTATGCATCTATTGATTGCTAACTGACTGATATGAGTAGTACCCAAGCTTTTAGGAGTTCTCTGATATTCTTTGTTTCCTTTGTCCAAGATTTCTATATTGTCAAAATTGAATTCATGTCCATAATTATCCACATGCATTGAAATGAGTGATGAAATGTCATGATGTTTAATAGCCAATTGGTATTCATGTAAACGAAGGCGAAGAGGGTGACCACCTTGTCCAATGTAGCGTTGACTACAGTTGTTGCAGTTGATTTTGTAATTGATATTCGGTTTGTCTTCTTTGGTTATTACGTCCTTTGATCTTAATAATATGTTCGGAGGGAATTTGTTTGTTTTATGAGCTACACCAATTCTAGGTGGTCTCAGTAATCTTGTCGTGGTCTATGATGTCTTCTGTATGTAGGGTAGGATGATTCATTTGTTGATTTCTGTTGATGATTTTGTAGTTGATGCTGTACGGGTCGGGCATCTTGTGATAACGTTTCGTGGGTAGCCGTTCTTCTTTAGGATAGACACCAAGTAATTTTCTCCGTTTCTCCGTGAAGTTATTGTACTGCAGTGTGTTCTCGCCCTTTTGAATAGAGTCTGGACGTAACTAATTTTGTGTGTTGTTGTTCCTGTGGTTAAGGATTTGATGAGTGTTTATTGACTTTCTGTTCACTTGAGTTTCCAATTTTCCAGCAATCGTTCTACTGACGAAGACATCCATGAATAATAGTCGGCTGTTTGACTCCCTGTTGTGAATTTGATGTCGCTGAAAACGTTAATCAAGCTGTAAATGTCTTCTACATCATTTTTCTAATGATGACAAAAGTATCATCCACATAGTGGACCCAAGTTGTTTGGTCACAAATAGAATGATGGCTTCCAGTCTCTACATCACTGCTTCTGCAATTAATTCTGTTTCCTCGACCTGTTTGTATATCTTACCACTAAATTGGAAGTATGTTGTCAGATAGGGGCCAATGAGTTCGATCAAACTTGAACACTGATGCTTGTGCGTTCTGAAAGATTTGTGTCCTCAATGAGGAGGATATTCATAGTATGCTTGGCCAGTTGTGTTTCGATTGATGTACATACTTTTGTGACATCGAAAGATACCATTAACTGTTTGTTTTCTGTGTCAGTGCTTTTGACTCTTTCTAAGAACTCTGTCAGTGATCTGATCGAATGTTCACATGACTGCACAAGGTATTTAAATTTCCTTGGGAGCTCTCTTGATAGATTGTATGTCGAAGCTCCCGGAAGTTAGAATACTAGTCTTGGCGGGATGTCTGGTTTGTGTGGGTTTGGTCTGCCGTGGAACCGAGGAAGGACAGCTCCATTTGACTTCGTTGACCATTTGTCTACTCTTGTTATTTTTTCTGCTCTGAAAAACCTGTTCAATGTCTCATTGATCTGGTTGGCAGATTTTTGAATAAGGTTAATTTTCAATTGTAAATACATATTGTCGTTTTTGAGTAAATCCTCTGCCTTCTTGATGTACTATCCCTTGTCCATAACTACAGTGATGTCTCCTTTATCTGCTCGGGGTGTAACGATGTCTTTCCTATTTTCCGGTGCTTTTTAATGCTTTCTGTTATTGAGTGGTCGTTTGAGCTTGATGTTTCTTCTGTGTGGTCAGTGGTACGATTGTTTGCTGTATTTTTTGTTGTATCCTCATTCAAGCTTGATGCTGTAAGCGCGAATTCTGATGGAGTGAAGAATTCTTGTTTTAAAACACCTCTTTTATTGTAATTGAGCTGCAAATGTTCTCCACCATTTCAACATGTTACTTTCAGACTTCAGATGAGTTTATAATATCTCGAACTGAAAATGTTTATTAGTGAAAACGGACCCTATTTATAGAGTTTACAGTAACCTTGAAAGGCAAAGAATAATTGGTACATTTAGAGAGGCAGGAGTCAATTTGAACGCTAGCGCGTCATACGAAGTATGACCCACGCGCGGGATAAAGAGCGCGAAGTAAAACATTAGAAATATACCCAAGCCGTAAGTATGGAATATACGCATCCCTAACATTTCTCTACGTTTTTGAATCTGCTGTTTACTTTATCCAGCTAACAAGGTCATTTCTTCTCCTCCCTATCAGTGATAAAAAAAATTGAAATTTATTCTTGCAGAAATGCATTTCCATCATACTTTTTTCTTGCTTATAGCAAGAATCGGTTGGTTAAATGAGGCGTGCTCTAACCTCAGTTTGTACATACACTGTTCGATAAATAAACTAAATTCACAGTATATTGAGCACTTTGAGTAAGTGAGCAAACATTTATACGCCCTTTAAAGTAATAGAAAGCTGTTTTCATTCTCGAATATATCCTGTTTTTTTCTTTTAGTTTTCATTAATCTATGTGCATGCACGTATACATGTTTATCTAACTTGTATACTTACTAGCAATGTGTGGGGTGGTAATACTAATAATAACAATAATAAGGATAAATGTCTCTGTTATCTGTAACAGCACGGAAGTAATCAACTAACTAACTAATCTTGAGTTGTACTGAAATAATTTTGAACTTATCAAGAGCGCATAGAAAGATTACACTTCGATAGATGTTAAGTAGATGGAGGAAATCGGCAGGAAGCCCTCAATCTGTGTTTTATGCTTGTTGGCACTCTACAGTAAGGTGTATCTGCAGCCTCGACGGGGCTGATGTCCCACCTTAGATTTGAACCCGCATCACCCCGTGTTGTAGTCAGAGACGTTACCACCAAGCTATTCGGGCGATCAGGTGACTGAAACACTGGATGACGCGGGTTTGAATCTCAGAAGAGACGTCGGTTCCATCGAGCTTACAGATACGCCTTACTGGCGAGTGCCAACAAGCACGAAACACACGTCATGTGGATTGCCTGCAAGTTAACAACAAAACAAAGCCAAAAACCTCCAAGTACATTGAAGTAAACTTTTAGATGCACAGAAGTATATAATGTTACTATTCCTAGGATACTTAGCTCGAATTGCAGATTTTTGTAGTGATTGAATGAACTACCGGCAAACATACATGGGATTTTCTATTTAGCGGAATACACCCATTTGATCATAGGAAAAGACAAGACGTCTTGTAAAATAAGTGCGACTTGGGTACAGGCATGAGGAGTCATTTCCACCCGCTTTTTACCTTTATTTTCTCTTCATTCATAAGCATTCAGCTATCGTCGACTTTTATTTTTTCTTTCCGTTGGCACATAGATGATAAGAATAAAATGGAATAAAATTTAGCTCATTACAGAATGATTATATCATAGTACTGAACACTCTATTGACTTCTTACACGATAAGTGTATCGCACAAAGTAGTAGCTTGTTGAGTAGAAATTTAATTTGCCAGGCGGTGATTTTTGGTTTTCAGTTTTACTGTCAACAGAACCACTCACTAAGTTGTAGATACCTTAAGTTGGTCAGTCTTAAGTGGTACACCGTGGATTTCAACTTTGATTTTCTTTACTAGACTAATGTCGAGTTATTTTTCATTGACTTCGACATTAGCAGGTCTTTACTTGGCACTTCACTCCACTTATTTTGTTTTGAGTACATTAATAAGGAAAAAACCCCTTAAATATATAAATATTTATCTGGGTAGCTGAGTTGCATTATTATTCTATGCTACCAGAGTAATAGTAGTAGTATAATTCCAATTTGGTTATGTGTTAGCATTTAATTGTTTATTCTGTTCACAGCCTCTGTAATGATTCATCTATGGTCTGATGTGGTTTCGCGAACAAAAGAAAAGTAAGTTAGGTAGAAATAAAAGTGGTACATGGTATTTTCAATGAAAATCTTATCCTTTTTATTGCAACAGTATATATTGACACTAGGTGTCCGGCTTTTCCTACTCAAGACTTTATATCAAACACGCATAAGTAGGTTCATATTCTAGTTGACTTTTCAACGCTATCAATATAACTATGAATCTTCAAGCTATATTGAGGCATCCGTACATACCAACAGAGGCCGATCAATTCGTTTGAGTGCAGTAACCTACAAGAGATTTCTAGTATTAATAAGTCACTGCCAGTATACACTTATAACTCCTACCTATGCGTGATATATTGGCCTCCTTCGCAAGATCATTAGTGTTTGGGATCATTTTTTGAATTTATGCGTTTACAACAGTAGTCAAGCGTGTGTACCGCTGGTGATGAAATAGTTGTCCAGCTGTAACGATCAGCAGTTGGTGCGTTATTGCAGAGCGATGCGTGGATGAGTTTGCTTTAGTTTGGTGGTTGCAGTTCATACACCCAACACGAGGATCTGGAAGAGAAAAGGAGGAAACAACGTGAGCTGGTGGCTCAGCAGGTACATGAAATGTACCTACATTTAATGATAAAAGACAATTGACAAATAGAATTTAAAGCAGAACGTGAATGGATCTAAAAAGTGAAACTAAAAAGTGGATGAATAAGATTTCAAAAGCGTTACATGGTGCCGCTAATTATGAGTGCATTTATCTGCTAGGCGACTGTATTTGTAGATATTTTTATTTTTTTCATGTTTGAAGTGTGTTTCTGCATAGAAGTACCCTGTAGTGGTTTTCATCGCTTTCGTACTCCACGCCTTTCGCTCTTATTTATTAGCCGTTTCATGTTGGTTTTTTTTAAAATCTCAAAAACGTCATTTGTCAGTCTCTTTCTTATGAACTGTCGAAAGATATGTAAATGCAAGAGCTGAAAACTAGTTTTGAACCATTGTGATCAAGCAAATAATCTCTAGTGCCTTAGCTAGGAAGAGCTGGATAGGAAATGTCCCATCATTCATTGCCTGGCGTCCAGTTTCTTACAATATCAAATGTCTCATATCAAGGGCTGCCTAGCTTTCAGTGATCCTCAAGTTGATGTTAGTCAGTAGTGGAAATCACCTTGAAATCAATTTATTCTCCACAGACCAATCATTTGAGTACACTTTATGGGCATAGATGTGGTATCGTCGGCATTTCTCTTTCTAATAACTCATTACATACTCATAATAAACAAATAAAGGAGGTGTTAAATTTTGGCAGTTATAGGATCTACAACACGTTTTTTAAATTCATTTTAGACATGAAAAGACCTTTCAATAGGAATATAGGAGGCATTCGGAATTGTCTCGAAGAAGAACCTACTTGAGATTCCTTATTGATAACCCGAAAACAAGTTTCTCATATGACTGAGTACAAGTGTGGGCGTCACTTTATAAACCTTATGAGTAGTAATCAATTGCGAGTTGAAAATGAGTAATTATTTCTGAAGGTTCTCAGTGGCAAATGAACCCTTCTGTATCTGTGATATCCGTTCTCACTGTTATTTATATATGAAACTATCCTTGTCATGCAATCATGAGTAGTACGTTTACTGAAGATTTGATATTCTTCTCCTTTTACTGTTGATAGAATTCGTAAGGTAGACGCATTCACTTATCCTCATGTATCACAATGGGTGTTGAAGCAGCCTGAACAATTTACCTAGAGGCTATTGTGCATACGGGAAGAATACACCCATGACTGGTTATCGATTGGATGCTCGTTCTTCTTTTTTTTCCACCTATAAATATTCATGTGCTACAGCTATACTAAAATTAATTCTTTAAACTATCAACACTTGCATTCTACATCTGTTTCAGGTGATGTTATACAATTTTTCGTCTATTTAACCTTCAAATATGTCACCGATATACCTGTTCGCCACCGTTTTATGAAAGGTTTTTATAGATAATGTAATATATGTATGATAGAATGATTTGAAACAGCCGCTTTTTGACAAAGTGGTATTCACGATACGAAGTGCTGATTGATGGTGGGGTGAGAACGTGGATCACGGCGAAATTGAACCAGCGGCCTTTAAGCGACCTTCTTGACTCTTTACCGACTGCGGATGAACAAAAAGTTATTCATCACGCATTCTTATGGCACATGGACAATACTCTGTGATTGAAGTTAAAATAAGACTTAGTCAGCAGCTTGTTGTAGTTCAATTGGTAGAGCTCCAAATCGGTAATCCCGAGGCCAAGGATTTATTTACCAGTTATTATAGTCCTTCTAGTGATATACATAACAGATGTCACCTTCAGTATATCGAGGTGATAATGAATAATACAACCCAGTTATACTGCATACGTGTTTATTTACTGGTCTATGCGCCCTACCAAGCTTATGGGGGTTCAGTGTGTAGTTACCTGATTATCCAGGTTGAAGTATGTGCTGAAAACTTAGAAGCTAACAGGTACTGAAAATCAAATTAATTGATACCAGTTGTGCCACACAGTAAGTGGCATTTTATGGTTTTTTTCCGTTTATTTTGTGCCTGTAACATTCCATCTTTAACGATATATATATATATATATATATATATATATATATATATATATATATATATATATTATATTGTATATTCACCTTTTAATTCACAGCTTAGCACTGCATACAATTATGGTCTACGGTTTGAATCAGTCTTTAAGCACAGTCACTTATGAAGCTGGTGAAGCAGATTTGCAGTAAGTTACAATTAAAGATTTTAACGGAAATTTTATTGCCTACATAAATTTAGTTATTATCTATGTACCGGTTATCAAGAACAGATTCTGCTGAAAGTGTACAGGTTTGCTTTATACACTAGGATAGTCGATAGTCAGTATCGCTTCTTGAATTATCTGAAAGAGAACTTATAACAGTGAATCCAACTTCATTGAATTGTCACTTTAAACTAACCAGATACTCACATCATTTTGGTGGGATTGGTCTTTGGAGTTTCATCGATCATTATAACTACTAGTAAAAGCTTCCTACAAAGGTGGAACTAAAATATCTTCAGGACTGACTTTGTAAGATCGAAATTGTTTTTTATTTACAGTGCTTGTTGTCTAGAAAAAGTAGTTGTTATGATGTCAGTGATTTTGTTGTGGTATGACCTCGAAAACTATCTTCCAATCATAATCTTGTGGAGTCGGCTTGATTGGTAGTAAGCAGACAGATAGATAGACAAAGTAAACATAGAACCTCGCACACAAGTACATTGGCTCAAGTTACCACACTTTACAGTAGTACACAAAGAACAAGTGAATAGAAAAACAGTGATATAAAAGTAGAAAAAGGTGTGTGCCATAAACAATTTGAAGATATTGGTTAGTACGAATATTCAAGCCTTAGAAGATGCCAATGAATGAACACATCTGCGCCAATATAAGCAGTTTTCAGTCATGTCACCAATAGCCATTGGACACCGATTCCTATCATCTCAGGGACCCCAACCACCCTAACCAGATAGCTTATATCTCCCCTCACCGCCCAGACCAACAGTCAGAGACTTTGTCAACTGGTGCGACGTCTTAGTCTGACCATCGTGAACCCTCCTCCAACCTTATTGAACTTCCCTGGCATGGCACGTCGAGGTAGGCGGTCGCTCACTCGGTATGCGTAGTACATATCTAAATCATCTCAGTCGGCTAACTTTCACAACCTCATTCATTGACTTGCTTTTCTTGCCGAGTGCCCTTCGCCTGACCTCAACATTCCTCACACAGTGATTCCTGCAAACACGAACAATGCTACGAGGACATCTGTGTTCAGAACCCTGAAATCGATATTCAATGATTTCTATTACGTATATTTCGCATTGAATTGATTGACAGAGATTCAGTGATCAAACGTCTTTCTCCATTTACTAAATTAGTCTTTAGAACTGTTACTCTGCAACACTGTATTGTGTGCTTGTGTTACCGAATAGATAAATAAACAAATATGATGTGCTACCTGTATGTTGTATATCACGCATAGAAATTCATCTTTTTATTCCACTGTGATAACTCAGCTGGCAATGAATTAAGTACTACTTTAACGACAACATGTTAGTTGATTTATTAGATGTATTACGCAATGGAACAGTATCATTTGCTGAACTACGTTTCGCACACAATTTATCCTGCCATCGTCATGTTAAGATAACTACACAACTACACAGCCTATTTGATCCTGGTCGACTAATTCGCCTATCCGAGTACAATAACCTAGTTAGGTCAATGTTGATAGATCCTAGTAAGGTAAATAATTTAGAAAAAGCTCTATTATAGCTATGCCTGTAATTAGGATGGGACAAGGTAAAAATCCTTACGATCAACATAGTAGGGTGGAGAGATTGATAACTGAATCTTTGTTTATCCAATCAACACCTAATACAGACTGCAGGAGTGACTCAGCACCTGTTCCGCATATATGGACAGTTCCTACTACCCACATTACAAAGGAGGCGAGGAAATTAGGACTATATGAGGGATATCTCAAAGTTGTGTAGTTATCTTAACATGACGATGGGAGGATAATTTGTATCCGAAACGTAATTCAGCAAATGGTACTGTTCCACTGTGTCATACATCTAATCAATCAACTGAAATGGAATTACATCCTACCATAGTGCTAAAATTTTACTTTTATATTAACTTAACCGTTATAGGCCTTTCAATGTATAATGGACAGTTTTGACCTGTAAAACAAATCACGTTTATCGTATGTTTTCTGGTGAAATATCATTATCTTGCATTTATTTTGCATAATCATAAATTATCGGAAATTTACTACAATTTTTTTATGACAAATTATGAAACGATGAGTTCTGTCTAGTGAATTGAATGATATTTTGACTTCAGCATTGAATCGATCTAGTTTTAAACTCCAAACGGATTGTTGCATCATAGATGAGTTTTACCAACATGCAAATGTAAATTCAAGTCACCTTTTAGGTTGCTTCCAGTTGGATTTGTAACAAGTGAATGCTATAGCTTTCATTGGTATACTACATGTGCGATAAACATTTCCTAAGATTTATTGTCCGGTCATGTTAAGCGTAGAATAATATCAGTATATCCATTCCTTGTAAGAGTGTGCGTAAACTCTAGGAGTATTGTGATTATTTTCAGTTAACATTGGAGAAAATAAGAGGAAATGTATATCATCAGAGCATTTCTGTGTCATACACTTTATTTTAATATTACCTAGTATAGTTTATATTGAATAAAATAAAGTATCCCAATGATTGCGTAATAAGTAATACTCATAAATCTCTTGTAGGCAAGATGTAGCATTCCGAGACAATGGTTTACGTATTTGCGTTAGCGGTTTCAGTGAAAAACTGTTTGTAAGTTTATCTTTTGATTTATTTATAATAACACGTTGTGTTTCACAAATTTTCTATGTTATTTTTATTGTAATGCGTTTATGGAGAAGAAAGTTAGATAATATGAAGTTCGCCTGTGAATTCATTTTGGGGCTGGTTAGTAGTAGTTGTATCTAGAATGTGCGGTTTGACCTATTAGAGACTCATCACATGGATTTGTCTGTTTCCAAGCGATGGGTAACATCCCTCCACAGACGTACATGACACTTATTGCTCTTTTCGCCTACAAAACACCTCCTAATTAGGTTTAACAAAGTTAATAATAACCATTTGTGGGTAAGAATGTGCAGTCAGAAACTGCGTTGTTGGGCCTCCTGGCCTAGTTGCCACATTGCAATATAATCGATAGAATTCGATGAGCTCTCAGGACTAGACAACATAGTGAAGCTGTGGCTCAATGCTTTAAGGAGATATCTATCATCCAGTGGGTCACGGGTTCGAGCCCTAATCCGCCTACTGCGGTTTGGGTAGCCAAGTAGTATCAATACCTCTTACACTATAGATGTGGCTCATTAACTACTACACGGAAGTGCACATGTTGGCTGAGTACATTTCATTCCTTCATACTAGACAGTACGAGATTGGTACGAGATAGTGACCAATCATTGTTGTTTTATCCATCATAAAAGATACAGCCTCAGATTTGTTTTAAAACAAGCATCATTGGTTTTATTATTCTTGATCGACTATCTGTTGTGCTTTATGGTCAGTAATTCTTGGTGATGTTATACTAGTCGACCACTGAAATTAACGATCTGTAGCTCTACTCATTTGTGTTGAATTTACTGACTATTAGCATAAGAGTGAATTAATTAGGAGTTTACAGAATACATAACTTCCTAGGTTTTTTATATAATCTGTGTAGGATTTCTATATCTTCATATCTTCCTCTGGAAAATATATGTAATATTGAAGATCGACACGAGTTATAACTTTACTGTTGAAACATAATTTGATGCGATGACACTGGTACGCACAAAAATCAAATCCCTTGAATAGGCATTTTAAATTTTAATAAATCTTATAAGTACATGCCATGCTAGAAAAAGCCATGATAATAATAATAAACTTTATTATATGAAAATCGATAGTGTTAGGTAATTGAGAGAGTTGGAGGGAATTCTTGCTTGATCTTTTTTCATATACTTTTGGCATTTGTTAGTAAGCCGTATCTACAACCTCGGGGATAACAGTTGCCCCTTAACAGGTTGGAATCCAGTCTCACTACGACACTGAATAACCAAATTACAAAGTTATCCAGCTAGACACATGAGTTCAGTTTCATTTTAGTGTTAAATCAGTCTGACCATTTTGGTATGGATAGTAATAATTGTTAAGACAGTAGTTACATATATTTTATTGAAGATGTCTAATTTTGTGCATGACGTTTGTGTTACGCTTCGCAGGAATTTAGATATTTGACATTCTTCCTGCTTGCAGTCATTAGACATAGAGACTGCACGTTATATGCATTAAAATCCCATGTCAGTAGGTCAGATTCATCTACATATTATCTTTATCGTCATATCATATTTCGTTATTTGTTTTATCACTTCTTCCCTTCTTATGAATTTCTACGACTTTCAACTTCATGTTTCCCTTCTTATCTCTCCATCCTTCATTGTGCTTCCTTGATCCTGGTTACGCTGGTGTGAGGTATGGTAACTTTGACCATTGGGCAATTATGTCGGCTTCCATATTGACATTGACTAATTGATTGAGTCAATCCATACTAATCGAGTGCTTCACTTCAAGAAAATTCCTGAACTGTATTTCTTTAGAGAGTCTTTTGGCTGACATCCGTTTCACTGACCGTCTTGTTGCACTGTAAACTAAAAAAAGTCTAAAAAAAGCTGCAGTTATCTGTAGTTTTTGAAACTACGGAATGTAAATATCAATAAAGGTTATGTCATTCTATGTATTCCACCATTTCATACATTTACCACTGTTTTTTTGAGTCCGTATTCTAGCTATGCCTTTATTGTTATGCATGTAGTAAGCCGCCAGTGATCACTGTTTCGTTCTTTGTGCTTCTCTGCTTTAAACAAACAACAGTGTTTCTATTCAACAATACTTGATCATATTATGGATCAAACTAATGACTTATCCAAGGAATATTTCGAATCATATCGTGATGCTGTACGTCAACTCTATTACAATGAAGCGCTTAAACCGAATGTGCTTAATACGTGAGTGAATTTTGTAACATTTTATGTAGTTCGTAGTAAGAATGATACAGTTTTCTGACTACAAGGTATATTTATTTCAATGAGATGGTATTCTTAATTCGATGTATGAAATTTTCAAACATTTCTGAATTCGTACTATTAGAGCTGACCCAGTTGAAGATCACTGATCTAGTTAGTCTACATCCAATCGGCGACGTATAAATTCGAAACTCTGCCTATCTATCGAGGTTGTCACAATAGATGCTGTGGCTCATATTGTAGTGCATAGACATGCAGGTGGCTGATGAGGTACGTCAAATAGAACTGCAAAACCATTAGGGAGAGAAGTAGTATGTCTGTTGATGCATGCATCATGCAAATTTTCTGAATATACTTTTGTGAAGAATAAAAACATGAAAAACAAATGACAATTCAATGATGAACTGAAAATGTGTGTATGTAAGGGCTCACATTAGGCTACGGGGTGCTGACTGACTTCATTGACCATGTTCTCATCCCTTTCTGCTCCAAGCGAATGATAACTTATTTCTTTCAAAAACCACTTCTCTAAATCTATTGTCCATCTATGAAGGTGTAATTCCGTTAAAACCTTTTGGTTTGAATACATCCTCTACAAACACTGAAGTGAATTAAAAACTTCTAAAATTATATTGAATGTAACTAAGAAAATAATTCACTTGCTGAGCCTAGGTCTTAGCTGTCCTGTTTCTGTGTAACTCGTTTGCGAATCGATCGCAGTGACACCGAAGCATTCATCATTATTTTCTGGATGACATTTCAAGGATAATTTAGTTCTCGTCCACTAAATAATCCTGTTTAACTGAGTGATATCTGCGTTTCCATACTCCAATTTCAAAAGAAAAACTTAGAGTAGCAGTATGCGAGATACATATTGTATCTTCATCTTGATCATAATATCACATTTCGATATTCGCTTAACATCTCTTCTTTTTGCTCTATGGTTTCCTGTTATGTATGAGGATATTATTTCGATTCTGTTGCCTTTCTGCTTTGAAATCTAACCCTAATATGATGATGTAACACTCGTCGACTCGCACCAATATGGGACAGTAAGTATGTCAACATAGCGGCTTTTTTTGCACAAATAGTTATTAGGCGTAGATGCTGGTAAAATCCAAAGTCTTCTGAGCGAAAATCTGAGTATGTTTGGCATACATTTCGCAACTGTTGAGCGTAAGTTTATGCTCGAGGAATAGTCTAAACTTACTCCTAGTTCAGGGATGGAGGGTGAACTCGTGGAATACATTGACCACTTCAATTAATTAGGGAGTTGTATCAGCCACAACGAGTTGATTGCTAACTAAATCTCTGCTCAAATACAAAACGTTCACTTAGTATTTGTCAACTTACATCATCTCTGGCACCGGTGAGATGTCGGACTACGTATTCCAGAACGAGTATACTGCGTAACAGCGCTGTCTATGTTATTTTAACTATTGGGAGAAAATCCCATTAAAAGTAGGTGACATAGAGGATTACAGGTTTTCAACTATAAATGTCCTCCCAGTATTACTCACCTATGATCGATTCAGCGTGTGGGGAATGTTGAAGTTAGGTGTAAAGATAAGCAATTCATTCGACGACGCTGTGAAACTTCACTAGCTTAGGTTTGTTTTGTTCATGCTGAGCCACCTCTTACCTTGATACACAATATTGACTGTTATAGGATTAGACTGAAAGAAAGCTAAGTGTGACCAGACCAAGTTACGCCGCCAGTTAATGAACTATTTGATTGGTGGTCTGGGTTTTGTAAAAAGGTGTGGGTTGTCTGACTGGGGACTTGTAGAGGATAAGAATCACCGGTTGGAAAGTTGGTGCTTTGTCTCAAAATTAGTACCAGATGTACACACTCTCAACTTCAAGGTCTTGGATATTTTCACTAGTCTTCACCTAGTTTTTACCTTCTTACTCTTATAGACAATTGTACACTTTAACGTGGTTCATTTTCTATCCATTTTTTCTTTGTACGCTGCCGTGTATTGCAGCAACTTCAACTGATGTATTTCTATGCCAAGCACTAACTTGATCTGTCTGTCTGACGAGTAAATTGTGAGGTTTGTATTCTATTTAGCATCTTATCCAGCAGACTTTTCATAGAAAATGTAAGTACAACTAAGTACTTAGTCATCTTTTCTCCCACCCAGCTAAATGCCTTTTATAAATATTATGGATACTGTTCGGTTGTTCAAACCTCGTAGTTGATGTAGCAGGTTCACACTCAGTTAATCAATGTGAACCACACCTTGCATCGGAACAACAAAAAAGAAAACACCCGGATGTGAAATATAGAGAAATAAAGCATCAGAACGAAAGTTAGTGGTATGGGCATTTCGGAATGCAGTATGATGATCAAAATAAATTTAAGGTTCGAATGCATTACGCCACTGAGATCGATTTTGCGCCATATAACCTAGATTCTCTCACCACCGATTTAACTTGTCACACGGACCCCAACCAAGAAGTTTACATTTGCGGACAAGGTTCAGACCACTAGTCCAAAACTTCGTGTCCTGATATCTGTGTTTTATTCCAGCTGTCTTTAACTTTTTTGCAGCCTAAACCTTCAGCATGTAGTGCGAAATGGATAGATAGTGATGACTAGGCATGTGCAATACATGTTCCATCGCCTTATTCTATTCTTACGGCTGCTTGAAAGTAGTTCCATACCCAAAGCCATCCGTAACTCATAGCTCCACATGAAAAATAGGCTTACTCATTGGCTATGGGGTGCACAAACTTGTGTGCACTAATTTAAATAGCTTCTTATATTGAATAGTATGTGAATATCTTATCGGAAAATCTACTACACTCCTACACTTTGCAAACGTAAACAACTCTTTCAGTGCTTGATAAAAACTACGTAGGTTTCTTATCATTACTTTAGTCTAAATGGTATTATTACTTTGAAGCATCAACTGCATTGGATAATCCTTGATAATTAAGTATGTTTGAAGCGATTGGTCCCCAGTTCGAGTCTTTGTGTGAACAGCATCGTTCACTGGGAGGTAGGCGCATCGAGCTGACGAGTCCCAAATAGGACGAAACGAGCATTCTTGATTCCACTGTTAGTCACTGTCCATCATGAAATCAACTATGTTGGTTTTAGTTGGTATTTCATATGAATGATTAACCTTTGATCTACGGATTAGTTATGTGCGGCTCAATCAAACACACTGAAAAACTGAACTAGTTACAAAGTATTACTTTCAGTCTCATCAAATAGGATTATATCGAAATGTTACGTAAATTAGCGTTACAGATTCGTCAATATTCCAGCTTAACTGCAACTGTTACCGTGCCTTAGAACAACATTGGCTCAGTGGTCTAAACAGTTGACTTTCTATCGATAGGTCCCAGTTTCTGGTCTTGTACCGCCTACCGAGGTTTTGGCAGCCATAAACTTTTACACAATAGCTTTGGTCATTGTTTACTACACGAGCATACACGTGATCGGTGAGTTACACTTTTCTGTTATATTTTACCCTGGTGTTGTGGTTCGACTTGCCTGTCGTAATGATTATTCCATACTGTACCAATTGGAAACTTCATTCATTTAAGTTATATCTACTTCTATCACCTTTTCTTTTTTGAAAACAATCGAGAAGTTACTTCGCCTTATGCTTGAATATTCACTGAGGACTTATATAGCTCCGCAATAATTTGCTGATGAACACAAGAGAAGTTTTTTAAATGTTGCCACTGTCTTGCATCATAATATTGTTTTTAATCTAGACAGAGGTGCTTAGTATATTCGCTATGCCGTCGTAGACTTGACTTTGACTTTTTTCCTAGACCATTCCTGTTAAATAAACTTGTCATCGCCTTCACTGTACCCTGTGTTAAAAACTGGCTGCATTCTCACTTTTCTGAAGCGAAACAGTATACTGTTTATAAAGGGAAGAGGTCCACTTCATTTCTTACTGAAGCCAGTGTTCCTCAGAGTGCAGTACTTTCTCCGTTTCTCTTTTCTTTCTTTTTGCATGATTTACCTCATTCTGCTTAAACTACTTTTTTTAAAATATATTGGTGACAGTTTCTGTGCTAGTTATCTCTCGGTTAGATTACTCTCAAATAAATAGTTATCTGAAATCGGTCAGTGGTCTCTTTCAAATGGTCTCAATCTGAACTCTTCTAAATGTCAGACTGTTAGTCTTAACCTCAGATTTAAACAAGATTTGGTTTCAAGATTCATGTAGTATTCATGGCATTACTGTAGAAAAAAAATCAAGTGTTACCTTTCTTGGATTGAGTTTTTCTTGTGATGTTTGTTGGTTGTCTCATATCTTGTTGACTTCCATAAAAAACTTTCGTTTGACGTATTGCACAAGGAAGCTAAGACTCTCTGCTGTGACTCAGCGTGTACTTTTACAGTTTATTATTTGCCATATTTTACCTATTCTTTATTAGTTCTCGGTGTACATCTTGCCTATCTGATTAACACTGTTGTAGTTGACAGACATATAAATCCAAGCAGGCGACTAGCTAAATTCATTTTATCTGATACTGAGTATCCACTTTATTCACAGCTCCCTCTTTGTATTTCATCCGGAAGGGCAGGAAAAAACTACAAGTTCATGCTGCTAAATACCAAAATTCAACTGTTTATTACCTAGCACGCATCTTATATGGAGAAATATAGTTATTTATTTTTGTTGTTATTAGAACATAAACGTGGTACAGCAAGGGCACCAAGAAATGCACCACACAAAGTAATATAACAACATTATGAAGACATAAAGCCAAGGGAAGTGGATAAAAGTGAAAAGTTAACGAGAATAGAATGAATAGAAGAGCAGTCCAGCAAGGTACATTCGAAACAAAACATCCATTACTTTTCAGCAGCGAAAGATAGGAAACTACAGCATAACCGCCACTGTTTTCGATTCTGGGCCGTATCTGATAATGTCTCAAGCCACTGAGTTGCCTGATCTCTCAGACCCCAACCAGAGAGTCGCGATGAACCAACAGATGTTAACGCGATACAACTATCTTTCATCTCATGGTGCCACGTCATACACTGACCACCCCTCCGCTTCTTGCATCCAGCCCCAGGGTTAGCAAACAACGAACGGTGTGGAGGCCGTTGGGATAACATGCGTGACATACGTCCAAGCCACCGAAGCCGGTGTTTGCAGATGACTTCACTTATTGAATGACGATCTCCAATATGCTCAAACACACGTTGTCGTACTTCAGAATTACTTATATAGTGTTGCCACTAGATGCAAACAATCCTATGAAGATAGCAATGATTGAACACAGAGTCGTTGCGTATGAAGAAAAAAAATATTAAGACAAAACTTGAGCATCAACTTTTATGCACTCAATAGTCTTTTCAGTATTCTAAATCATTCATATACAACTGTACTCGTTACTAATATTATTTGCACAATTTGATGTGGCATAATTAACGCTACTCGAAATGTGGCAATGCAGTACATTTTCGTTGCAATATTATATGCTAAGAATTACAAATCGTACCAAAAATGCTTTTAGAGTAAAGTGATTATTTTTACTGTTTAAAAAAAGATTTGATCAGAGTACTATGACATCGAATACCATTAACTTAATAATGTTTACTGTGAAATAATTGAGTCCCAGAGCGTAGTCTTACTACTGACTGTAACACTTAAGTGTTTCTTGTGGATGGAAAACATCTTTAGCCTATGCTACCCTTCGTTTGTTGGAAGAGACTGTAGAAACAACGAACTCCTTTTGATTTTCCTTATAAGCTTTAAGGTTCATATAAAGTGTGGAGTCATTACAAATAAATTCAGTTTAAAACCCTCCATAGTAGCTTCTAGTAACTGCTTCCGTGGAACTGTCCTTGAAACACCCTGCGATCAAACTCAGTTCAGAAAAGCAATTCCTACCCATTGAATCTCTCTTCTAGCTACTTTAAGACAATGTATAGTCGTCCACATATTGGGCTGTTAAAAAGTTCCAACTACATCCAATGCATTATATGCTGAACTTTGTCTTCACAATCATTATTGAGCAGAAGTGCTCAAGAGCAGCAAATAATTAGTCGCTGGTTCGAATTCGGCCGCAGTCCAAATTTTCCTTTCACCTTAAATCATTACCCAATATAAATACTAGTCTACCAAACCATGGCTATCTCAGATCGTCAAGATGAAATTAGTCATTAGTTGAACAATCTGAAATGAAAGTTGTCGAAGAATGCTCGTCTTACATAAATCTTGAGGAACACGACTTCCAACTGCATTGTAATAATTGACTTTAGGTCTGTTATTCCTGTGTTATAAATCAGTCTTATTTTGAAATGAGAAAATTTAGTTGGTAATTATTTCTTCCAGATCATTGAATCTATAGTTTTTATTTCGATCTTTAATCACTATGATATATAAAAGAGTTAGTGTGAAGATTGCTACTTACTATGAATAGAATCATATTAAAGTGTACACAGTTCCAATTATATTTCTTAGTAGTTTTAAGTGTAAACAATCGAAATTGAGTCTCTTTAATTGGTATTCTATTGTATTGAGTTGATAATTGCCTGAATAATTTATATTATGCCTATAATGTGGGGTATATGCCACTTTGAAGAAGACTTATATTCAGTGTTGTCAAGAAAAGTAATAAGAGGTCTACATTCGACTATTGTAGTCTCTAAATAAAGAAATGAGAAATATTTGCAAACAAATACAGAAGACAAGCGAAGAATTGATAGAGGCCGCAGGAATTCCCTGAAGAAACACAATTGTGATTACAATTGTTTAATGTATCGTGTCGACTACAAAGTTGTAATATGTTTTCTCATTGTAATTTGACCTTAAGGAAGACAATTGCATTTACCACCTCAGTGTCATTCGGTACACTATTACGTTCCATTGACGGATACATACCTAGAAGGCAGACTTTCCTCGAACTCAATTTATGTTAAGTTTTCCACTCCAATAAAAAGGAAATATGTTTTTTCTTCTTGCAATAGTAATAATAATATAAATGCAGTGTATTAAACTGCTATCGATCAGTCACATCATTCGTCGCTTAGTCAATCCCCACCAATTTCAAGTCCTTCTGTAATGGTTTGTTTACTTTTATATATGAAAATTACTAAATCTTCTGTTCAATATGTATTCTCTGAATAATCTTTATTGTTATCTTTTCTCTTTTTATTCAACAGTCATCTTCAATTTTATCTTCTGCGTAGAGAGGCATACTTGATTACAGACTTGTTGAGTACATTAAAAGATTTATCTGTGGCCAACTTGGCAGCATACAAACAACAATTTTTCTCGAATCTTCACATTACTATATATGCTTATGGAAATATAAAAACACATGTGAGTTTTGTTTATAACAGATTATTCTTATGTGTGTATGTGAGAGGCAAACGTTATGTGCACTTAGTTGACGTTTTAATTGAGGAGAGGAAATGTTTCTAGTTAGCTTCCACATATACTTTTTCTTTGTTCAACTGAGTCTAGGTATTCATCCTCTAACCAAGTGGGTTACGAGTCCGAACCCTAATCCGCCTACTAAGGTTTAGGTGGTTATTATTATTATTATTTGTCCCTTGGGCTTCAGTAGCACGTCTCCAGTGCACTCTGTTCTCTGCAATCTTTTGAACTTCGCTCCACGACAGCCCACAAGCTCTCATTTCTTCCTCACACCATCTCCTCCATGTCACCCTCACACAGACGCCCAACTCATCGTTTCCCATTTGGGTTCCACTCGAGTGCCTGGCTTGACCCGTGATGTCTCCAGTTGACCTTCTCAGTGTATGCTCAATCCATCTCCATTTCCTTCTACTGCATATTTGTTGAGCGATAGCTTCTTGGTTGGTTCGTTGGCCGGCCAGAGTTCCTTGTTGCTTTTTCTTACTATTCTGGTCATCTGAGCTTCAGCAACGAGCCAGCGTAGGCAGTTGTTGATGAGTGTATGTAGTTTGTTGGAAATGCCTCTCTTAACGCGCCAAGTCTCTGAACCATCACATAGAAGCACTGACTTGACGTTGGTGTTGAAAATCCGCATCTTGTTCACGCCGTATGCTGAGTGCAGTGCAGATGATCTCCACACTAGTTTCAGGCCAATGAAGGCCTATCTTGCTTTTCGATGCTGGCTGACTTTGACGCCCTCGTCTGTGCCTGTGCCGCCTGTAATTGAAACGATGCTGTCTAGAAGGGTGGGTGAAAGAGACTACTTCCTTTAAGTTCCTCCCGTTGATGGTGATTGGAGCTTGTTGTTGGTGGTGGTGTTGGTGATGGTGTTGTTTGGGTATCTTCATCACCTCTGTCTTCTCTACATTCACTTGAGGTCCCGTCTTCACTGCCTCGCCTCTTCTGTCAACTTGTTAGTTTTCGCCTGTAGATCTTCAAGTTTGTGTAACACTAGACATAAGTCATCGGCGGCGAAATCCAAATCTTATGGGATGTTTCCCCGGTCCAGCCAGCGTATCCCCCCACCCCTCTTCTCACAGCTCCTCACAGTTTGTTGCATGATCCAGTCTAGTCGACCACAATCAGGAATATCATGCATGGGTGATAGTAGACAGCCTTGTCTTACTACTTACTGTCTTCACCCCAAAGGAAGGCATCACTGAGCTTCCCATTGTGAATAACTTGGCATGTGGCGTCTCCACATAGTTGTTGAATGAGATTGATAAAGGTTTGTGGCACTGAAACCGTTTTGTTGAAGCAACTGCCTGTCAAATTACTTCTCAATCGACGCTGTCAAAGGCCTTCTCAAAGTCGATGAAGTTGAGGTAGAGCGTTGACCACCATTCTATACTCTGTTCTATGATGATGCGTAGCGTAGCGTTGCAATTTGATCCGCACATGATTTGTTCTTCCTGAATTCAGCCAGCCAGCCAGCCAGCCTGTTCCGGTCGTAGTTTTGAATCCAGCACATCCTTTAGTCTCTCCAGGATGATGCGGCTTAATATTTTGCTTGCTTTGGGTGAACAGAGACAGCAGCATGATTCCTCGCCAGTTCTTGCAAAGACTTAGGTCTCCCTTGTTTGGGAGTTTGATGAGGTAACCCTTCTTCCAATCAATAGGCAGGTACCTTCCCTCCCTTCCAGATCTTGTGCAATAGTGGTGTGGTGTGAGCATGTCGGCTGCTGTTGTCTCTGTGTCTGTTTTCAGTGCTTCTGGTGGGATTTTATTTGGTCCTGCTGCTTTCCCTCATTTCAGTAGCCTCATGGCGTTCAGGACTTCGCCTTTCATCGGAGGGCTTGTGCTCACTGGAAGTTCTGTGGCTGGGCTGCTGGTGGTCGATTCAAGAGCTTCTTGAAGTGGTCAGCCCATCGTTTCCTTTGTTTCTCTTCTTTCGTAATTAAATTTCCCTCATCATCTTTCATTGGTTTAATCTCTGTTGATCTCTTCCCTCCAGATAGTAACCTGGTTATCTGATACAATGTTGTCAGGTCTCTGTCTCTCCTGCCTGCAGCCTGCATCATGCAGCCTGTTCTGCTTCACTTGCCAGTGTGTTGTGGAAGTGTCTTTTGTCTTTCCGCTCACTCTTATTCACTTCTTTGTCCAGTGTAGTGTTCTATACATTGTACTCAGTTCCTCGTCTCGTTGTTCATCCTTGCACTCTACTGGTTTATCTTCTGCTTCACCACACTCCTCTCCCTCCTCCATCAGCTTCCATGTGTCCATCGAGATCTATTCCTTATCTTGTTTCTTTCTTCTTCCTTCCTAACACAGTTATGCAGGTTTCTTTCCACATAGCTTTCAAAGAGTTCCAGTGCTCATCCACACAGGTTTCTTCATGGATGTTGCTCGATATCTCCCATTTTGTCTTGATGGCTGACGTGAAGATGTCGTTTGTAGTTTCGTCCTTCAGTTTCTGTTGTCGGTGTTGAACTTGAACTGTGGTCTATCACCAACTTCCCTGAAGGCTTTCAACTTGATTTGGAAGGTAGGTTCCTTGCACTAGATAGTGAGTGGTCTGAACTTACATCTGCTCCTCTTCTTCACCTTGTGTCCAGTAGGCTGCGTCTCCACTTTCTTTGATTTGTTTTACTGTGTGGAGTTGCTAGCCCTACTCCCAACTTTCCCTGTTTACCTGGGCTTAGGACCGGATCGCAACTAGTTAACTAGTTAACCGGGCGAGGTTTCGGGGTGGTTAGGTAGTATCATTAGCCCGCACATAGTAGGTGTAGCTCATTGTCTCCTGCTTATGCGTCAGTGTGGTAGCTGAGTGCATTTCATCCATTCATGTTAAACTGAAATTTACAATTTAATTTATACCAACACAAATCAATGAGGTGTATGATGTGAACATTTATTTCAACTTTTAACATTTCGCTCCAGTCTTTTTATCTGTAAGTCTTGTTTTGAATATCATGGTTAATGTGTGGTAAATATCTTGATATCTACGTGCACATGATACGATTGATGTTTTTATCAAATACGTAATTGTTCAGTTCTAGGCGACAGTTGTCTAGGATCTTGTACTCAATATACCGTTGTGTCACATTTCATCCAGTTAGTATGCATGCTTCAACAGCCTTCCGAGAATTTGGATACCATTGTTACACAACCAATTGTTTCTCTAAATTACACTACTTCCACACTTACAGTATAAGAAACTAGAAGTTGTTGCCATCTAGTGTATGTGGAAACCGAATGAAATAAGTTTCTTCTTCTAGCATGAGTCATATCTTAATTGTATTAGTCATCAGTAGTGTGCAACTGAAGTTGTAGATTTTTCCTTTATTGATTTGTCAAACTGAATCAGTTAACGTTTTTCAACAGTAGAATTCAACTGTTTCGTTTTGTTCTCTTTGGAATTCGTTATATGGTTTTTACTACACTTTTGTTGCTATTACCAGCACATTTCGATTCCATCCATCGAGGTGGTTACAATAACCACCTCTTTTTCAATGGATATCAGTCGTGAATGAAGTTTTTTTATCATTACTAGTTTTGAATTCACAAGACTGGATGGGTATAGTATCTAAAGAGGTCAACAACTAACATTTCACATGTAATCCTAAACAGATACGTCAGCTGTCTTGTAAGACCTTCAAAAGTAACTTTACTTGTTGAAGTTTCTTGATAACAACAGTATAAAATCCTCACATTAACACCGTTCAGCCCCATTCACTTCACCACCCTTTCTAACACATCAGATTCGTAAGAAAGCAATCTAAGCACGAACAATACCACGCCTCAGTAGTTAATTTCTACCAGTTAAATTGTCATAGTTCAACATTTGACATAAACTCTGCATGACCTTCACGCTTTTGGTGCTGCGATAGCTTTTGTTAGTTGCCGTAACAAAATCAGGCTCCAGTTATTTTGCAAGCTATAAAGGTGCTATTGACTAATTATTCTGAATGTGGTAGATATTATAAGTGAATTGATAGGCTGGTCTGTTCAACTTGAGATTTATATCTTACTAAGCTTGACGGCCGTGCTACGAGCTCAGTCGATGGACTTCGACTAGCTTTTTTTCTTTGAAAGCTATCTGAAGTCCATTTAATGTTTCGAATGTATACTTAGTATTGGAAGAATATTAAAAACGAATGACAACGTTCTAGTCAACACATATTGTGCACACAATTTAAAGAAGACTGTAACACTGATTCACAGATGAATAAATCATATGATACTAGATGGACTAGACCTGTGTGAAGTATAATGATAAATGATGATGAAAAAGTGATATTTACTTCTTCGTGTGCACTTGCTATATTGTCGTATATTCTATTCCATCCATTTCTTGTTTATAACCAAAATCTTAATGACAATTAATTACTAAGAAGATTATTTACCAAGTATGCGGTGAACTACTCGAAAACATTAACAATTTATATATGGTCTATCATTCTAAACATGTTTTCTAGATCAGAATATGAAAAGCCTGACGTTATTGTGTTTGCATTCTGTCCGTTATACACCGAAACGTCTAACCAATTCCATTCTAAACATATTAATGACCATATTTTACAAACCGAAACAGTTAACTTTCAACAATCATTGACGATGGATTTTTTTTCAATTGATTCATTAACACTTTTCGTATTCCAACTTACTGGCTTATCATCAACTTTCAATCTTTTTATTATAAATATTGAAATTAAGAATAAAGATTTCAAACGAGTGCCTGCCTCATATGGCATATTTGTTCCAAGTTGGTATTCATCATGGACTGACATAAATCAGAGGGACATTGGAAACCTCTAAGCACTGAACGGCTATTTCGTCCTAATGTGGGACTCCTCAGCAGTTCACTCACATGACCCCAACCGCCAGGGATCGAACTCAGGACCTTTAGGTTCCATGCCAAGCACCTTACCATTGGGCCACTTTGTTGGAATCCAGTCGTCCGTATTTCCAACTCCTGTCAGTTCACGACATAGCACGACCATCACCCAATTTCATCGATGAGTATTTATCTTCATGTCCACCAAGTTTGATGGTGGTCCTTTGATTAATTTGAACAAAGCAAAAAGTACTAAATTCGCAGAATAAAGTGATATAAGTAGTTTGAGAACAGTTATTTATTTATTCGTTCAAAACACAAATCTATGACTGTCTGGACGTCGGAGAGTGTGTAAAAGCATACTGGAAACATTGAAAAAGTATGAGATATGTATGGAATAATAGAATGATCAGAGAACTAATCTCATTAGTATTTTGTAATCCTTAGTTTTGTCTCTTATAATCATTCGTATGAGAGAACAGATACTACTTAAATTCGCAGACCATAGCTTCTGCTTGTATCTTGACTTCAAGTCAGATCCACGATGTAATGGGGCAGTATTAGCAACCGTGTCACTTTGCTAACTGGTGGTTTAAGTGTATTCATACACCGTTCCTTCATCAGGATTTCTGAAGCTTTTGTTCACCATTCAGTTCTTTTTATAGAAACATTTCTTGCCACGTGACGGCAGTGAGTGGAACTCCCGTGTCAGAAACGTTAAACACACAATTGTTCAAGTTAGTATTGACCATGGACTGACATCAGTTAGAGGAACATCGGAAATCTGATCCCTGGCGGGGCTATGCGTGCGCACTATTGAGGAGCCCAATGCCAGGACGAAACGGCTGTCCAGTGCTTCCGGGTTCTTTCAACTGAAGTCAGTTCATGATCAATACCAACTTGAAAAATCACTCAATCCCTGCAAACCCCCATATTCAGTTGATCAGGTGCTCATTGGTGACTAGTTTCGAGAGGTGATTCCCGAAGTTCTGACGAGAAGTCATGACTGGTGGGGAAAACATGGTGATCGTGAAGACAAATACTCAACGATGACATTATGTGATGGTCGCGCTACGTCGTGAACTGACAGAAGTTGGAAATATGGATCGTTGGGTTCCGATACAGTGACTCGATGACAACGTGCTGGATGCGGAACTTAAAGGTGCTGGGTTCGATACCTGGTAGGGTGGGGTCATGTCTGCGCACTGCTGAGGAGTTCCGTACTGGGCTGAAACAACTGTCCACTGCTCACAGGGTTCCAATGTTCCTCCAACTGATATCAATAAATGATGAATACCAACTTGAAAAATCACTAAATCCACATAAACCGCCAAGCATACAATTGTATAATTTGGTTTAGAGAAAAAGATTCAGTTCTATTCACTTTCAGTTATATCAGAGCATTAACGTAACGTGATGAAATGTGTAAATGCTACAAAAGTTCCTTTCGGTCACCATAAAAAGTTTGATCAATTATTGGGAATGCTTTGCAACAAAGTTGACACCGCAGTTATCACTTTCAGTCGGGCAGTAACATTTAGTTTGTGGTATTCTGTCGATGATTAACGCACCAAAAAAAACGTCGTTACAGCAACTCAGTTTAATCTGTCCTCCATATTGGAGCGAATGTATGTTCTCTGTTCAATGTCCTGTCAGCAGAAAACTTAGGTGATAACGAATATCAACAGCTTTTTCTTGTGTGAGCAGCTGTTCTATAATTAGTATCTTAGATTACAAATTTAACATAATCAGAAAGCACTGTCTCTCATCTTGACAACAAATATCTCGACATTCATTAAGAAATGGTATTGAAAGATCAGTACTAATCTTTAAGCTTTCCACGTGACATAGAAAACAATCAGTTTTCCTTGTGTTATGGGGTGCAACAATATTCTCTAGATTCCTCGAAGAAGCCTGAAAATTTCTGATAAACCTTCACAACCAATTATAGCATGTTGAATGTTAGAGGAAAACCATGTGATCATACGTATGAGACTCAGATTGGTTAAAGAGCTCTCTAGAAAAGTATGAAACTTTCCAAGGCCATCAACAAATGTATAGAAACCCTTAATTTTTGTGCATGTTCGATTGGACAATAAACCTTTATCGTTTTTGCCGCTTCTTTCTGTTTTCTAGGTACTAAGCGATCATCAAGGGTGAACTCTTAGGTTGTTGTTCAAGAGTCCACTCCATATATATATATATATATATATATATATATATATATATATATATATATATATATATATATATAATTCAAGGATATATCACCTTCTAATGTAGTCGAGTGAAGGCAAAAAACTATACACATAAACAATTTCAAAGTAGCATTTTCTGAGTTGTACCGTTAACCCTTCGAGTTGACGAAGTGCCTTGCCTCAACTATGTGAAGATAGCCGTTAGGGTATTTATTCGTAGACAAAATTGTTCTTAGATGTTAAGAAAGTAAATATGACAATCAAAGTCTTGCATATTAGTTTATCAAGCCAATTAACTGTATTTCAAAGCAGTGTGAGATAATAATAATAATAATAATAATAATAATAAACTACTAGAAACTGGCAAATGTGATAGTAAATACTAAAAGGAATGTAAATAAAAGCCAAGTAGGCCTATAGATTGATGAGATGCCTAAAATTGATGATCTCAAGTGACGTGCAGTCTATAGCATTGGCTGCCTACACAAATCTAATGGAATACACAGTCAGTGGATTAGCACTTAGGCTGTTCCTCGTTGCTTTCTTCGCCCATCACCTTACAAGATGATTATTGTTTGTTAATATTCTGTCTATTGTTCACTTCTATCATATATAACATTCATTACCAACCAAGTTGCCATAATTATTCGTTATGTTTTGATTGAATTATCTTTACTCATCTTTTACAGGATGCTGTTGATTTCTTTGATTATACAGTGAAAAAAATTAATCCTTTGCCTATACGTAATCGAAAATTGGTAAGTAATAGTTTTTTATGGTGAATGTTTTTAGCATCAATATTCTTGGGTTGTTTATTCTACTTTCAACAATTTTCGTCTTGTCGATACATATTACTTTTGTTCATTTTAGTAACTAACAGAGGAATCCAAGACGCACATTTCATTCTATTTGGGAATCATCAGTTGCATGTACCTGCACCCCAGTGAGTGATGTTGTTCCCACTGAGACTCGAGCCCAGCACCTATCGCTTCAAACACAATAGTGTTTTCCACTAGGGCACAATAGCCACCTCTTGTGTAACGGCTATCAGTTGTTGTTGCGTACAATTCCTCGTTACTAAATAGGGCCGCAGTACTCGACCTCAGCTGTTGGCAGATGGGCTCCTATGTGGATGCCTCAATGCTGTGTAGCAATAAGAAGTTATAAATATCGTAACAACATATTACTTTTATCCTAGTGAAAATTGTACGGAGAGTTTTATGAGTAAATCATAGTATTTTTCCCACATTCCTTTAACGCATTCACATGCGCGCACACATTCACATCTTCACATTGACCTCACAGACTAATAACAGATAATGCTGATGCTTATTCCCATATTGTTATTATTATTATTATTATTATTATTATTATTATTATTATTATTATTATTATTATCGTGTGTGAACAACGAGATCTATTTTTTCTCCAACTTACCATTCAAGCTTACGAAAACTTGTACAGGTTTTATTCCCTGAAGAAGCAACTCCCACGAAATTGCGAAACGTTCGAAATGTATTCTTCTACCTTATTAGGATTTTGAAAATATATATTACATTTATAATCCATATGCCTTGTGCTCCATTTATTCAGCTTTATCAAGTCAACTCTTGGTCCTCAAGTCTATAAACTTTTAAACTATAATCTTCCAATCCGTCTCTATCGATGCGATTTGCTCTTTAACTTTGTTAATTCGTGTGAAATACATAGGATTGAAATCCTAATGTATAAACCTGTACAATATTATGCACTAAGCTTTGGAGTCAATCTTTTTTGTATCTGTGTTAACGATAATGACTAGTTACTCAGACTGGATTCGAAGACATTTCTAAGCTGTCTCCTCAAAACTTTGCTGACTTATGTCAATCAACCGTAAACTACTATTTTTAGCGTTGTGTAAGCTAGCTATAGCTCATTACCGTTGTAGAATTTACATGAGTAGTTATGAATGATAGCTCATAAGTGGATAACATTGGTTTTGTTAATCAATCTCTCATTACACTTTTTCACGTATATGTAATGGTGGTTTTTGAATTTTTTTGCTTAGAGATAAAATAATAAAGTGTTGTCTCTTTATTATCATTGAAAATATGGATATATACAGTCATCAGTGTTTGTCCACGTAAACTTGAGTCATATCAGTCTAAGTTTATATATACACTATTTTAAGATTTTCTCCATAGACTGAAATAATCAATATAGAATCTCGTAGCTCATTTGGTAGACCATGAGGCCGGGAACATGGTGGTCGCTGGTTTGAATCCGGCCGCGGTCCAAATTTTCATTTCACCTTCAATCATCACCGCAGTATAAATGTAGTTTGACACTTTTTTTTCATTGCTTTGCGCGAATTATGTTTCCATTGAGATTGGCATCAATTAAATCCTTGAGATGAGCTACACAATTTCTAGTGTCCTCTTTGGCATAATGCTACAACGTTTTCAATCATCTAACAAGCCTTGTCAACTGTTTAACTTTCTTGACTGTAGCAAAATAAGGGGATCTAGTTACTGGGAGGAGTTATTGTTCTCGTGTAGGAAATGACCAAATGGAAGCTGAAAATATTTTCAGATGTAGAGAGGAGGAGTTTAAAATTCAGAGAAGACTTGAGTCACTTTATGTATCTTATCAGTGAATCCAAGATTATTGACCTTACTTGACTACCAATCATTTCTTTACAAATACTTAGTTCTCATGTAAATTCTTTCAGCAACGATCTATTTTACTTCACTCTCTGAGTTCATTTCTTTTTGGTGTATATAAATAAGGAATAATATATTCCAGTAGTCCTTGTCAACAAATGCTCACTTAAAGCGTGAACTTATCAGTCTTAAAATGGTTCTACAAAACTTCACAATTCCTAACATTCCTCTTCGTCTTTCGATCTTCATTCATTCGCATCATTCACCAGAGAAATGAGAATTATACTCGGTAGTCCACTGTGTCCTGTTCCACTGTTATGTAAAATTGTCACAGGTTTTCGACCAAATATGTCTTTGTATCATTAGCCGCATGTGACTGAATCAGTATAAGCAATGTTAAGGTTGATGTAGTTTACTAGGTAGGGAAGACGAGTCAACCGATGAAGTCGTGAACATTCACTGGGTGTCTTCGGCGTGTGTTACGCATGTCCTCATCCACTTAACAAGTGACGTCTGCTGAAGCAGGATTAATTTGGAAGGAAGCTAAGTGCGGTCAGACTAAGATGTGGCACTGATTCATGAATTCTTCAAATATTGGTTTGAATTTTTCATTTCGACTGGCAATATCCCTGTAGGAAGCTAAATCCTCTATTTCATTCATTATAACGTCAGACAGTTTACCTGAAAACTAGTGATTATAAGCTTTCGAGGATCTCTCCCAACTGTTATCATATCTATATGTGTTAAAATCAGTTCATTATTCATGACTAACACATAGTTTATTCAATATTTCAATATTCTATTATTGCTCTTTTTTTTCTCCTACCTGTTATATGATCTCTTTGTACAATGAAGTTTACAGAATAGGCTTTCTTTATGAAAAGAAAGTGTCGCTAGTCTTGATTACTAATTTGTCCCTATGTTTATCGATTATCAGAAAATAAAGAAAACTGACACTTTTTTTATTCATTGTATATCTACCTTTATTTTTCCTGTACGTAGACCGACACTTCTATCTTGGACCCGGCAACATATCATATACGTGTAATGACTTGTAATCCCAGCGATGTGAATATGTGTCTCGCTAGAATACACTTACTTGGCGAGTCAGATATCAAACGTCAGTGTTACAATAAACTGTTGGCTGTAAGCAAATGGTTTCTTTTTTTGTTTGTTTAAACTGAATTTCAAGTACTAGTATACCATTGGTAAATACTTATTTGTTAATCAGAGTAATACTTTTTTGAAGAGATTTTTTTTAGAAATCTACGATAGGGTTAATTCAATTTACTGATTCCAAGTTGATATTCATTATGGATTGACATCAGTCGGAGAACCAATAAGAACGTGGGAGCACTGATCAACTGTATTGTTCTAGTATGGGACTCTTCATCAATGCACACCCACGACCCCGCCAGGGGTCGGACCCGTGACCTTCAGGTTTCGCGATGAGCATGTTAGCGCCCATGACTTGCATCTGTAAAGAGATGTGTATATTTGGGTAGGAATGAATACGTTCGTAAACTTGACACTAAACTATGATAGACTTCAAATACTTAAGTTTATGTTACCCTATTTAATAATATTTCCACTGGGTTCAGGTTTTCTATTTTCCAACACTTTCAGTTCATACTATCTGAACCAGCCTTTGATTACTTGCGTACTAAAGAAACATTGGGATATACTATTTACCTACGCTATTGGCGATCATCTCCTGGTGGTACATCACACTCTGGTATTAGCCTAGTTGCATATAGTCCTGCTAATCAATATTCAATTAATTATGTTGCTGGTCGATTGACTGCTTTCTGGCGTCGAATTGCTCCAAGAATTATTGCTGCTATGCCAGCAGAGAATTTTAAAACTTCAGTAAGTAAAAGTTAATTTTTTGTGTGAATGAATTGTTTATTGAATAATTCTAAGCATTAACGTGAAAAATCTTATTGAACTTTACATTCACTGTAATTTTCAGGATTCACTTGTATGAGAGGCAAATATGATCCCCTCTGACTCGTCTGAATCACTGATTATCCCAATCTTCAAGTAAGGCGAGAAGTCCTCTTGTGATAACTGCAGAGTAGTCAGCCCGACGAAAATATTGTCTAAGCTTCTAGTTTCTATAATTCTTCGACGCCTGAGTGGAGCTTGGGAACACCAAGACCAAGAAAACCAGGCAGGCTTCAGACCTTGTCGTGTGTATGTCGACCGAATATTCACACCCTGACAGGCTCTGGAACATGGGCGCGCTTACCGGCAATAGCTGTATTTTTCGACCTGAAGGTGGCATTCACCTCCATCGATCAATGTCTTACGGCGGTGTCGCTCATTGCAGGACGCGCCGAGTAAGTACACCACCTTATTGAAGGTTCGTCATTCGAACACCATTGGGCATGTTAGAGCCTATGGTGAGATATTGGGTGAGTTGTGTACGTTGAGTGGGGTCCGTCAAGGCAGCCCACTGTCTCCATTCTTATTCAATTTTGTAATAGATGTTCTTATAGAGGTCTCCCTCTCGTCATCTGAATACGCAGTAATTGACCTGTTCACAGGAGAATTTCTGATTGACCTAGAATGCACAGATGATATGGCATAGTCCTGCTAGGTGAAGAGACTGACAAGATGCAGAGTATTCTGGACACTTCGAGCTGCAATTTGAGAATGTTCGGGATGCGTTTCTCGCCACCCAAATACAAATTGTTGTTCCAGAACTGGTCTTCAATGGTATGCTGACTAACAATATAGAGTGAAGTGGTTGAGCGCCTTGACCGCTTCTCCTACCTGAGAAGTCGGATCAACCCTGGTGCATTGGTTAGTGGACGACGAAATATCTGCACGGATACAAAAAGCTCAGATGGCTTATGCTAAATTACGCGATCTGTGGCGCCACGGCGATATCTGATTGTCTCTTAAGGGTCGAGTGTCCTGTAGTGCAGCCCAATGTGTTCTACTTTATGGCTGTGAAACATGGCCATTAAAAGTGGAAGATATAAGAAGGCTTTTGGTTGCCTCCGCAGCAGAGCTTGTGTTTTGCGATGTCACCAAGTGAATAAAGCAGAAGTCAGACGTCGAGGTTTAGGCAGAAGAGGTAAGTCAGTTGACGCAGTTGTAAACCTTCATCGACTGAGATGGTTGGGACATGCGTTACGTATGCCTAATCACCATCTCCCTCGTCACATAATCGTGGCCAAAGTGGATTCAAGCTGGGAAAGGTCTCGGTGTGGCCAGACTAAAACATGGCACCAATGTATGAAGTCCTTGACTGTTGGTTTAAACTATGTAGGCCGATGCAAACTCATCGGTTGGCTTTGGTAACTAGAATGTATGGCTGAGAACCGATGTCATTTGGGGGCAGATGTATACACACATTATCCTCATCTTAACCCCTATACTTAATCTCATCATCTCATTCTTCCTTCTCGTTTACTACTTTTTACTTCTACTTTGTTTCGCCCGATTTTTCTTTCCATCTTCATTGTCCATTTTACTGCCTTGTTATATGATGTGCTGATATGAGGTGTGGCGACTTGGACGGTTACTCAGTATGGTGCCTAGTCCTTTGTTGATCCTGATGATGATGATGATGATGATTAATGTTGAGTCAGTTGCGTGCGTGCTTCTCTCATTATTTTTTTCGGGTCTAGGAGATGATGATACTATCTTCACGACGTTTGTAGGGTCCTTTTGGATTTCGGTATGGTCTTTCAGGTAGACTAAATATCGATCGAAGTGAGGTGCTCACGGATGAGACTTGTTAATCAATGTCGTTTGTTGTTCATTGTGTTGTTGAGAATTGTAGCAACTTCACCCATGGCATTTTTCTGCAAGACGTTTTAGTATTCTATCTGTGTGTAAATTTAGAAAATATAATGAAGTTATTCAGTTGACCATGTGAAAGTAATTTGATGGCTTTTAGCCTTTCATTTCTGACTTATTTGATCAGAAATATCAAGTTGTTTCAGATGTTGTTGATGACTACATTTAGTTAGCATTGTTTTATGGTTACCACATACATACATACATCCAGCTAGCGTGTTCTTATCTACAGTACAGGCTGTCAACTAACTTTATCGTGAAATATGTTAGTGGCATAAAACTGTAGACGTAGTTTAAGTGTCTGTTGCCACTCGTCAATATAGCGCACTGCAAAGGTCCATCGAATTTGGTCAGGGCTAGCCACCATGAAATTGGTTGCTTTCAAATGGTCCCTAGGAATGGTAGTATAGATCAGGAGAATGGAAAGAGTTACCAATGTTCACATACTAGTAAAAGATTGAAGGTATCGTTAGGAGTTCTCTGTTAGTAATAGCAGAGAAATGATGAATATGAACGGATGACTTCTGTGTTTTCTGTGAAGTATGGGGACAATTGACACTTTCCAGACCTATACACCGTTGAATTTTTACCTGTTCTTGACACATCTGACCAAGGATGTGGTTTATTTTTGCATGAATGCAAAGACTGCATCTACTTCAAGCCAATCATCTTTTCTGAAGTATCCACTTTATTCCAAAGTCGTGTGGGAAGATCGAATACATAACTCCTAAAAATCAAAAAATAGTACAGTTAATAGCTTTTTTTGTCTGTATAAAATGCCTTACTACAATCGCCTTTGAGCCCATACAGCAGTGTAAAATCAGCAGATATTCACCGCTTACACCATCTCAGTAGCTATATTTATTCCTACCACCATCAAACTATCCTTCCTTTTATTGTTGGATCTCAAGTTGCATCCGTCGCTCTTGATGAAACTTGACAAGGTACTCACGATAAGTTATCCCCACCATTACATTAAAGTAGCAGTTGTAGGCGATGATAGTAATCAATGAGTAGCAGAAAGTTGTATTCCTTTTTATGCATCACTGTTTGAAAATGAAGTAATTGTTGTGCACACATGCAGAATTTGACCAACATTAGTTTGGAATATTCCATGGCTCTATATTCAATTGTTCTCTTCTTGGTACTGCTTGCTTACCGTTGAAACACAATGTAAAGTGTTTCGAGGCTGAACAACATCTGTCTGATCTTAGTGGGGATTTTTATTCGATTAAAAAGCCATCTTTAATCACTTTGTTCTACGGTTTCAATACTTCCCATATATCCTGCCTACGAAAAGTTTATCAGCGATGATAAGAGTGGTTCTATGATAAAGTAGAGAGGCTATCGACTCATGATATTACATTGTTCAGAGAGGCATAGTTGTGTTGGGTTGACATCTTTATATGCATCCGAGCTGTGTGGGGATTGAATCTGAAAACCGAAGCTATTGGCTACTTCCTTGAAAGGGCTTCTTACTTTTTCTATATAAACAGTAAGAGAATAAATACGAAAAAGAAGGCCTACTGTTTTCCTGGACCATTTTCTTGTGTGACTCTTTACTTCTTATGTTTCTTTATTCTTGCCTTCACATACAATTTGTAATCACCTATCAGTTTTTAAATCTTATGCCGTCGTTTGAATGACATTTGGTGACCCGTTAAACGTTGAGGATATTCTATTCATCACGTTCATTAGACTTAACGTCATTCAAATCACATCTCCTTGGATGATTTATCTGTTGTGTCATCTTTGTTTGTGTTTCTTTCTGCGAAAAATCTCTTACGAAAGCCTGCAAATTCCCACATATGGATGACTTTAAGGACCTACGTAGTCTAAACTACCACAATTTCTGTAACCATTTTCGCTTGCAGCTAGCTATACAGGTAGACATATTGAGTATATCAAGTATGTTTGAAGCGAAGCCGCATTTTATATCATCCATCTTCTTTTTCCTCATTGTTCAAGCATCTAACAGTCACTAGAAGTTTGCAAGTCAGACGAACTATCTATTCCATTAAGTTTACACTGTACTGTACTCTCAGTAATTGGGATTTATGCTTCATCATGGGACAAGTTCGTTTCAATTATCTTTTCGCTTCTTTTTACTATGTCAATGCGCATATGCTAGATAGCTTCGTGTGGTACTTTCATAGATTACTCATTCCTGTAACGATGAAGGAAGATACGTTTAACAAACGAGTTTTAAAATCATTTCTGAATTTCATTAGGGAGTAATCAGTCTGGGAGTGAAAGGTGACAGCTATTGAATTTTATCTAGTAGCTAAATGATAGTATGTCAGCCTCAAATATTTGTTGCCATGGCTACAACGTTGTGCAAGATCTATGATGCTCACCGTTATATGCTTACCCGAAACCAGTACCAAGGGTTGGCACGAGTCCATGAAATCTTTGATTGCTTATCTGAGACGTTTAGGGAGATACTATGGTCCTCAAAATGATTGGAGTCAAAGACTGGAGACTCTTAATGATATGACTTGAAATACATCGCAACGGCTAAGGTTTATACACACTTTGTCACTTTCAAATTCTCTAATATTCTGATTAACCCTAAATCTATTTTTTCGACAACCATACATTTTTACCTGCTCTAATGTCTATTCACTTCTTCCCTGCATACTGATGTGAAGTGTGGCAAATTGGATTCATACAGCTTTGTGCCACAATCTACTTTGATTGGTCTGTTTGTCTCTGGTAGTTTTCCTTAGTTTTCTTCAGATCTTTAATTCTTTACACCTCCATGTCTCCAATATTTTTATTCACTATTTCTTTATCTTAGTTTGTTATTCATTATGAACTGACATCACTTGGAGAAACATTGGAAACCTGAGGGCACTGCATAGCTCTTTCGTCCTAGTATGGGACTCCTCAGCAGTGCGCACGCATGACCTCGTCACGCTATGTATCGAACCCGGAACCTTCAGATTCCGTGATCAGCACGTTACCATTGATCCACTGTGTCAAAATCCAATGGTCCATATATCTTACTTCTGTCAGTTTACAATATAGAGTGACCTCCATCCAATGCCGTCGCTGAATATCTGTCGTCATGTCCGACTTGGTTTTGTATTGTAATAATTTCGCACCTCTTTTTTGATAGGTGGAATCACTCATATCAATCCATCAACTCGAAGATCCTAATATGATGACAGAATTTGAAAGGAATTGGGATGAAATTATGGAAAGTACAGCGAATTTTAATTATCGAGAAGACTGCGTAAGTTGCTTATTTCTTCTAATTGGTTCAGTTGCACTGAAGTATTCAATAGATTTTTAATATGGTGACATTTAACTGTATAGCAAATTTCAGTTTACAGTAGAACTCGTGTAGAATACTACTACTGAACAATTTGAGCAGTTAAAAACTGACCTATGGTATTTCCACAGCCAGATCAGAGTGATCTAAACACTGGACGGCCTTTTCTGTCGTTTAGGGCTGGGCTCATTAGCTGTGTACCCGGGCAAATTTGGCTCATGAAGTCGAATCAGCGAAGATTACCTGAATTTCTTTGGTTAACTGACTTGTATGGACCGGTGTACCTAGAATAAGATGATCAATTTGCAAATAATTTACAAATTTCACAGCCCACGTTGACATTTCTCAAAGCTAAATAGTTTCTTTCCAACTGCCTAAGTTCGATGTCACCAAGATTTCCGCTAGGAACTTATGTCTTTTGATTCATATATGTATGGTTTGACTAACATTGTGTCCAGGATTCTAGGGTGCATGGTTATCTGACGCCTAACTGGAGCTCGAAAACAGCAAACTCAAGAAACAAAGGTAGGTTTCAGACCTGAAGGAGAATGTATCTATCATATTTTACCTTACGACAGGTTCTGGAACATAAGCATATATACGAACAAGTGGCTGACACTTACCACTTTTGTTGACCTGATGGCGACATTTGACTTAGTCAACCGTAAGGTGTTGTGACAGTGTCTGGATGTAAAGGGAGTATCGAGTAAGTAAGTAACGCTTATCAAGCTCTTATCTCAAACTCACAGAGCTTTGTAAGGGCCTATGGAGAGTTGTCATCGGAATTGACAACAACCAGGAGTGTCCGCTAGGGATGCCTACTGTCACCGTCCCTACTTGGCTTCGTTATAGACGTACTAATGCCCATAACTTTACACACGTCTGTCTTCACAGGGATTGACTTAGAGGTCATCTGCTTGACTTGGAGTACGCAGATGACATTTCCCTGCCAGGTGGACGCTGACAAAATTCAGGGTCTTGATAGCCTAGTGCATCAAGTTGCTGATATTAAGCATCATTATTTTATCTGGATTGCAATGGTCGATAACTTTTTCAATTATTATTACATTACATTATGTTACACGTTTATTTTCGTTTCTATTATTTAGATTAAAATTCTGTCAACTATTACTCAAGAAAGTTTGTTAAGTTTCTTTTTAACGGAATATTTGGATACGAAAAAACAACGTTCACTGTTTGTTCAAGTAAGTGTCAATGATATATTTCATCTATGAATGTATACACATGTCTGCTACGTATTTCGTTGTGTGTATGTGTGGGCGTGATGTTGAATATAATGTTGATTACACTGATATTTGAGTGATGTCCAGCAACGAAATCCAGGAAGTGTATTTCATCTTTTTAGAAACTCGTGTTCTCTAGGTGAGTGTGTGTGTGTGTGTATGTGTATGTGAAACGATCGGGTAGTGAGTTTTATGTTTGTGTACATTTAGATTTTAGTAATATCTTGAAAATCCAGTTTTTCTTTATATTATTACATTTCCATAGAGTTGAATGACCCCCTTTCGAATCCAAGACAGAATATCAGTCTCATACTTGCTGCAGATAATCACTGACCTTTCATGTAACAACTAAATCTTGCATACATGGATTCCTGTTGGTTAACTTCAATTAATTGTTATCAGAGCCTACTAAAATGTGAAATATCTTCTGATATATAACCCGGTTTAATCAGTTCCAGTTTTTTGTATGCAAGTGAAAACTAAACAGCGATAGCAAATATGTAGCTTAACTATGTGGCTTGCCACTCTACATTATTGTCCTTGAATTGATATTCCTAACTTTATTAAAAGAGTTCACCACTTATCAAAATCAACTAGAAAACTGTTGAAAAATACCTAGCACTGAAGAACTATCTCATCCCAGTTTTCTGATTCACATTAGATTATTAGGACTTCTCAGCATCACACATCTATTACTAAATGCAGGGTCAAATGTTTACATCTGTTTTAGTCTTATGCATAGTTCACTGTTGTGGAGTCTTGAAGTCAGATGATCCAGTTAGTCACTACTGTCTGCTTTTCAAGTTATCCAACTTATATTCATCCATAATGAGAAATCGTTAAAATTGGTTATTTCCTAAATTTACTTAGAATAATAAACTCATTGTTGATATTCTTGAGAAATTCATTCTCATATCGAATCATTATGTTAGTATACTTGTTTACTTTAGGGTTGCTTTTACAATCAATTCAAGTGAATAATCTAAAAGTTATTAAACGACACCTCAGGGTTGATCATCTAAGTTATTAATGGGGATATCTATTTGGCTGAAAGTGTACAGTTGATTATCCACTTCTTTTGGCTGTCTATAGTGCTATGTTGTATTAATCTCTTGATGGTGGTTTGGCGTTATCTAAGCTATGATATTTTATCATGAACATTCTATCATCAGGCTTGGTAACATCTTTAACACTAACATCGTACAGAAGTGAAGCATTTTCTTATGTTACACGAATTTTCAGATAATGTTTTTATTGACCTTGGATTGGGGAAGAAATCTTTTATCCCACCCTGACCTCTTTGACCTTATATTTCCTTTATTCACATCATGAGATATTCTTTATTGAAGTGAAATTGTGCTGTTTGTTCTTGTCACACTGTGCATCACTAGTAATTTGTTCGGTCAATTTGCCCTTGGTTGATGTATGACTGTTTTCTTCCTAAGAAGTTTTAACATTCAATTATGCTATACTTCTTTATGAAGTGAGTGCTGAAGGTGTTACTAAGTCTAGTGATGAAACGTTCATAACAAAATATCATTGCTCAGAGAACATCGAACTACCATTCTGGACTACGAATCGTTTCCATCAATACTGCTCTCTTGTTATCCACTTATCTAGTTTATGCAACTCTGTCGATTGCTAAAAACTCTTAAGTGTGTTGATTTTGTTTGAACCATAGACTTTGTCCTCATCAATATAGAAGTAGAACTTGGGCACTGTCATAGGTTTTAATCCCATTGTAGTATTTGTTGTTATGATACTTGTAATTTCCCGTTGCTATGCAGGGCCAAATTGCTCGACCTCTGTTGACAGATGGGCCGCCATTACGGATGCCTCGATAGTCCCGGATATTCATGTTATATTGATCTTGGTGACTACCAGAGTAACCCATGACGCGCGTTTCGTCCTGTTTGGGACTCGTCAGCTGGATGTGCCTGGACCGTGCAGTGAGTGATGTTTCCACCGGGACTCGAACCAAGTACCCAACGTTTTGAACGCCAGTGTTATCCTCTAAACGACTGGCGCATGACAGCCACCTCTTGTGCAGTGGCTCTCAGTTGTTGTTATGATACTTGTAATTTCCGGTTGTTATACAGTGCCGAATTGCTCGAAATGTCACACAGTAAAATGTTATCGAGTAAATGCTACTGTTCCACTGTGACATTTTTAATAAACTGGCTTAAAATGGGATTTTGTCTTCAGTCTTGGTCTCATATTCTTAGGTCTCGATCGATAAAAGTACAGATGCATCAAATGTGAGGTTTGAATTTCGTGTAACATTCGCACCTCTAAACCCCTAAGGGCTTTTCATATGTTATCTAAGTAACACTGAAACTGCATTTTCTAATCAGCATTACTTGATAGTATATTGTTGATATCCGTGCACAATAAATACTGTATCTCTGTATTTCCTCTTGTCATAGGTGGATGCCACAGCTACTCCAGAAATGAATAATAATTCCCTATCAACATCCTATCTCTTAAATCTCAATCTAATCAACTGTGATACTAAAACTTGTGAAGAAGAGTATTCAAGTTATAACAGCGTCAATGTGATCAATGCTCTTAGCACATGTGGTTATAATGATAAATGTGTGGATGAATTCCTTAACAGGCATAACAATAGTCACAAACTGAATAAAAGTCTATTTGAACAAGAAGAGCACATTGTATACATTAACAATTTGTTCAAATTTCGTTCAAATCTTCAATATCAAACTGGTCGAAGTGTTTAAAAACCTGGGATGTTCACGTGTATGCATTGGAATTTCGGTTTCTATTCAGTCCTGGATGCCTCGATAAAGTGTAGAACTACTACTCTCCCCCCCCTTTCTCTCTCTCCCTCTGTGTGTGTGTGTGTGTGTTTGGAACTCAACAGAATCAGCGAATTTTACTAACTTCCTTTTAAAAAATTCTTTATAGGTGATATAGTTCTACATTTTATCTGTACATATATGTATATGTCTGAATATGCATAGATACTGTAGTGATCTGGGTTGCTGAATGAAAAAAGGTGTTTTAATTGTAATGGATAAATTGATTTTTATGCTTGAAAGAGTAACGAGGGGTCTCACTACCTGTGAATATTAAGGCTAGATATGCTTAGATTTCAATTGTAGCCAAAAGTTTGTTTGTTACATCCTAGAGTGTAAATGTTAAACATTGGCTTCAGCACCTGATGACATGTAAGTGTAAGTTCGAACCCGGGCTACGGTCACACATTAAGTGTGACTTAGTATGTAGGACACAAGCCACTTGTAACTACTCACTGACTTCTTTTTTTACTTATAACGGTTAGATTGTGATCTCTAGGTAGTATGTTAGGCCCAATCGATGACAATTAGTTGGTGATGTCGTGAAACAGGAATAGGTGATATGCTTAGTTTATATGTTATACACTAATACCCAGGATATCCTTATTAAAGATTGTTTAAAAAGCAGCTGAATGACTATTATATAGTTTTAGCTCATAAAGTTGTGAGATATTGAGTTTACTTCTTTGGGGTAAATGTGCGTTTACTGATGGTTTGAGAATTCATTCGACATGGATTTACATCTCTCAGTGGTTTTAGATAAATGACTCTAAATGTCACCTTAGCAACGGTTAAAATAATGAATTTGGCTACTGTATTGTACGGCAAAACTATCTACCCAAATGTAATGAAGAAATTTTGTAGCCCTAAAGTCATTTAGTTGAGATGTGCTCATACTTCATTTCAGCTCATAGCCTATCCTGCAATACAATGTATGTAGTGAGCTATGAGGTTCAGAATATTGTTTTGACTAACTGGACTCTGGCAGCATGAAAAATGGCTGATGTTGGTCTTCAGCTGGACGAATATCAGGAGATGCAACAACTAGCTTGTGAATAATTATTCTGTTATATGAAATAAATACACAAAGTGCATTGTTAGAAGTTCCGTTTTATCAATGTGATTGGACTAGAAAAATTTAAATAATAGTAATAATAATCGCTTTATTCCAAACAATATGTATCATATAGTATGGAATATTACAACAAATTTGCCTTCCGTACAATATTTTTTAAAGAAACAACTATTACATCTTCACAGTGTTAATAATAACAGTACTGAAGGCGTAAGTTTGAAATGGGCAGCCAGTGTTACACTAGGATTCGATTCGAAAATTAACATAAAACGGAGTGTAAGCTTGATGGTGGCAGTTCACTCAGATAGTACAGGAATTCACAATCCTATACAGGTATCCTAGGAATAGTAATATGGTGTATTTTTGAGCATTTATAAATCTATTTCCAACCAGTGGAACTCTTTTGCTTTGTTTTGTTATTAGCTTGAGAAACGAAAGTTCGAAAACATTTTAAAAACGTGCGAGAGTACATGATGCGTTCAGAGGACATTTGAAAGATTAAAACAAACTGAAAGGAAAGAATTTGATGGGATGTAATCAGTGGAGAGTTTTTGGTAGCCCACCTTACCTTTAGGTCATTAAATAATCTATTTCTTTAGATTTGGACTGTTTCCATTCCTCTTTCACCTCATTTGCATTATTGTGCTTATTTTACTACTTAACTAAAAAGTTGAGTTGAATTGTTGCATTATTGTGACGGATTCATCACTGACTAGGTCGCTTGTTCCCATTTATAAGCACAACTTACTAATATCCAATGGTTTAATTTATTTGCCTTTCTTAAGTAATAGTTACTAAAAGGCAATGAAACTTTGGAAGGTGTACACCTCTAATGATTACAGCCTTTAGCATTTCATGTGATGTTTTTATGTTGGGTTTAACTCTCACCAAGACCACTTCATACCCTATTATCAGATTCATGTTACAATTTGGATTTAAACGACTGGAAACGCATGAAATAGATTCGCAACTTCACACTCAAGGTGTCTAGAAAACTCTTCATCATGTCAGCGTCTTCACCTAACAGGATTATATCTTCGGTGTACTCTAGGGTCAACTAACGAGTCCTCTGGAAGCAGATCAATTCCTATCATCAGGTGAATAGAGGTAGACGTCTATGAGCACATTCAAAGAAAAACGTGTAACGTCGATTCTGCTGCTAACTAAGAATATAACTATAGGTTTTAATTGTCTTTGCTTACAATTCTCAATGTCAGCAGTCGGGCCTTGTAGCTCTGTTGGTAGAGCGCCGGCCCGGTAACCCGATGGTCCCTGGTTCGAGTCCTGCCGTAGTCCAAATCTTTTCACCTTCAATCATCACCCAGTATCATTGCAGGTCTGCCAAACCATGGCTATCTCAGACAGTCAAAGTGATAATCAGTATGATCCTCTCTTTAATTCAGACTGGGGTGGGAAGTCATGACTGGGTAGCCAGTGTGAGTATGGTCCAGCAGCAGTAATGCGTCACGAATTCACATGGTAGTCAGGCAAAACGTTTGATGATTAAAGTGAAATAAAAATTCTGAACAATCACTTACATGCTTGTGTGCCAGGCCTGTTATCAAAACTTAGTAAATGGATTGGCATTCAAACTTTTAATTCATGTATTGAAGAGCACGTGTCTAGGCCTATAAACCACATCTTCACATCAGCATTCAGGTAGTTATTCTTAGAATCATCAGTAAGGTACCCAGATAAAAACTCTGCGTTTGATACCTCTCACGCCTGCAGATACAGACTTATTATGTTGCCCCTATTTCTTCGTTTGTTTGTATTTCTCAGAAGTTATCTCTCAAAGTAGGTCAATTACTTGGTATTCAGGTTTCAGTTGTAACTGCTGCATTAATTTGGCAGCTGAATAGCGTAACATGCCTATCAGAAGTAGGAATTATCAGATCAAAAGTTTATAATCATCGATGTTTGCGTAGCGTTGCTTACGTTTGTTGAGACTACATAATGACTAGTGTGGGGGGCTAAGGGTGGAGCCTCAGTCGTTATCTGGTACCCTGATGTAGTGATCGGAACTGCCTCTCGTAATGACCTAACGAGCTGTCCCAGCCGGAATAATTGTTTTTGAGCTCACTTCATACCGGAAAAGTCTGTTGGATAGCGGTAAACTACAGTAATTATCATCACTGTTGGTCGCTTCTATGGTGCTGGGAGTCCGATGATGTAGCCGTACTGCTTAACATACTGCGTGTGTTCCGGCTAGATGACTCGCACTTCATGATGCTGCTGCCTGTCTTGCCGAAAGGAGGGGTTGAAAGAGGTTGATCCTAGAAAGAGCACACTCCTTCCTGCACTACTGTCCTCCTATGCCAATGGAATGGGTTTTTATTACCCGGATTTAATACCATCAAACCAAAATCTCAAGCTTCTGAAAAGGATTTGTGTTGTCGGTCTCAAGCAGATATCCTCTAAGTTCTGTGGCCACCGTTTTTACTGATACGACTTCTTTTACCGGTATTTGAAGAAGTAATTTCCCACAAGGTGGGCAGAAAGGTAGTGACAACTACCCTCACACATCTTTGAGTCTCCAATCCTTCTGGTGATATCAGCTTTCCGCATCTTTTGCTTCCCGGTTTTTATTCATATCTACCTGTTAATTTCCCTAGGCCGTCGTTAATTTCTTCCTGCTCCACAGCTCTTATAATGTTTCAAGTTCTCAGAATACCACCTCTAGTCCCTTGAAACGACTTTCAGAATTATTTATCAGGGCTTTCAGTGTCTACACGCTTCATTTAGTCGAAAAACAAGCCTTGTCGTCCAGAACTCCGATATCCTGGTTTATTGGTATGTGTTGTACTTGTGAGATGACACACACATATAGGACCCAAGTGTGGTTACTGCCTTAACTCAGCGTGATGCACATGCTAGATCCACTCTGTATTTCTGCAGATTTGACGGTTAGTTCTCGCTTTTTACAGGTGTAGACATAGCATTAAGTCCTAAGGCAGAAAGTGCTCTGTTGGACTCAGAAAAATATCCTAAGTATCTTATGTAACTACAGAGTTAGTAACGTACCAGTCGCTCGTTGATTCTTAGATAAAAGAGGTAAGTCAGTTGATGAGGTCGTAAACATTCATCGAACCACGTTATCAGGGTGGGTATTACGCATGCCTAATCAGTACCTATCCCATCGTGTTATGTTAAGTGGGTTGAATCTGAAAAAAAGTCAATGGTGAACAGAACATAACACGACATTAATGAATGGAGCTTCTGATTGGTGGTCTGATACGTATCTAGGCTGTCTCACTCTGATCTTCGCAATTTAAGAAACCAATGGTTAGTAACTGGTTGGCTTAGCTAGAAACTGGCTATAACAGTGTAGATGTACTTAGTATTTGTCATCTTCAATGTTTCTGTTGACTTTACTCGGTTTATTTTAGCTTTTATATTGTCATCCGGTTTTTTGTTGGCGCTTAGTTTGGCATAGGTCATTGAAAGACTGGAAACTAAAGGCTGTATCATCAGACCACATTTGTTGCACAGGAAATAACTATCATAACTCATTATCTCAGTTGGTAACCCTGTGGCGTTTTACGTAATAGGTATTCAGTTTGAGTCTGAGCTGAAACAATACCCCTTACTGTAATGCAGGCTAAGCCGGCTCAAAAGTAGGAAACTTGCATGTTGTATGCCACTATTCGCTGATATTTGTCGTCAATATCATTCAACTTCTGTTCACTTCCTCTTTGTGTGATGTTTGGAAGTGTGACTGCTTGAACCGACGCACGTTTGTTGTCTCCTGACTTATCTGTCTCTTCATATTAAGTTTGTTCGTCGAAATTCTACAATGAGACTAATAATAGCCAGCCTAACTATCATCCTCCTGTGGAATTCGTATGCGTGCACTATGCTGTTCAAAGTATACAGACGCTTAAGCAAAGTCTTTAAGAAACAGCTCACTGATACAGCTGTGGAAAGTAGGCTGAAAGGCGTGTGGTCAAAACCGGGGGTCCCCTGAATTTGCCACTCACACAAACACCCAAGACCAGCTAAAACACGACACTCCTAACCTC